CTCTGTGCGCGTGCACACTCGGCTGATCCGGAAAAACAGGCCTCTCAGTTTGTCAGAGGTTTGTTCCGGACCTTACGCTCTGCTGCTACGGTAGTCGTGGCGCTGCATCTCATATTGGCTATCGAACGCCAACCCGCGAAGCGACGCTGTACGCACAGACACTGCTGTCATCCGAATCATTTATTGTAGTGCCATCGGCTGATCTGGAGACACACGTGCTGAGCGATGACGAAGATTCCATCGCTCGATCGTCATGTTCTGCTTGGAAGAAACGACAACCGTCTAGTAGCAAATGGCATGACAACGGGGATGACGACGATGATGATGACGGCGGCGGCAGCGGCAAGTTGAGTCCAAAACAAGCGTCTGCTCGTACTGTCCCTGGTTCTGTAGCATCGGGGCTGTCGTCATCTCAATGGCACTGGGCATTGTCGCAAAAAAAACAATGCATCTGAGGTGGATGGATGGTCGGTCGGTCATTCGGGCGAGCGCGGCTCGGTGAGTGCTAACGAGAGCAACACCAACTCCCGCAGTGTTGGTTTCAAGGTCCGGCGCGTCGACGCGGGGGCAGCGCAACGCCGGAGCAGCCGAGAAAATCCCTTCTTTGCAGCAGCACAACACAGAGCTCAACTCGCGTCTGCTTCTCCTCGATTTCCTGTTCAACGGTGAGGATGCAGTGGAGCGAGGCTAGGTTAGAGCCAAGCTACACACAATACTCCCGTGGTAAGACCTTGGCTCATCCGCTAGCAACAAACGATGCAATTTTGCCTCGAGCTCCAAGACAGGGGTCTCCTGAACGAGGTTGAGCTTGAGCTTGGCGGCATCGTACCTGTATTCCGCCGCGAGCAGCGGGGAGCTCAAAGTTCAAAATGAGAAAAAATGTTGAGATGAGGATCTACGTTTTCCCTTTTGTCCAAATCCCAGTGACCGACCGACCGAGCGAGCGAGCGTGCGCGTGCCTTGTTTCGAAAACGAAGCGAAAAGGAGGTCTCTCTGCATGCACGCTACACAGTGGGATGACGTGCGAGGCGATCTGCGCTGCATGGCCTGCAACCAACACTGAGACATTTTCTCGCCCTTTTGGGTGTCTCCAGATTGAACAGGAAGATCGATTCGGCACGTCGCTTCTGCTCGACAACCCCTGACTGGCAGCATCACCAGCCTCGTTGCGCAGAGCAATCGACGTCACTTGGCCTTGCAACGGCAGCGAGACAAGCCTCGACGTCACCTGCGCAACCTCGTGATATGGAAGCGATCGACAGATACGATCTGCAACCATGATCTGCAACCAAGATCTGCAACGCTCGCTTCCGTCGTTGGTGCAACGCTGCGTGGAAAATCAAAACATCATGACGACAATGGCGGCAGAGGGTAGCGCTCTGCATGGCAATGTCTGAGCATGCAGCCTGTTCAATCGGACAAACGACCCTATTCAATCAACAATGAAGGCGAACCCGGGCGAGGGCGGCATGAACGCGAAACAACAATTGCACCTCTCGACAGGACTTGCAGTACTCCTCTTGCCAGCCAAGCAGCGCTTAGCCCATTTTGCAATTGATCGTTCGACACGATAGTCCACCATGCAGGACGGATCCGAACGGGCATGCAGCGCTTGGCTGTCATGGAAAGAACTTTTCTTCCAGACTGGGTAAGCTGTTCGAGATACACTGTATTTTCCGACGCAAGCAGCACATGTTTCTGCAGACGATCAGCGGGTCAGTCACACAGCCAGCGGTATTTCAAAAGCAAGCAAGATCCGAGTGGCCCTACCTGGCAAGGCGAATCCAGGTACCGAAGGCGTCGGAGCCAAATATTCTCCTGTGTGTTTTCAGCTGGCGCTTCCGTCTGCTCTAAGCGACACCGACGTGCTCGCTTCCTTGTGTGTCTTGTGCTCGCCAGACATGTCGTGCGGCCGTTCAAACATGCCACATCAGAGTTGGCGGATAACTTGTTGGCTCAATGGTGCCGGAAGAACTTGACGGTAGCTCGCAACGGGAGCAGAGCCTGTTGCAAACAAGAAAAGAATGGACTCAACGTGGATCACCAGCCGACGCAATCGACGTGTTGCACGCCGAACAGTCAAACGGTTGACACTCGTCAGTCGCAGGATCGCGAGCAAATTGCTCGGATTTCCGCTCGCTAAAGGTCAGTCGAAACGACCTTCTCCGGAATGTCAATCTGTTTGACAAGCTCGCTTAACAGCGTCCCACTGCACACATGTCCTGCTACATCAGCTGCGTTTCGACGACCTCTATCTCTCGTGTTGCAGTGACCTGCGGCTCCATTGCCACGCTACTGCAGCCACCTCTTCGCCAAGGTGTAGGTGCAGCTGTAGCTGTGGCTTGATTCTCGGCCCTCGCTTCTGTCCTGCAAGACAAGGGCGAGACACCGACACCAACCGTAAAATTGTACACTCTAGCCCTGGAAATGCGATGTCCACTAGCCTTACACATCTGTGAGCACATGACGTTTTTCCGACACTGCGAACCCTTCTAGCATCTTCCGATCATGCAATGAATCGCATCTGAGAGGAGGAGTTGTTCGAGTCGCCTTTCACATTTGAAACGGCAAAAGCCCATTCTTACTTTGGATGGCTGCTTTCTTCTCGGACATTGACCCCGGCAAAAGAACACGCCGGGTCGGGGCCTGAAGGGTCCTGCAGGCACAATCAAGCCCCATGTCAAGACCAGCGGCAAAAGAACAAGCTAATTTGATGCTAAAGAAGGTGGTGAGCGTGCAGGAAAATCTTGCGTGTGGCGTGCCTTGTCTAAAGGGAAAATCAAAGTTGCGGAGCTGGGAGCGGGATTCGATGCACCATGTGCTGCACTGCACTTCGGGCGCACCTCTTGCAGCAAATCGCAGATCATTGTTCTTCTCCTTCGTCCTAACCTTTGTTCTTTCCATCATCTCGTCCCTCGGTCTCCTAGCGTCTTGGCAAAAGCCCTTTCTTCTCGCTTTAGCTCGCACAAACCACATTTAGCTTTTGCGCGAACAACACTTTAGAGCTCGTTGAACGGCGTTCCAACGATTCAGAAGATCATTCCTCGCTTTCTTCTAGCGGTACCCTCGGGGTAAATTTAGAGCTTGTTTATCCCTGGCGAGCAGGTCAAAGGGATCACGGCGCACTCATCGCCGGATCCGCTCTGAACGAGTCGTTCTCGAACGAGAAGAAGGTGTTTGGTCGAACGACATCTCGAGCCTCTTGCTCCAGCTACGGACTGATGGCGGAGGTAGCGCTTATGCTTAAGACTGGCTACCGCCCAGCTACTTAGATTGGCATCGACAAGCATGCTGATGCGCTTTCCTGGCAGGAACACATGAGAGCGGCAAACTGAGATAGAGACACAGACCGAGTCGTCATGGAACGAACGAAGCTGCGATGCGATGCGCTGCCATGCTATGTAGGTGCAAGCAAGCGGGATGAACGGGGAGTGAACAGGCGCTTCGGCTGATGTTTGCAGAGCAAATACAGGTAGAAATCAAGCAAAGGTAATGCTCGTCGAGGCGTTTGAATCCTGTCACTGCGAAAGAGAAACCTGCACTTCTTCTTGTTTATGCTTCGACGTCGGCGAACAGCGTCACCGGCAGCCGCAACGCACCACGAAACGAAACGAGCAGCCGTGAAAATCTGGCTATGTGAGGTCGAAGCGTGGTCACAATACCTAGTGAAATCGCCGATTCTTTGATTGACCGCTCTGATTCATCGAGATGGTCCGAACTTTCTCCACAGACCCTTGCCAGAAACTTTGGCAGAACGTCAAGAAAAAAAAAAAGTCCGGAAGAAAAGGCAATTTTGACATCGAAAAAATTTCGAGCAAGGGTGCACAGTCTCAACTTCTTACACTTGCACATCGAACAGCGAGCTACCATCATCCATCTCCGTCATTACTGGCCAGGTCAAGATCGTTCAGAGACCTTAATTCGAAACGTTAGACGAGCGCTAGTTTGGGAGAGCCGCCTTCAATCGCAGCCTCGATCGGACCGACTTCCGCTCTTGCAAGAGGTGCACCTGCTCGCGCTGCTATACCCGTCTCCAACCTTGTCCTTCTGCAACGGCATCACAAGCACCGATGAACGGAAACAATCTTCAGCTCTTCTGGGAGATCGCCTCATCCAATCAGGATGCAAGGCTTACTTCGGCGAATCAGCTCGTCGAGGAGCTCCTCTCCCAACAGGACGTGCTCGCCTCCTCCTCAAAGATCACCCTCGACCTTCCCTCGCCACCAGAAAGCAGCGACGACGACGACAGCCAAGACGACGTCAACGTAGACGAAGCAGAGGCAGAGGCTGTCGAGGATGCATTGGGCAACCGCACCGTCGCAGATCTGATGTACGCCCTTCGACGATTGTTGCGTGGCCTCGCTAGTCCAAGGGAAAGCTCGCGTCTCGGCTTTGCCGTGGTGCTCACAGAGCTCCTCTCACGCATCAGCTATGCAGTCACTGCCAAAGAGATCCTCACCCTCATCCTCAAATACTCGAATCCGCAAGTCGCCGCCAGCAGACAGGAGCAAAAGGACTTCATGTTTGCCAAGCTCTTCGGTATCATGAGTCTCGTTCAATCCGACTTGCTCGTCCAACCCACAGCCACCTTGCACGACTTCAAACGCTCCATGCGCATTCTCATTGCTCTTTCCTCGGACAAACCATGGATGGCCGAGAGCTGCGCGTGGGTGATGGTCAATGCCGTAGCCCAGATCCAACGTCCAGATGTCAAGATCGGATGGTCGCAAGCAGCACAGTCTTGGATGACCGAGCAGATCTCCTCCACCAAGGAGCTGAGCCCTGAGAAGCTCGCCGTCCTGCTGCAGCTGAGTCATGGAGCAGGTGCCGAGTTCTTTGCCGACACAGCGCTCCCGACTATGCGCAAGGAGCACCCGCTCTCGACGGCCAATCTCGCTTCGCTCGCACGCGTGCTCAAGGAGGCGATCCCGTCCGAAAACGAGTCGGCCGCTCCCGCCGGCGCGCGCTCTCGCTGGCAAGCCAAGATCCACTTTGTCTGGGATCTCATCCTCGACATCTTCTTCGATCCTGCCGCCACCACAGCAGAGGCCAAGATCTCGTCCTTCCCCGACTTCTACCGCGTCGTCGTCGACGAAACCCTCTTTGCCGCTGCTTCCTCGCACGATCGCAAGTCGTGGGGATTCCAGGTCTTCCAGCGTGCCCTTCCGCGTGCCAACGATGCAGACAAGCCAATGCTCTTTACGCCCAACTTCATGCGCACGCTCATCAACCAGCTCGGCAACCGCGACAGACTCCTCCACCGTGCCGCCGTCAAGGCTACCGAGACCATTCAGGACGTCGTCAAGCAGCAACCGCATCTCGGCTTCGTCCTCGTCACCCAGCTCATCGGCAAGAACGGCCACCAGAACTTCGATTCCATCACAAAGACCAAGACGGTCGAACAGGTGCTTTCGTCGCTCGACATTGATCGTGTGCGCGAGTACGTCAAGCACCTAGGCGACATCATCTGCCAGGGCATCGAGACCGAAGACGAGGACGAGGTGATGGAGATCACCAACCGAAGAAAGTGGGCGCTCGATCAGCTCTTGTTCTTGGTACGCACACCTACCGTTCCCAAGGACGACGAGCTGCTTGTCGACATCCTAACCTTCCTCGCCGCGCACGGATACTTTACCATGCAGAAGCCGCTCAAGAAGTGCTTCCTGCTCGAACGTCTGCCCACGCCTGCCTTCACCGACTCGCTCAAGCAGGTTACCCGTTCGCGCTTCCTCTCGAGCGTTTCCGAGCTGGCCAAGCAGGCAACGTCGTCCACCGTCGCTGCTGGTAAGAAGACACCCGGCGTCGCTCAGGACGGTCAGCTGTGGCTCGCGAAAGCCCACAACGTCCTGCTCCAGCTCGAGAAGGACAAGAGCTTCAAGTCGATCTTTGACCACGACGACGAGATCGCAGCCAAGCTCGCAGATGGCGTGCGCTGCCTGGAAAAGGTGCGCAAGTTCGAGGCAAAGAGCACGGATGTTGATGTGAAGGACCGCACGCGGGCTTTCCAGTCGCTCCTCCTGTCGGCGCTGCTTGTGTCGGCGGATGCGGCCGACGGCGCGTCCGACTTGGTCGAGCCGCTGTCTGCTTGCGCAGACAAGCTCTTCCCCGCTGCTACTGCTGCTTCATCGCGCAAGGGCAAGCAGATCCTCGAGGAAGGGGAGGACGAAGTCACCGGCATCGAGTTGCTCTGCGACTGCCTGCTCAGCTTCCTCGAGCTCTCGTCTGCCTTCCTGCGCACTTCGGCTTCCAATGCGTTCGAAGCCTTCTCGCAGGACATGACCAAGTCGAGCATCGGATTGCTCCTCTCGCATCTCGGCACCGCCGACGAGGTAGCCGAGGAGCAAGACGACCAAGACGAGGAACTGGACGAAGACGACGCATCCGCATCGGAAGAAGCTGACCAGGACGGAGAGGTTTCGGACACCTCGGCTACCAGCGACGACGAGGACGATGCCTCGGATGCAGACCACGAGGAGGAGGACGATGACGAGAACGAACCGGTTGATGAGGAGCTTCGGGCTCGCGTTCGCGCTGTGCTCAAGGAGTCCGGTATGGCCGATCCTGAAGACGATGATACTCTCAACGCAGAGGACGATGATGACGAGGCGGACGATGCACAATCGGATGCAGGCTCTGATTCGAGCGTCGAGTTCTCGGATATGGGCGATGACGAGATGATGCTCTTGGACGATAAGCTGGCCGAGGTGTTCCGTCAGCGCGTATCCGCAGTCCGTGGTCAAAAGGAGGCCAAGCAGGAAGCCATCGCCTTGCGATTCAAGGTTTTAGAACTCGTCGAGATCTTTGCACGCAAGCAGCCGCAGAGCCCCTTGATGCTGGATCTCATCCTCCCCCTCTATGAGCTATGGACCAATCGAGACGAGGACACCGAACAGCTCGCCACCAAAGCTCGCACTTTGCTCATCAGCCGCATCAGCAAAGCCAAGACCGTTCCCGACGAGTTCGCCGCGGACCAGTTGACCGCCCTGCTGCAGCGAATGCACACAGAAGCACGCGAGTCATCCTCCAACGATGTCTCGAACGTCAGCTCGGCTCTCAATCTCTACCTCACCAAAGTCGCTCTCTCCTCCAGCCCTGATAAAATCAGCGCAGCATTGGAAGGACAACTTGTCTCGATCTACCGCGAGTCGTTGCTCGACTACCTGCTGCGAAAATCGTCTCGTCTGCGTCACGAGTTCCTCATCGATGCGTTCCGACGATTCCCCCTGCTCGGATGGGAGCTTCGATCGGAGCTGCTGGACAACGTCCGACCGGGCGCGGCGACACGAGCCTTCCGACAGGTGCAGGTCATGTCGATGCTCCAAGCCGTGCTGACTCAAATTGCCCAGCGAACGGAAAAGAGCGGGGAAGTGTTGGCCTTCGTACCCGAGATCAGCAACGCTTTCGTTTCGATCGTCAACGATGCTTGCGAATCCAGCACTGGAATGACATCGAATCACCTCAAGGACACGATCAAGTTTGTCCTCCAAGTTGCCAGGATCAGCGCTAAGGTGGGTGAAGCGGAGAAGGTCAAGAGCGCATGGAAGGTGGGCAAGCTGCAAGAGGCAGGGGAGAAGCTGCAGGCATCGGAAAAGTTCAAAGCGTCGACTTCGATCCATGATCTGATGAAGCAGTTGCTCAAGGTCATTCAGCCCGATGCGAAGGGGGAAGCGGCGGGAAAGAAGAAGGACGGCAAGAACAAGAAGCGCGCTGCGAATGAAGAGGTCGGTGCGGGGAGCGAGACGAAGGTGAACGGCAAGTCGCCATCGCCCAAGAAAAAGGTCAAGTCGAGCGACAAGTGATCAGGGGAGTTTCGAGAGGGATGGGTTTCCATTGTCACAGTGTAATACAATAGGTGTTCGAGCACAGTATCATACAACAACTCTGCTGCACGCCGACAGAGAATGAATGTGACTGTAGAGAAAGAGACAGACGCTTGCCTGACTCGGGTTTGAAGCTTTGCGTGGGTTCCGCAGCGGCAGCACCCAAAGAAAATGGTTTGCTCTGCTGGCTGTGCCATGTGCGAAAATGAGTTGTCACAATCGTGTCGCGCTCCCCTTCAAGCGCCAGATTGTCGACCTCGAACAGCTTGGTGCGTTCCTGGATACATGATGAAGCTCAAAGCGCGATAGTCAACCGTCCATGAATGATGAGATCGACCCACTATCGCCAGCATTGGCACTGGCGCAGCAGGAGACGAGGTCGGCAACTCTGTAAGAAAGTCTCGGGTCACTTTCTTATGTGAACAGGCGGTCCAGTTGGGGAATCGTACCATTGGCCGGTGGTCTTCGCCATAGAGATCTGCAAGCTGCACTGCACGCAGAAGAAAGAGAGTTGCATACAAATTCGATTGACAAGCGGAGGGTGTGCTGCAATGTACTTCAATTGGATTGAACGAGCTGCAAGAGGCTGCAAGATGGAAATATCTACCGTACACGTGGATTTCAATTTGGCTTGCGTGAGACTACAATGAGAAGCAACACCCACAGCCAAAAGTTGTATTCGAGCCTGCATTGACGCTTCCAATGACCGGTCTGACTTGGAAATTTCTTTACCATGGCCTGTATGCAGCAAATTGCCGAATTTCCACCGGTTTTCCCGCCCAAGCTGGCTGGCTACTTGTGCATGTTTGAACTGCGCTTCTATAGGCCTGTTTTTGGGCTAGTCGTGTGTGACTGTGTCGAGAGTGGAAGCCTGGTGTAGGCTCGTGCTGCTGCGATGAACCCCTTTCGCCAATGGCTTCTGCTGTCTACGTGTGTCTCCTTTCTGCGCCTCTCCCGTCTCGACGCCCGCCCACACTCACCTCGCTTCTCTTGTTTCCTTTCTGGATTCTGTTGGCTGTCTCAGTGCAGCCCTTTGCTCCGTTCGCTCCGCTGTCTTCCGCTCTCTCGCGTTGACTTCTCAACACACAGATTTACACACACAGACACACAGACACACAGACACACAGACACACAGACACACAGACACACACTCACATTCTCGCAACTCACGCAACTCGCACGCGCAGTCTGAAGCAGCTTTCCGTTGCCCTTCCTCTTCCTTCCTCCTCTTCTTTCCCATACTTTCCGCATTCACCCTCTCAACCTCTCCCTACATCCGCTTCACCTCCTCCTCTGACGCTTCACGTTGCGGGCTCTTCGACACCCTTCTCGCGCGTCAACCTAAACGGCAGCTGCGGCAGCATCCACGTTTTTCAAGGCAATTGCTGTCGTCGTGATCGGTGCAGGCACTGCGCGATTGCTTCTACACGCCGACCTCTCCAGGCCTCACATCGATCCCCAGCGGCGGTCATCAACTGCCCACCTCCATCGTGACCCAGCTGTCCGAATCATCCCTTCCCGCTCCGAATCCGCGCATTCTATCGTCTCTCTCTCGAACAAGAACGACCTCTCTTCGTTTCCAAGACAAAAGCATTGCACACGGTACTTTACCACACTGGTCTCATCTCAGGCATAGCCACAGCAGCTCCATCGTCGTCGTTCCATAGTCTCGACCCACTCAGCTCCCTGATAAGCCGTCCTTCCGAGCTCCGTCAAATCAGCAACCGACTGAACCTCTCTCTGCCTCTTCTTCGACCGCTCTCCCATGGCACAGCCGCTTTCGCAGCCCTATCACAACTCGTTCGCATCCATGACATCTCACGCTTCCCACGCGAGCTCCGGCTCCAACGTCGTCGGCGTCCACTACCGTGTCGGCAAAAAGATCGGAGAGGGCTCCTTCGGTGTCATCTTTGAAGGCACCAACCTGCTCAACAGCCAGACCGTCGCCATCAAGTTTGAACCACGCAAGAGCGATGCACCCCAGTTGCGCGACGAGTACCGCACCTACAAGATCCTCGCCGGCTGTCCCGGTATCCCGCAGGTCTACTACTTTGGCCAGGAGGGTCTCCACAACATCCTCGTCATCGACCTGCTGGGTCCATCCCTCGAGGATCTGTTTGACATGTGCGGTCGTAAATTCAGCATCAAGACCGTCGTCATGACCGCCAAGCAGATGATCACGCGCGTCCAGACCATCCACGAAAAGAACCTCATCTACCGCGACATCAAGCCAGACAACTTTTTGATCGGTCGTCCCATGACCAAGGGTGCCAACCTCGTGCATGTCGTCGACTTTGGTATGGCCAAGCAGTACCGCGACCCCAAGACGAAGCAGCACATTCCCTACCGCGAACGCAAATCGCTCAGCGGCACTGCGCGATACATGTCCATCAACACCCACCTGGGTCGCGAGCAATCGCGACGAGATGACCTCGAGGCGCTTGGACACGTCTTCATGTACTTCCTCCGCGGTGGTCTGCCATGGCAAGGTCTCAAGGCGGCGACCAACAAGCAGAAGTACGAGAAGATTGGCGAGAAGAAGCAGAGCACACCCATCAAGGAGCTCTGCGAAGGCTTCCCCGAGGAGTTTGGCATCTACCTCAACTACGTACGCAAGCTTGGCTTTGAGGAGACGCCCGACTACGATTTCTTGCGCGAGCTCTTCTCCAAAGTGCTCAAGAGTTCGGGTGAGCAGGAGGATGGCGTCTTTGACTGGATGCTGCTCAACAATGGCAAAGGATGGGAGGCGGGTACCAACCGAGACCGTCGCGACGACCGCGATCGTCAACGAGAGACGCGCGCATCGGCTGTCCCGCAAGCATCGGCAGCGGCCGCGCAGCAGCAGTCGTCGGCGTTGGCCCGCAACGGGTCCAAAGGCGGACGCAAGTCGGGAGGAGCACAACAGCACATGCAGAGCGACCGATCGCAGGCTGGCCAACTGCGCGCAAGTCACGGCGATTACACGCAGAACGGGTCCGGCTACGGAGGTGTGGGGCACGCATCGAACGTGGCTGTTCACGACGCTACCGTCGCAGGCATCCCCACCCAGAACGGTACCCGGGAGCACAGCCATGTGGGTCACATGACACCCACTGCCATGTCTTCCGGGAACGGACTGGACGGCCGTCGTGGCGACACGCGCCAGGCTGTGGGTATCAGCAACGGAGAGGATCACCCTGCGGAACGAAAAACGTTCGGTCAGAAGTTGGTGGACGTGCTGACGTGCCGATGCGGTTGAACAACCTGCGAGAGGCCAGTCAGTGTTGCGTACCACGAAGGCAATGATACCCTCTGTCGCAAGGCACATCAACGTCCATGTCCACAGCCTTATTCCCTTCGTTTGCATATCCTGCCATCTCCGTCGAACGCTAGGCTGAGTTCCTCAGCTGAGCAACGACACTCCGCTTCCATGCTACCACCACCACATCTCTTCTCTCACGCGCATGCACTCCGCTAATCGCTCATGTCTCATCATCTCCAACCCACCCATTTCAACTCTCAGTGTACATTCTTGCTCTCCCTCACTCGCCCTCTCTTCACGTCAACTTGATCCTTGGCCCTTTTTTGTTCTCTCAGGTCGTCACAAACCAAAAATCCAAACGCTCTCTTTTTTCATCTCAAACCTCGCTTTACTCTGGTTTGACCTTGATTCGAGACATGTGTAGAATTCCTGCATTATCGCTTGATGTTGGCTCTTGAGGTGTGAAAGCGATGAATTCGAGGATGATGGGCGAGGAGGGCTGTGCGAATCGGTCGGGATGTGGTAGGGTGGTGTAGGGGTAGCGGAGTGGAGTCGCTGTGAGGGGGTGAGGTTGACTAAGCGAGAGCGAGATGTGTGCATGGGCCCTGTCGGGCATTTTTTTTCGGGCGGACATTTTGGGTTTTGGCGGGAGTGAAGAAAAAAAGTTGTTTCTTCTTTCCTTTCCTCGACGATACTCTGTTACGATTTCGACACATCGGACACCACCGCGAGGACTCGGTATCGCATTGCGACCAACAGGATTTGCAGGCGTTTAACCCAGAAAAGCTGTGGGAGATAAACTCGATCCCCAAAGTAGACACAAGAAAACAAGCCGAGCAGTACGATGGTGATTTCAACCATGGTTGCGACAGGTGCTGGTAGGGTAGCGATGACGACGCTCTCCCGTACAGGTGCTATGGGACGAGCACCAACAACGGCAAGAACGACGATCGACTCTGTAAACCGCTTCAAGCCACTGCATACATCGGCCGCGCTTTACGCACCCATCACACCACCACCACCACCACCCCCTCCCTCTTCATCATCATCAACACCACTCACATCCTCACCACCACCACCGCGCAGTAACGTCTCCTCTCGACCCACAAAAGTCAACCACAAACCTCTTCCCAGCGTTCCCAACACCCTCCCTATCCTGCTCACATCCGTCATCCTCGCCCTCCTCTCATGGACCGGTTTCACCATCTACGCCACGAACAAGGAAAAACTATCGTCGAGCATCTTCAAATCCGTCCTTACCACTGTCAAGACCTCCCCTGAGATCTCTTCTCTCTTCTCTTCATCTACCCCGGTAGTGTTGAAAAGGGAAACATGGCTAGGTGGTCAACCACGCGTGCAAGGCGCGGTGAATATGATGCAGGGACGAGTGGATTTGGCCTTCCAAATCCACCCACAGGGAGAGCAGGACAGGACGGCGACGGTGTACTTTACAAGTATCAGGGAGAGCAAACACAGCCCGTTCGAGATCGTCAGGTTCGTGGTGGTGGAGGATGGAACGGGCAAAGTGGTCAGTCTGTTGGAGAGCGGTGGGTTTAGAAGTATCGATGTTGAGAGTGGAGATATCGTGTAAAAACTGGGAAGGAATGTTAAAAACCATTTGGCAAGGAAAAGCCCAGCTGTGAAGACCTGAGGTTTTGAATCGACGTTGTGAGACGCACAGAAGTGAGGAGAAATGTGCAAGGGAGAGAAACCGCCAACAGATCGGGCACTGAGGAAAGCCGAGTTTGTGTCAGTTACCAAGCAGCTTCGAAGGGAGGAAGAGTCATGCTCGGGAGCACATTCGCAAAGCCCGCACGCAAGAGTCGCACATTCTTTTCACGCGAGAACACAAAACACACACCGAACACACCATCAAAACCCACACATTGTCATTCGCATAAGTGGCAAATCCCTCAATCGGACAAGTGATACCTCTGGACGTGCGGATCCACGCCGCCTCTCGACATGGGCTCGTTCGACGTCGTCGGCTGTACGCCCCTGGCACCCGCTACGAAGCTGGCGTAGTCGGGCGGGGGACCGTCGACGGGACTGGAGGCGCCGAGGGAGGAGCCGCTCGCCCAATCGCCGTTGCCCCTTGTGAGCGGAGTTTCTTCGTCCTCCCTCGCCACGCTCTGCTGTGCGGGTTTGAGTGCGGCGGGGGGATCGCGGAAGGGGGAGGTTGGTTCGGCGGTGGAAAGCGGGATGTTTTGACGCGTGGGGCGGTGGAACTGCAGGGGTGCGGTGGATGGTTGGCGGCCCGCTGGCGCCGATGCTGAAGGCTGGGTTGGGTACAGCGTCCCTGCTGGCGGTGGCGCGGAAAAGTCGCCTCTCTGTCGATTTGTCCCTGCCGACTTTGGCAACCTCCCGTACGCGGAATCGTTGAACGTCTCCTCCGAAACATCACCCACTCCACCACCAGCCCAACTATCCTCAACCCCCTCCTCGCGACGATAGCCATAACTGGCATCCACCGCACCTCTTCCCCCCATCATCGGCGGATAGGTATGCTCCTCCCTCCCATTGAACCCTTCCGTGCCGGGCGTCCTCGCCTGCAGCAGCAGCTCGTACCTCTTCTGCCTCAACCTCTTGCTCACCACCGGTCTCACCTTCTCCATCTTCTGGTACAACCAGTACGCCGTCCACACCGTAATGATGAAACTGATCACCAGCACCACGTACTTGATCACTTTGCTCTTGGTATCCTCCGTCCCCGTACCGGAATTTTTGATGGCTACACCGAGGTATACAATCAGCAGCTGCTTGGGTAACGCGAGGATGGCAGCGAACGTGAAGACGAAGATGTTCATACCGACGGTGGCGAACACGGCGGTGGTGAAGTGTCCGGGGATGGCCGAGAGGCGGGCGAGGAACATGACCCAGAAGCCACCGTCTCGGACCATCTCGGCCATGCACGCGTAGTGGATGTTCTTCTTCTCGTAGTTGCTCGCCATACTCCTGAGGCAGTGTTTGAAGGCGTAAAAGTTACCGATCTCTCCCAACAGCGTTCCCAAGCTGGCAATGCCGAAACCGATCCAGATGCCGTACACCAGTCCAACGAGGATCAGCACGATCTCGTGTCCGAACAGCGGTGGGAAGGAGATGATGAACAGAATCGCCACGGGTATGACCCAACCCCACGCTACGGTGGTGACCTTTTTCGAGATGGGTGTCAACCAATCCACGATCTGTCTGTGGTAGATCGTGGTGAGGGCAACGATGGCGATGACGACGACGAGCATGACCCACCAGTGAAGGTACCTCCAGTGAAACCAGGTCTTCCACTGTTTCAGTAGATCCTTTGCCGCCTGGACACCGCTCTTGCCACCGTTGGGTTCGTCGAGATCGGGCGGGAACTGCTTCATGATCTCGCGCTGTTCCGCGTTGAGTCGCGACACATCCGGCGGCGTATCCGGAAGCAACCCGTCCGACGCCTCGATCCGATGTCCCCGTCCGACACCGTATCGACCGGAAGCTTCGTCCTTGGTGAAAGCGTACTCGGTCCCGCGCAGCGTGAGATCCTGACCCCCATCGTCGGACAGGTTGGTGGTCGGATGAGGTTCTTTCGTGTACGGTGTTTCGCGCGTGTAGGATTGACTGTGGTTCGAAAAGCTCGGACGGAGTTGTTCAGAGGCCGGCGTAGTGTTGTTGTAGGGGTCGTGGTAAGGGTGGAGGTTGTAGGAAGAGTTGGCGGTGGGGCCAGCGTGGAAGTGGTTGTAGTCGAGACCGTCTTGGTGCGAGCCCAACATGTTGGTTTGCGAGGTAGAGTATGGGTATGCTTGCTGATGCGGTTGATAGGGTGCATCGGTGAGTGGGTTATCGTAGAAAGGTTGCCGCCCTGACGGCTGCTGAGAGTAGTACGGGTTCGACATTGGTGTCGGTCTTGAGACAGTTCGAGTTACACGAAGGGTATTGGTGTGTGTGCGTGTGTGGGGAACCCGTCGAGCCGATCGAAGCTGGAAGGAGGGTGCACTCTACTGTTCCGGTCTATCTCGATGGACGAGAACAGACGATGTCGATTCCAAGGTGCAAGGACCTCGTCCGGTCAAGATTGACGAGCTTCGTCTACGCCGTACGCGACGTCAACCCCAACGAGAAAGTGTCTCCTTGTCGAACTGCCGTGCCGATGTAATCTGCCGAAGAGTGACGTCGAGCTCGAGCCCTATGTGATCGCTGCTCCGTCGTCTACGATACGTCTTAGGGTAATGTATGCTATGAGGAGAACCAGCTCCAAAAACCAAGATGATGGTCGACAATGTCGTTGCGTGCTGCGAACCCTTTGTGCCTGTGCAACGCAATGCAATCGACTCTGCCTTTTGACGCATCTTGCAGCTTAATTTCTCGCAGCGAGGGCGGTGCTGCTGCAACTGGAAAAATGCCGACAGACGCGGGGCAGTGCAACTTTCAACGCACACCCGAACGTGCCGCGTCTCACTGCCTGGAAATTGACATTTCGCAGCGAAACCGTCGTGCACGGTGCGGCCGACGGCGGAGTCGGATGAATGTCTATATCGCGATCAAGCCGTTCTTTTCACTTTTCACGTCCAGAGCACGGTCACAAGCAGCTTCCCCGCGAGGATCACACAGCAAATGTCAACTAAAAACTTCTTCGTTCAATGCGAGAACACGATCTATGAGGTAACAGTAAATGGATACGGGAACGGTATGGCAGTGCGTGCAAACAAGACGACTCGTCGTCAACCGATGCGCCAGGAAGCTCCGTGAAGTCTGATGCTGAGCCTGAAGCTAGGAGCCACCGTGTAGCAAAACTGGGAACAACTCGTTCGCAACGACTTCACCGCAATGCTCGGCACTGACGCTGTTCCGGAGGGTATACGTGCTCAGAAAGCAAGAACCTCTTTACACGATTGAGGTTCAGACCGTCGCTGGTTCGCCATCCGACGTCTCATCCGTGAAGTGCCAGCTCGTGCAATCCTGACACTTCTCCTCCGACCTCGCCTTCGGTACAGCTAGCTTGTCGTCCTCGTCCGTGTCATCATCCGAATCTCCATCGTCATCTGCGCTATCCCCCCTATGCCACGGCCATCTCCACCCGCGAATCCCCACTCGGCCCGCCGCCTCCTGATCACCTACGCTGCGCAACTTGGCCTTCTTCTTGCGCACCTTTTCGCTCCAGTCCTCGGTCAAGATGTCGTCGACCAGCGTGTTGATGCGGTGAGAGTTGACCGACATGGACCAGCCTAGCTTGCCCACCGTGTCGTACACGATGCTCTTGCCCGCGTGGCACTTGGACTCCATGGCGTAGCCAAAGTTGGAGCAGATCGAGCCAGCACCGTTGCATGTGCCCGTGGCGATCGGATCGGCGTTGTTGTAGACGTGCACGATCGGAAGTGCTGCCACTGGGCTTTCGTCCGGATGTCTCGCTGGCGGCAAGGGCAGATGCAACCGCATCGCCGCCATTCGCTCACCGGGCGCTTGAAATGTGATCGTCGGAACACCAAACGTCATGCCCAGCAACGATGAGAGTGCGCCTCCAAGACTGTGACCCGTAATCCAGACTTGCGAGTCCGGATAGGCATACGAGATGTTGTTGAACAGATCCGTGATGGCCGGGTAATAGAGCGACTTTTCGATCAACGCTCGTTCCACACAGGTTTGACCGCATCGGTCGCCGTGGCCTTGATAGCAGTCGCACACGGTCGACCACGACCACGACACTCGCGCACAGCAGCACGAGAACAGCAGATTGTCGTTGGTCTTGTCCCGACGTGCCGTATCTCCTCCCCCCAAGAAGACGTTGGACGTTCCCTTGAGCGCCACGATGATCGTGTCGTTGTCGTGCGTGGTGAAGATGTGACCGCGAATGCCATCGCCATCCCATCCGAACGAGTTGCCTGGATCGAAGCCTCCATCGCCCTCCCAGTCGGTCGTGTCGTTCTTGTACGCTGCGGATGCCATCTTGGCGAAAGCAAGCACCGTGGTGCGGTCCGTTACGTCAGGTGCTTCCACTTCCACGTCCTCCCAATCCAATTCCGTCGACGCCGCACACATTGCATCCTTGTAAGATTGGCCGCGCACCTCGAGGTACCTTTTCGGATCTTTCGCTCTTGTGATACGCTGTCGAACGGTGCGGATGGCAGGGATGAAATCGAGATTGGCCTGATTGGCTTGCACATGGTCGGCGGTGATTTTGAAATCGAAGCTGGCCTTCGCCCGCTCGTGCGATTTGTCTCCTATCCCTCGATGATAGGCTTCCCTCAGCCCAAAGGTCTTGACGTTGGCTTGACTCGTCTGCCTGGCGCCGTAGAGAGATCGTATCGAAGAGCCGAATACTTGCTGCAGATAGGAGGTTAGGGCGAAGGGTTGATCGAAGGCGGACACAGCGAGATCCGACTTTGGCGGTATGAGTCCTTCTATGACGACGGCGTTGACTGTCCAGAATGATAGTAGTAGACATGCTGCGATCAGCAGCCCTCTTTGAAAGGTTGTGTGCATGTTGATGTCTGGTCGGCTGACGGCGAGCCAGCTTCACACGAGATGCATCAGAAGCCCCAGTTGATCGATTGAGCTGGGGCAGCAAGACACAGGGCCGGGCGACGAATCCAAGATTGCGAATGTCTCTTTCCTGTGCACAGCGTTCTGCAGTAGTGAATTACTTGGACGCAGACGTTCGATAGTGATGTTGGTAAGGTGGCAAGGTGTTGCTGTTCCGGTAGAGCTACAGTACACCCTAATTAGGAGTTTGTGGTGCTGAGCTCGCTAGCTGGCCGTGTCATTTTTGAAATAGGGTTTCCTCCACAAAAAACACACCCTTGCTGGTCCGCATCCTCCGATAAGAAGCGCGCGCGTCTTCCAGGCCTCTTACAAGAGAGCCCACAAATTGTGTCTTACACCCACACACAGCGTTAGCGCGTGAGACTGCCCCAAAATTCGTCACTTGAGCCTTCTGCCTCGCCATCATCTTGCGTCTGCCTCGCTGCTCGTCGCACACGTTCACGTTCTTTCCAACTACACATGCCACAAGAGTTTGTTGTTGATCCGAGTGTCACCGTTGCCAAGCTATGGCAATCGGAACCAAGCAAAGTGGTGGTTGTTATTTTGTGGTGGTGGAAAGTTACCTACAACAAGGACGAGAACAAGATAGAGAAAGAAAATAGCCAAACCATGTTGTTACAGAGTAGAATAAGTGAGAAGAGGGCCTAATGGACCTGTCAATCAACCTGGTCGTGCCAAGGTCGACGCCAAGTCCTGTTTCCAGAGATTGATTTGAGTGCCAGGGCTGCCTGACAATCAACTATTGTACAAGTGCGAAGGGAGCATAGGGAGTGGGGGCAAAAATGACCGGATCACATGGTCGTATGTCGTCTTTTTGACTCGGTCAGCTAGATCGAGTCACTGAGAGTCGACACTGACGTTGCCGACCTGACTGGCGCCAGCTCGACGGAGTGCTGCTTCGTGCTGAAGACCAGCCTTGGATCCGTTCCAGGCATGGTCCAACTCGTGCAGGTCGAGCTTCTCAGGAGGACCGAACAAAATCGTCTCGACCTCGGCGTCGCCCGACGAGGCGCTGTCCGATTGCGACATGGGGCTGAGCGAGTCCGACGCCGATTCAGGCGAGCCCGACTGAACCAGATCAGGAGTAGGATCCGAGCTAGGGCTGGATGCGGTAGCACCAGCACCCAATTGATGCTGCGTTATCTGCTGTTGCTTAGGGTGGACGAGCGGAGTCGTCCTTGTGGTCGCCTCGGGTTGCTGAGGCTTGTTATCGTTCGGTTCGACGGATGGAGTCGTAAAGGTGGTGAATCGAATCTGGCGCGGAGGTGGCAGCGCAGGTCGACGAGTCGAAGGCTTCTCGGCTTTGGCGGGCGCCTCTTTCGAACTCTCCGTGGCCTTGACCTCGGGCTGCTTGGCGGCAGGCGTCACCGTGACGTCTTCTGACTTTGCAACGGCCGTGCCCGTCTCAGGGGCCAAGACCTCGGATACCGAGTGCTTGGGAGTAGTCGAGCCATCGGCAGGAGGTAGATCGAGCGGAGCGGGCTGCTCCAGATCCGCCAGCGGTCCCACACCCATGAGGAACGGGCTGGGCAGGTCGGTGACCTTGGTGTGCAGGCTCAAGGTCAAGCCAGGACTGAGCAAGGGCGAATCCATCTCGATCATGGGCGAGAGCTGCATGTAAGGAAGCGCGTTCGAGTTGCTTCGCTCCATCAGCTCGGCGCCCAGCTTGAGCGGCGCCAACGCGTGCGGACCAGTTGGCAGTCCTGCATGCTTTCGTCTCTGCAAGACAGGCGTGCCGATCTGCCCCGTCTCGTAGTTGCCGCGCTTGGTCGTGCTAGCTGCTGCCGAGCCGAGGTCCACGGCATGAAGATTGGGAGACGAAGCCACGACAGCAGGGTCATACGGCAGAGACAGCGTGAGCGAGCCTGCATGCCGATGCGGCTTGTCGGCGCCCACCTGGGTGGTGGGCAGAGCGTGAGCGAAGACAGAGTCTCGCCCCATGCGGAAGGAAGCAGCCTTGTCCTCCACACTGGACATGGCGACATCCTCCTCCTCGGTCTTGCAGCGTGGACTGTCGGGCGAAGGGAGGTCGCATCCAGACAGAGGGCTTCGTGGGGTGGTGGCAGGGGTGTCGTCCATCTCTGCTTCCTCGGTGGTGCCGCGTCGAGATGCAGGCCAGAGCGATTTGGCCGATGACGGATCCGAAGGCTGCGAGTCGAAGAAGTCAAAGTCGGCGTCGAGCATGGCTTGGTGGAAGTCGTTCTCATCGTCCTCCTCGTCCTCGTCTTGCTCGATGTCATCGGCCTCTTGCTCATCCGTCGAGGCTCGCTTCGTGAGGGTGGCAGCGTGCAGGTCTCGGAAGCCGAGCATACCGCGCACGCCATCGCGAAGAGGTACGTAGGTCAAGGGCGCACCAGCATCGCCCTCGAACTTGGCAAGGCCAGCCGAGACAGGGGACGACGAGGTGATGATATCGGCGTGCTTCCACGACGGTTGCGTCTCCCTTTTGTGCGCTGGCAAGATGACAGGTCTTTTAGCAGATGCCTCTGGCGACACACTGACACGTCCGCCGCGGATGAAGGTGGGCTGCGAGTAGTGCATTGGCAACTGCATCCTAGCAGAGCCGTCACGCGGAAGCAGCGGAGGAGGCGAAAGGTCCAGCGAGTCGTGAACGTCTCCGATACGAACGCGCTTCGAGACGGTGCGAGCGCCGGCCTCGACATCTGCGTCCGAGTCATCGCCGTCGCCGCGATGCGACGCTGACAAGACGGAAAAAGCATCTGCGTCTCCTTTCCTGGACAGAGGAGTGCCAGCTTCGAACCTGCTGCTTTTCGAGAGACGACTCTTGTGCTTGGCCTGGGCGACGGCGAGGGATGGAGACTGGCTCTTGTGAGCAGAAGCTTCGGGACTGATGCTACGACCCTTCTTCTTTGATTTGGACGCAGACAAGACCGAGGGAGCGGCCGGTGTCTCGACGGTGGTCAACGTGGAGGGCGGCCTGTACATGCTGCTGGGACGACGCTTGCGCTTGCCGGGGCCAAGGTCCTCTGCATCATCCCTGTCCACGGCGGAATCGTGGTCGGAGCCGGTGTTGCTGGCGACGTCTGCGTCTGGCTTTGCTACTTTGCGCGATTTCGAAGAGACGGCTGAAGCAGCCGGAGTGACCGCTGGAGATGTCGAGGGGCTGTCACTGTCGTCCTTTCCACCCTTGGCATGCCTAGCTGCGTTGTAGAGGGACGAAGGGCGCGAAGGTGGTGGAGAAGGTGAGGGCATGAGGCGGCTGGGGAGCTTACGGGTGCGAGTGGTGGTGCGACGAGCAGGGGTCTGATCGTTGGAGGAGGCGTCGACCGAATCCGCCTCGCTGTTGGATGTCACATGCTTGACATGATGGGGAGTAGGAGAGGCAGCGGTGGCGGCAGCGAGTTCGTTGCGAGCTCTGGTGGCGGCCATGACCTGTGATGTTGGCTGGTTGGGAGGTGAGAGGGAGTGAAACCGGATCGAGACTACAGACCGGTGCGGGTGACGGAAACAGACGTCAACAACTCGTCAAGAGATGGTGCGACTGCTACGTAGCGTGTGACAAGATGAAGTCGCTCCGCGAGATGCAATCTGCAGAGGCCGAGAAGGAACGAAAAGGGCTGGTGGAAGGAGAGCGAGCGCGATTGATGCAGAAGAAAAGCACACCAAACGCTCAATCAAGAGTGAAGGAAGGGACCATTCATCATCCAGCGCCTGGCAGGAGGCTTTGTAGGCGGGACGATGCGACGGATGACGGTTCTACGCTAGAGCCACGGATTCAAAGCCGCTGCGTGGACGTGTGTTGCTGCGCAGAGGTCAAGGCTTGTGGGTGACACCTGGAAAGACCAGCGGAGCGGATTGCGTCCTATAGAGTCGGGAATGCTTGGTGCAAATGTGAGCGAAGGCAATGGGCAGCGTCCAGAGCAGGGACGAACTGAGGCACAAAGCTGGGTTGGCGGATGTGTACGTGAGGAAGGGTGAATGGGATGTAAGGGCCAGAGATCGCTGGTGGTCGTGCGCGGAGGCAGTGGTGTGATTGATGTCGAAAGCAGAGGCCGGCGAGAGTGAGAGAGAGACAGAAGAAGCGAGAGAGAGAGAAGCGGTCGTCGATGGTGTTGCGTATGTGTCGAAGGATGTGTGCTTTGAAGATGGAGATGGATGAATGTGATGTTTTCGAGAAGGTGAGAGAGTGATACGAAGGAGAGTCGTTGATTGTGTGCGGTTTGCTGCGCGGCGGCGCCGGTAGGCAGAGAGCGCGAAGATCGGCTCGTTGGGTGACTGGCTGCTGGAAAAGAGGCGGCGTAGCAGAGGCGGCCCGTGTGTGCGTGCGTGTCGGGTGCGACTTCAATTTGGCTTAGGAAGGAATGCATTGGCAGGGCACAGACAGCAAGCAAGCAAGCAAGCCGGGCAGCCACTACAAATTAACTTTCACCGGCGAAACGCCAGAGCGAGGAAAAAAAGAAAGGAAAAGAAAAGCTCAGCAGCGGCGTATGCTCAGAGGAAAAGACTGCCGCAGAGTAGCAGGCTCTCTCAGGGTTGCAAGCGAAGCGAGCGTCGATGATGAATTGGAAAAAGCGCTGAAAATCACTGTGCTCCGTCAGCACACAAACGGCGAGAGCCGGACAGCTCACGCGCAAAAGTGAGCGAAACGCTGTCTCTGGTTGGTTGGTCCACAGTTCGATTTTCATTGCTCAAGAAGAAAGCACGTCTCCTTGGTGTTGCTAGAGACACTCTGGCTCTGGCTGTGTCATCATGCACCTTTTCAATCTAAATCGCAAAAGACTCAAAGGACCAACGATATCCGCCTGACGAGATGATGGTCGCAGCAATGCAGCACTTGGAGGCTCGAGCGCAGACACTAGCCGGCACGCGGCGGCAGAGATCATGCATGGGAGCCCAGCGGAACAAGAGAGCGAGAGAGCGAGGCAGAGTCCAAGATTCTGAAGCGTCTGGACTTGGATGAAGGATGCGCGCGCGTGAGCCACAATGAAGGGCAGAGCGAAACAATAAGGCTCGTAGCGGCTCACTGGACTCAGAGGAGAGCACGACAGCACGCCGCAGTGACGAGTTCAGTCGCCTGCCTCGGAACTTTGTACGCGCCGCCAGATCGTGGTTGCCTTTTTCGGGCCTCTCAGATAAGCTTCTCGTGCCTTTCTCCGTCTTAGGCGTGAAGCCATCTGAACAAGTCTTTGCGCACCGCACGCTCGAACATCGCGACTGCATCGAATTGCGTCCAGTATGTATTACGTTGCACAGCATCGTAGAGCGAGTTTTCAGAGGGATGAGAGATGGAGAGAGACAGCCTCCGAATATCGAGGAGCAATTCGACGAAGCCGTAGGGAGACGGAGCGATGCCGTGTCACGTTCTTCTGTAATCGTGGCGTGCTGTCATTCCACTTTGAAGCCAGTCTCAACCACCTTCAGAGTGATCTTTGCCTCCGTCCTGAACCGGACGGCCGGGGTGTATCTATTAAATATTATATGTGAGCTGCGTTTCTTCCGCCTCAGGGCTGTTTCTGCCTGACAGCTCTTCCAGAATCAATTTGAGGACCTCTGATTCGCGCATACCTTACGTACTGCCAACTTTGGCCGATGCAACGAGGGGCGCTATGCCTTTCGCCTCCTGCATCGTGATGGTCGGACTACGCCACCTTTTTTGCGCTTCTCACCGTGCGAGGCTTCAGATGTGCGTGCTGCCTTGCTTGCTTGCCGATGCACGTTCATCCGAGGTCATTTTGAGAACAAAAAGTCGAGCGGCACAGCGATGGCCTGCAAGGGCATCCATTCTATGCGGCGCGAACAGGCTCGGCGAGACCGACTGGGCATCCATCTCCAATTCCAGAGGCTGTGCACAACCCTGGCGTGAGAGAGCCATCGCAGATCCCGTCATCGGGGTGCACTGAATCGGGGTGCACGGGTCAGTTGTTCGGGATAGCCGCCGTTGGCTATGGTTCCGGCACCCTGAAGCACGCTCGAAACTCAGCTAGCTTCTCAGCTGGTCCAGCACGCACGCTCGCACGCACAAACCGCATTTTACAACTTTTAAGCTTTCCGGATTCCAGCTTTGGAGCTGCACACCACAGTCCGACGCCGTCCTCTCCTCTACCTATTGCGCTCGATCGACTCCACTGTACGGAACTGGCAAGCCGCTGCTGTCCTGGCTGTCAATTGCAAAGCATCCCTGCTCCTTGACGGGAAACCTTGGGGAGATTTGGGACGAGACGTCTGCCTTCTGGCAAGCACCAGCCACCGATTTCGCCGCTCGTCTGAGACTCTTCGCATCGACGATACCCTGGACATCTCTATACACCCTCAAAGAACCGTGAACTTGACGGAGCCCATCTCTTCTCTTGCGTTGTGCCTTGGAGTCACCATCGTCAATCTCATCTCATCATCAAGCTTCCTCTTCAACTAGGTACTCTGCACTGCCGGACTTGCTCTGTATACCCATGTCGGGGTTGCGCTAGTGCACGTCGATCCGGCTGCTTTCGGTCGTCATGCACAGCCGCTTCAATGGCCAAGGCGCCAACCTCACCAACAGATCCTCTCCAGCATCCACACCTGCCTCGGCATCGGTACCAGCATCAACATCAGCATCCGCATCAGCATCCCAATCCTCTTTCTTCTCCGCAAGAGCACTACGGCTGCAGACCGAAGAGCAAGACCTCGCATCTCAGCCTTCCCTCCGCACAGCCAGCATCGCAAATGACGCGGATCCCATCATTCAGCCTCTCGACGCTTCCCGCTCCAATCGTGGCAGGGCTCGCGCCGGCACCCTCCCCTCGAGCTGGAACGACGCAACTCTTATCGTTCCGCATTCATCTCCAATAGATTCTCGACCGCTGTTCTCACAGCTCCCGCACGGATCTGACCCCAACTCGAAGAATGAGACTCCGCGCGACTTCACGGGGTACGGCTTAGCTTCGCACGTCTCGAACCTCAATGACGCCGCGTCGTCCTCGTCGCAGCGTCTCCGGTCCGGATCTCTCACCCTGCCAACAGCTAACCTTGGCGACGCTTTCGGTCCGTCCTTTTTCTCCTCCAAATGGCAACCAACTCGTTCAGGCTTGAGCAACATGACATCCGCCACCCCCGAGGAAGACTCGAATTCTCCGTCTCACGCCAACGACGCTGCAGGTCCTCGCTTCTCCTTCGGTGGCTCCGATACGCTCGAGTTTCTCGGTTTGAGCGGCGCCGACCGTCGTGAATCGATCGATCACCTCTCTTCCAGTTCACATGCTTTCCATGCGATGGGCCAAGCTTCCACCACCCACTATGGCTTCGCAGACACAGACACCGACCTGGCGTCCGTCCATCTGCGTAATCGCTCTTCCACGCTCGGCGTCCAGCAGCTGCGCCCCAGACTCAACAATGCCGATGGTCGTGCGCGCAGCAGCAGCTTTCTTCCCTCCTTTGCATTCAGCGCGGCTCCATCCTCCAGCGAGTCTGCCCCGCAGTCGGGCAGCAACTCGCTCGGCGGCACCCATTCTGGCCACGTGTCTGGCTCCCAGAGTCCGTATGCGGGAAATGCGCCTCAAGCATCACTCCTCAATACTGCGCTTCACAACCGTCTCCACCAGTACAGCGGCACCCCATCGCCGCAAGGATCTGGCTTCAGCGAACGCGCCACCGCAAATGCATCTAGACCAAGAGCGACCAGCATGGGTGTGCTCGATCATCCCCATTCTCGTGCTCCCATCATGGACCAGTATCGCGCGCCGCCCTCCGTCAACTTGCCTGCTGCACAGTCTAGTTTCGATGCGAGTCCCACCTCCCCTGGTCTCGTCGGCCATCCCTACTTGCACTCCTCCAATTCGACCGGCCTGTCGCCCCATCAGGAACCGCTAAGTGACCTATCCGCCCTTTTGGCAAGTGGACGCAATCGTGCTGGCACCATAGCAGCCTTTTCGGGCCCAGGCGGTCGTGCGAGAGCTGAACAGGAACTTCTGCGAATGACGCAGATGCAACACGAAGCATCGCTGGCACGAGACGTCCAACTTCGCCCGAGCTCCTCAGCTGCCAACGAAGCCTCCTTCAACATTGACATGCACGCATCGTCTCGACCGCAGCAGCAAAGAACCGCTCAAAGATCTGGCGCTAGCTCTCCGTACGCGCAGCCAACACGGACCTTGTGGGTCGGCCATCTGCGACAAACGGTGACTACTACAGACCTCATGCACACCTTCGCGACTTACGGCGCCGTCGAGACGATCCGACTCGTGGCCGACAAATGCTGCGCTTTCATCAACTATCTCGACGTGACGGACGCCATGCGCGCAAGGGAAGATTTTCTTGGACGTCTCAACGGTCGTCTCGGCTTGGGCACCATTGGACCAGAGGGTCAAGTGCGCGTCGGCTTCGGGAACCCCGAGTCGATACCCAACGCAGGCATGGGAGTCCTTGCGCCGATAACGGCCAACGGAGGAGCTTCATTCGACGGGACAGATGGTGAAGCGTTGGGAGGTGAAACTGGCAATCAAGAGCCGTCGCGGGCATTGTGGATTGGATCCATACCTGCCACCATCTCGATCGAGACATTAGTGTCGATCTTTGCGCCCTTCGGCTCCATCGAGAACGTTCGCGTGTTGGCGAGCAAGAGCTGCGCGTTCATCAATTACGAGCGCATCGACGACGCTGTGGCAGCACGCAAATCGCTCAACGGTCGCGACATTCTCGGTACCGAGGTCGGTCCCGTCAGGATCGGATTCGCAAAGGTGCCCGGTAGGGGCCCGGAAAGCTACTTTGGCGCTCTCGATCCCGGTACAGTCGAGTTCCAAGCAGCCATCGACGCGCTCGCTGCTCTCGCAGGGGCCGCTCCTGGCAACTACACGGACGGGCATGCCAGCCACGCATTCGAGGGACCGCGCTATGGCCCCTCTCAGCATCTGCTGCCCAATGCGCCGGCATCGCATGGTCTGGCTCGCTATCCCAGTGCCGACGCTGCTCGGCCAGTGCCTTCCAACGTAGCTGGTCGATCCTCTGGGTTCCCCCAACACAGCTCATCCAACAGCATCGTGCCCAGTAGCGACAAGGGCGGTGTCCCCCTGCCCGCCGAGATGAAGCCGAACGCCACTGTCAACGATCTGCAGATGCTGATGAGGGAGCTTGACGAAGCTGATCCCAGTGTGGATGCAGATGTCGCCCGGATCGCTCGACACAGACCGCCGGTCGCGTACTTTGCACGCATCCCGCCGGTACCCGAGCTGCCCCCGAGCAGACGCTTCGACAACAACAGACTCAAAGAAGTGCGCAAACGTCTTGAGACGCCCAATTGCCTTCGATCCGATGCGGATGCAGTTGCACGTGACTATCTGCATTGCGTCGTCGACCTTTCCTCCGACTTTATCGGCAACACGCTCGTGCAGAAGTTCTTTGAACGGTGCAGCGAGCCGATGAAAAAGACGATGCTGGAGCTCATTGCGCCGCATTTGGCCATGATCGGCGTCCACAAAAATGGCACGTGGGCTGCTCAGAAGATCATCGACTGCACCCACGCCGACGACCAACGCGCCATTATCGCGCAGCACATCCGACCTTACGTGCCGCCTTTGCTTTTGGATCAATTTGGTAACTACGTGGTGCAGAGGCTCATCCCTTTTGGCAGTCCGCACAACGATTTCATCTTTGAGGCGATGGTGGATAGGTGTTGGGAAGTTGCGCAGGGTCGATTCGGGGCTCGCAGCATGCGGGCGTGTTTGGAGTCGCCTCGAGTGCCCAAATACCATATCAAGGAGGTGGCATTGGCGATCGTACTCAACTCGGTCCCCTTGGCGACGAGTCAGAACGGCGCATTGTTGATCGCTTGGCTGCTAGACGCTTCGACCTTGCCAGGCAGATTCCGGCTGCTAGCTCCTCGGTTCGCACCTCATCTGGCCAACCTGTGTACGCATAAGCTCGCCTCGCAGACGCTTCTCCGCATCGTCAGTCAGAAGGAAGACCCAGAGGCGGCAAGGCAGTTGCTCCGGGTGCTCTTTGGAGGCGAGAGGTTGCAGTTGCTGGAAGAGATTCTTGTCGACCAGGTGCACGGAAGTCAGTTCATCACCAAGCTGTTTGCAGAAGCGGCTGCCTTGGAGGGGGCGGAGAGGCAGAGATGCAGCGATGAGGTCAAAGCATTGCTGATCAAGCACAATCTCATCCACATGCCGCCGTACCGACCGCTGGCTGTCGAGATGGGACTGCTTCCCGCCATGACGCCCACCAGCAGCAGGAACGGCGCTGCTTATGGCCAAGCGAATATGCACACGAACAACGGCGGCTACGATTCGACCGCTATCGAACGACAGATGGCGACGTTGAATGTCGGTGCGTCTGCGTCGAACCTCACGAGAGGGCAGCCAGGGTCGGAGTTTGACTGGACACAACCAACAGCAGAAGTTACGCAGGAGACGGCGTACGACGCATACAACCCTCTAAACCAGCACCACTACCAGACGCAACATCATGCGCAACCTCAGCATCGACAGCCACCTCAGCAACAGCACAGATCTACCCACGGTACAAGAGCCTACTTTTGATTGTTCTACAGCGGTCTTGGTTTGAATTATACAAGAAGTGCATTTTACAATTGAATCGGGGCAGCGTCGGGGTTTGATGGTGTGTGATGAGTGTTGCGACCGGATGAGTTGAGTGGCTGTGAGGACGGTGGATTGTGATGTGTCGAAGGACGGGATGGGGGAAGGGATGGGATGATATCAATGGCTTTGGGTCGGGGGAGCAGATGATGGTGAGGTGGATATCTGTCTTACGCTTCCTCTGTCATTCTTTCCGCTTGACTGATCTGCCGATCGAACCATTCCGTGCTGCACCACTCGTTTCTGTCCTTGACCTCTTTACCGGACCTCCGTTTTCCACCGGATCGATCCTCCTCGCCGTCACAGCAATCCTGAATCCATCCGGATTGACACAGTGCTCCAACATCCTCTGCAGATCCTTCCCCTGCTGTACCACTACGCTCCCGTGTCTCAGTGGAAGATCGAGTAGCGTCCTATTGGTAATCCGGGGAAAGTGAGAGGAGAATTTTTGCTTGATTCGAAACTTCATCCTGCACGCGGATCCTAGACTCAGCGAGCTGACGATAGGACCGAGACCCGGTTCTCCGTCGTCGTGGAAGGACATTTTCTGGTGCTCCAGGTAGAGCACAGGGTAGAGTTCGTTAAAGTCTTGCTCCAGTGAGGGGACAACGCTGCGTGTGCGGGTGTGCAGGAGAGAGAGGGTGGAGAGGATCGGTGCGGGGGAGGTGAGGGTGCAGAGCGGTTGCGTGCCCATGGCGACAACGTGTTTGTAGGCGACGCCGTAGTTGCACGTGAACTGCTGCGTCAGCATTCGTCCTCCGCCGGCGTGGGTTTTCAGCACGTGTCGCCGGAAGGGGATTGCTTCAACATTTGATGTGTTGTGGATCGTACCGGATTGGGAGGTGGTTGATGATGTAGAATGGTTTCGTTCGGTCGACTTCGCGGGTGCTTCGGTCGAAGACGAAGATGACGGCCAAGTCAACCTCTGAAACTCTTCGAAAATCCTATCCGCCTCATCCTCCCGTCCACCTCTGTCGACATCAGACTGGACGAGATGCACCTTGCAGTCGCCAAACGTCTCTGGAAAGGTGAACGTATACATCACCAACCCAGCGTCCCTCCTAACACTCATGATCACCCCGGAACCGTCGCTGATCACCGGATCGAATACCCGAGCGTCGCCCTCCGTCTCTCCCGAAACATCCATCGAATCCCGCTCGAGTGTCGGCGCCGCAACAAACGGCAAAGGCTTCCTGTTGCCGACTGTGCTCCCACAATGCGAGCACCGCGGCTGGAATATCACTTCACGACAGCTCAACCGTCCGCACTTCTTGCACCAGAGTCCGCGCGATTGATCCATCGACGTCGATGACGGTCGTTCGGGTATGAGCGGGAACGGCGGTTGACCGGAGGGGAAGGTGCTGTCGAGGGAGGCGCCGAGTGGGCGCAAGAAGGAGGTTGCGAAGGTGAGGGAATGCTCGGCAGGCGGTGAGCCGGTGGACAGGAGGAAGAAGGCTGGGCATGTTGGCTGGAGGCACATCCAATCGGCAAAGACGGTTGGGCTGGGGGAATGGCAGACGAGGCATCTGGCAGAGTTGGTGAGGGTGCAGGGTGTGGAGGAGCGGGGTGTGATTGTGACGGTGGAGACAAGTTGAGGTGCGGGGTCGAGGGGTCCGAAGAGGAGGTGCTCTCGTTCGTCTTCGTCCATGTGCCCTGTCTCTGACGACGAAGAGTCTGAGCGAGACATCGTCAAAGCTCCCGAGCGACCGTCCGCTGTCTTGCCTCTCATCTTTTTACTCAGCCTCCGCTGGGCCTTTGTGAGCGTCTCCACCCGCAAACGCGGATCCCACCCCTTTCCCCCGCCTTCCGCTTCAAGCTCCCACCAAGGCTCGCCCTGAGCCGGAATCCATTCAAACCTAAATTTCCACCTCACATACCCCAAATCCCCCTCGCCGCCGTTCGCCTCCCTCTCCGCCCAAGCATCAGTGATCACATACCACCCCAACACAGCATACCCACACGCCAACTTCCACGGCAACAACGCATACCCCTCGCCCGCAATTAGCACGATCGGCAACCTGTGTCTTGCGGAATGCAGAAGCGCTCTGATGATGCTATCGCTCGCAGACTGGTCCTGCCTCAAGCTCGCTTTCGGTTGCGATGCGGAACCAGCAGCTGCATCGTCGCCGTCGGGAGGGACAACGTGGCTTTTCCCTCCACCATGCGAGATGATGACGCGACCGTTGGCCGACCACGCATCGCGTCTAGAGGGGAAGCCGGCTAGGAGGTAGCCGTAAGGTACAGAGTCTTTGAGAAGGACGGATGAGGGATGGGAGGCTGTGGAGAGGGTCTTGGTAGAGTGGTGGGAGGAGGTGACGTAGCAGCCGGTTTGATAGGCTCGGTAGTAAGGGAGGCTCTCGCAGAGCTCTTGACGCGTTTCGGACCATATGATTGGCCTGCCGGTCATGTCGAGCACTTATGGCGTGGCCACCGGGGTCGATGATGGCTTGGACAGGAGATCACATCCGCGAGCATGACTTTGATGCTGAAGACGAAGGTCAAGGATGGTACAATGCAGTTGGTTGCAGGTGAGCCGTTAAGGGAGGTGTCACTTTGCGCAGCCGGGTTTGTCACTTTTCCTGCAAGTCGGCCGTCGGACCCTTGAAAACGAGGCGATACACGGAGCTGAGCCGAACAAAGTGGAGGTGACTGTCCAACCAACTGAGTTTGCCGGGTCTGTGCTCCCTCGACCTTGTTGCTCAGCTACCATCACCCCCCACACAAGCAGCCACCATGCAATCTGGAGGCGGGTTCATCATCGACGACCTTTCCACGGTCTTTGACTTCGACGATCCCAATAATCGTCCCACAGCACAACCCCACCAACCCGCCGCCCATGAGATCGACAATGACAGCCACCCTCCCGAAACGGTTGCGACTCCCAAACCTCTCACCAGCAAGCAGGAAGCCAAGCTGAGATCGTACCTCGATGGCGCGCTGGAAGACATCACGCGTGGGTATCGGAAGCGATTCGATCCGAGCTCGAGCTTGCATACCTTGACGAGCTATCTGGGCGAGTGGATGCGGTTGCTGGGTGTGTTGGCGCATGTTCCACCGTATGGGGGTGGGAGTACGAATCTGCTCGTTTCGTATCTGTTGAGGTGTTCGACGGAGTTGAGTGATGGGATCACGGGATACAGTCTGGCGATGGAGGTGGAGGCGATGAAGCGGCAGAGGAAGCGGCAGAAGCAGGATCGGGTCGACGAAACTGATACAGACGGGGAGGAGGAGTCGGACGACGAAGAAGAAGAAAGGCAGCATCAGATCGCCTCTCGCACAAAGCAGCTTAACTTAGCCCTTCAGACGCTCGACCTCGTCGACAGGATATGGGCTGCAGTGCTCAGAGGCAACCTCATCAACCTCCCCGTCGCGCTCACCAACGCCAGGAAAGCGTTCCCCGACACCACCGAAACCGTCTCTGCACAAGATCAACCGCCGTCGCACAAATCTCACATCCCTCGCACCGTCCATTCCACCACCAGTCTCGTACCTTCCCCAGCCATCGATGGACGCTTCCGATCATCCGATGCATCCTCGTCGAGCTCTTCGGAACCGCGCGAAAGCCTGCCAATCCACGGAGGTAGAGCCAACAAGACTGTCGGCGTGACCGACCAAGTGCGTCTGCGCAACATCGCGATCTCTTCGCGCGATAAGCTGTTTTCGTGGATGCGCGCCGAGTTGGACGCGCCTGCTCCGCCGACGATGGAGGATGAAGAGGGTGAAGCGGATGAGCCGAGCGACAACACTGTGGAGGGCGCTTTGGGGGTCAGACAGGGGACTGATACGGTTGCAGATGGGACAGGGGTGGATGAGGAGGAGGAGGAGGAATTCGAAGATGTGGCAATCGGTGCTGATCAGCTGGACGATAGCAAAGGGTACAATGGGGAACAGGATACGGAGGAGCGTCGGCATTATCAGGATCTGTTCGATAGGAAGCTCGATCCGGACGCCGACGATGATGATGATGACGACGACGCGCCTCCCACCGCACACGCCACGGACCAGCAGGACGATAAGTCGGATCAAACCCTCGGTGCATCCGTACTCGGCACAGTCGAAGCTGTCACCTCCACCGACAGTAACGACAAACGCAAGCGTCCCACCTCCCCAGCACAAACCTCCTCACCGCGTGCTGACGGTCTACCGAGCAAGCGACGACGCGAAGCATCCCCAGATACCGAGACGGATGCAGGAGGTGATGCGAGGATGAGTCGTTCCGAGATGGGTTCCATCAACTTCACCCTGTCGGATTTTGGACAGTGGGACGTAGCGTTCACGCGACTCTTTTCGAAAACGCTGCGAACGCTTAGCGATCTGGGAGAGTTTTCCAACCGAACAGCGAGGAAAGAGTTCTCCACCAGCTTGGCAGGCATCTCCGGTGCGGACGAGCAGGAGGCTGTAGAATGATCGAGCATATCTCTAGGATTCCAAGGGGAAAGAAGATACATGACTTTTTTCAATAGGCATACTTTTTGCGAGCTTGACGTGCGATAAAGCTGGGGAAAACCTTGTCGATCCACGTTGCGAAGGCGTAGAAGCGAGGGAGGGTGATGGTGCCTGTAGCGTATCTGTCCACTGCGAAGATTGTTTTCTCTGCGACGTCGTTTGGTGTGAGCATCTTTTCGCCTTTCACCCAAGCAAGGTCTTGGGGCATATCGGATTTGGCTGGGTCGAAATCCACAGCGGAGTGGCGGAAGGAGGTGGCGATGGTTCCGGGGCACATGGCCAGGAATCTGACCTTAGCGCGACGTGAGGCGGTGGATTCGGAGTGGGCGAGGGATTCGATGGCGAGGGAGCGGAAGAGCGAGAGCTGGGCGGATTTGGTGGCGGCGTAGATGGAGCGCGTGGGGGTGGCGAACAGGGCGGCAGCGGAGGAGATGAGGACGATGGCGGGGTGGAGGGAGGTGGTTTGGAGCATGGGGAGGAAGGCGGCGAGGCAGATGGCGGTGGCGGAGACGTTGATGTTCGAGGCGCTGGTGACGGCGAGAGAGACGGCCTCGAGACCGGATTGGTCCGGGTGCACTTTGGTGGCGGATTGGCCATCGGTAGGTCGAACCGGATCGACACCTGCCACACCTAGCAGCGGCAACAGCGCAGACACACCGAAGCAGATGTGCAGCGTGTCGAGACCTTTGAACTTGGCCGAGACCTGCTTCCTCAACCGATCCACGTCCTCCGGCTTGCTGCAATCCGCCGCGATACAATGAATACGAGATTCATGCTTGGCTTTCGCCTCATCACCAGGCGCTTCATCCGACATATCCCACTCCTCCCCCTCCTTGGCCTGCTCGATGCACCTCCTCTTGACCGCCTCCAACCCTTGCAAGTTTCGACCGACGAGGATGAGATCGCGACACCCGCGTCGAGCGTACTGCAGCGCCAGGGCTTCGCCGACGCCCTTTTCCGTAGATGCGCCGAGGATGAGCACGCGTTCGTGGTAGACCTTGAGATGTTGGATGCGTGGACGTGCGGAAAAGTGGAACATGACGGCGAGGGGGATGGTGAGGATGAGGCAGACAAGGGTTGCGAGGAGCGAGAGCGTGCGGGTGTCGGGTATGGATACGCCGAGGCGTTGGAATGCTGCCTGAACGAGGTCCATTTGAAGTTGTTAGGGTTCGGAGATGATGGTGATGTAGATGGAGGAGGAGGGAGCGACTTGCGCTTTGGAATTGTTGATGCGTAGTGAAGACAGCCGGCTTGCGCTTGTTGTTGCTTTGCATATCAAAAGCTTCGTGAAAGAGGCTCGAGCGGCGAGGCGGGGTAAGAAAGGTGGAGGATGCTTGGTGTAGATGAATTATGTAATCCTGACTTGGGATCGGATCTCAAGGTTTTTTTGGAAGAAAGCAGAATTGGCAGCTGCACAAAGCAAAACCACCGAGAAAAAGTCTCAAACCTAAAAAGTTGCTCTTGACGTCGACCGTGACCAACTAACTCTCGACACCGTTTCGACACTCGACACCTTTCACTTCCAAGGCCACAACACTCTCTCCAAGTCTCTAGCATACCTTGTAAGGACTGAAATCGCACAATGTCGAAGCGCTCAAGATCAGACTCTGCGTCGAGCTCCTCCTCGTCCTCCAGCTCCAGCTCCGGAGGCTCGTCGGTCGAAGCTCAGACCGCCTCTGTATCCACAGCCAAGCTACCTGCTTCTCGCAACCTCTCCAACATTGGCTATCGTCCACCGCGCGGGTTTGAGCCGGTCTCATTCTCCTCGTCCTCCTCATTGCTCCATGCGAAGCTGTCGGCATCCAAGCAGCAGCAGCTTTGGGCGGTACGCATCCCAGCCGGCCTCACACCGTCGCAACTCGACGGAGTGGTGATCGACCTTCCTCGCGATACGACCGACCTTTCGATCGCATCGAAACCGCTGGGAACCATTTCATCCGCTCAGAATGCTGCCGAGTACAACTTTTATGCATCCCTTCCATCCTCGCTCAAAGGCAAATCTAGGAAAACGCCATCGGGCGCCTCCTATTCGCAACTCATCGCAATGGCATCCGAAACAGCATCCGCGCAGAAAGTAGATGCCAGCGTCGTTTCCGGTCAAGGAGCAGCGTCGGAGTTGGAGAGTCTGCAATTGCTCGTTCCAGCAGGCGCGGGTGAGGAAGCCGGGAGAATGGTCATGGCGCCGGTGAAGATCGAGAGGTGCATTCATCTGTCCATTGCCAGCCCGGCGGAAACGGGTAGGGCGGAGAGGATGAAGGAGACGAGCAACAGGTTTGAGGAGAAGAAGCTGCCCCAGCAGCCGTGGCATTTGTTGAAGGGGAATTTCAAACCTGCTGGTAGCAGAGGTGGTGATGATGGCGAGACGCACGAGGCCGCGGAGGAGGACAAGAGAAAGGTCAAGGTCGAGGACGGGAAGAAGAGCAAGAAGTCTAGGAAGGATTGAGGTTCGGGAACTTGTTTTTTTGCAATGCAGCTTGTTGTAGAATCATGGTTGGATAGGGCTCGTGTACTGTGTGAAGGCGTGATAGTACAGTGTTCCACTGCTTGATAGATTCGACATCATCACCGGCATTGTCCGAATACTTGGGTTGTTTTCAATATACACCTGTATGCAATGCCGTATGACGGCAAGGCCCAGGCAAGGGAGACATCCGAAAGTCAATCTAACAAGGTAGCATCCGAAATCAATCGGCAAAGATCAGGCAGCGCCTCGCTCTCGCTCCCAACAAGCGGCGGGATTGTATTTTTGGTGGGGGTGTGTGGCCTTTTTCGGAAAAGGGAAAAGCGCGTTTGGTGCCGAGAGTGAGAATAATTTGGAGTTCTTCTCGCGGGACAGCTGAATCATAGGACGATAATCGATACGTCGGTCAATTTTTCCTGTCGGCTTGCTGCTTTCGGTTTGCTTGCAGAGGCGAGCGAGCGTGTGTGCTTTGTGCGTTTCTGCCGTGTTGATCTCGTCCGCACAGCTCTCTCCGTCTTGTCTGACACCATCAACATCCTCGCGAAACATGTCGGCAACGCGCACCCTCCTTCTGCCAGCTTCGAGGCTGCTGGCCGCCGGCTCGAGCTCGCGCAACGCTGCGGCCACACGAGCACTCTCGACATCGTCGGTGCAGAATGCGATCACCAAGTTCACCATGCCCGCCATGTCGCCCACCATGACGTCCGGCGGCATCGCAGCTTGGAAGGTCAAGGAAGGTCAGGCGTTCTCGGCGGGCGATGTGTTGCTCGAGATCGAGACGGACAAGGCCACCATGGATGTCGAGGCTCAGGACGATGGTGTGCTCGCCAAGATCTTCGTTCAGGATGGAAGCAAGGATGTGGATGTTGGCAAGACGATTGCGATGCTCGCTGAGGAAGGCGATGATATTTCCAACGTCGAAGCTCCGAAGGACGACGCAGCACCCAGCGCTACATCTCCTACCGACGACAAGTCGGCGCAAACTTCCGACAAGTCGGAACCGGCATCTTCGACTCAGACGGCTGCATCCACCGGTTCTGCCGCTCCCTCCACACCGGGCGCTTCGAGCTCCAACGCACACCACACCTTTAAAGGACCTCTCTTCCCCTCGGTGCAGCGATTGATCGCCGAGAACGGAATCCAAGACGCCGAGACCAAGATAAAGGGTACGGGCGTACGTGGTATGATCACCAAAGGCGACGTGCTGGCTTTCCTGGGCAAGGCGAAATCACCCACCGGATCGTTCAAAGAACCCAAGGGAGGTATCGCTGTACTCGGACCTTCGCAAGCCAATCCCAAGGGCGGTTCCGCTTCTTCATCCGCCACCTCGACCGCCAACAAGGCATCATCAGAGCCACTGACGGGTGACGCGCTGCGTTCGCTCATCATCGGCGGTCTCGCCGCGTCCTCCCGATCTGCACGCCAGCAGACTACACCAGCACCTGCACCGGCGGTGATCGTGGCGCAGTCGTTCTCACCGCAGGCGGTGGATGGCCCTCTGGAGGGAACCGCGTTTTCGTCGACACCGGCACCAATGGCTGTACCGAGTGGTGCGACGCGCAAGCAAGGCATTCGCTCGGACGACCCGCTTTGGGATCTGATCTAGGGCGGTGGAGCTCCAAACGCACACACGACACTGCAACGCTTGCAAACATTGTACATACACCGCTCGCATACACACCCTTCGATATCGAGAGCCCGTCTCGTCGTCTGTGCTTGTTTGTGGTATTTGCAAAGCCCATCGGCACGTTCACGGGCTTTGCGTCGACTGGAAAACAGGCTCAATCCTCAAGCCTGTGCTAGGTGATGGCTTGAGTTGCCTTGACTTGGTGAAAAAGAGAGAAGCGATGTGAGATCGCGTGCGCTTTCCTGAAGTGATATTTCTTTGCATGATTATTCGAAACAGCAGCGTTGTGACAGGTCGACTTGTGCTATTATAAGTGAGAAAAGAACGCGATTATCAACGTGCAGAAGCGCTCAGGCATAACCGCAAAGGTCCCCCTTCCTTGTCGCCTATCTCTGCACTAAAAGGCTTCTGTGCCTTCGTGCCTCTCTCATAGCTCACTCTGTCTGCTTTTCTTGTCTTCTCTTCTGCTCACACAAGCCCTGCGACAAGGCGACGGCTAGACTGTTCACCGCTCGACAAAGAAAGCCTTTCTGCTGTTGCGCTGACTCGGACGCAAGACGTCTCCAATTGAGCGGCCGTACCTAGCGACATCCTTGCGTTGCAAAAGTTTCAAGCAGCGCTTCCCCCCGCCCTGATCCTCCCTCCTGCCAGGCGCCTCAGGATCGCACCAGGACTCTACAGGAAGACAAGCTTGTCTCATTCGGATCCGGTTCATCCAACTTTTGGACGTTCCTTCGTTGCGATTTCAGGTCCCGCACACCTCGCTACTCGCTGAAGTGACTGGAAGTCCTCCGGCCGTCACCATCCACAACATCTTTTCACCATCCTTTGGGCCTCGGCGAAGCAACCCAACATTCTGCATGTCGATGCCACAATAAGCCGGAACAGCCTCCATCAGCCACCACGATGGCAGCGTCAACGGAAGACGTGTTGTCGCTGTCGGCATCACCCACGGACCTTCAGCCAGGCTCCAGGTCCACCTCCTCCACGGTGCCGCTCGCCAAGCCGCCGTCGAGGTCTTCGTCTTCGCAGCGCCCAATCAAGACTACATCTCCCTGCAGTACCGTCGTCTGCTGTGATGTCGATCATTCGGACCCGCCCGCCTCGTGCGCCACAGAGTGCAACAACTGCAGCACCTTGGCTCCATCTTCGCCCTGTTCCGACATCCACCACATCTCGAGCGCATGCACCGAGCCTTCTTGTGGTGCCGCCACTTCGTCAGCGCAACCCATCATCTGCCCAACGGTTGTCGCCTGTTGCGATGACACCGCCTGTACTGACGTCCCTGGCTCACCCTGCTCTCAATCCACTTGCTCGGGTTCAGGCGACTGCTCGTCCATGACGCTTGCCGTCCCCACCATTTCCACATGCTGCACCGACCAAGCTTGCGAGCCGGAGCCAGCCTCGCACGCCAAGACGCATTCGACCAACCCATCCATCTCAAAGGCACAGTTACACGTCGATCGAAGCATTCACAAATCTCACAAGGAATGTCGAGAATGTCGCGGATCGCTCACTTCGACCGGTACAGCTGGAGGCGGTCAACTGTACAGCAGCTTCCAGGAGCTCCTCGATTGCTGCTGTTGCTCCATACCGCCAACAGTGGAGCAGTGCTGCGTGGGTGCGACGCCGATCCCATGCCACCAACCTCATACCTCTCCCGCCGATACTGCGAGCCTTGCCGTCCAACCTCATCACGACCATCATCATCATCATCAATCCGTTCAGCTTACGTCTATACCACCACATCCACCGCCTTCAGACACTCCATCATCCAGCATCATCACCAATGCCACACAGCACACCTCGCGAGGCTCGCGTGCGTCTACAGTATCGACCACCGCCACGCCCCAACCGATTGCCCCGTCGCCATCGCTACCGTGGTCTTCGGGTGTACTCCAGCCATCTACGCCTCACCTCAAGGCCAATTACGGTGGCACACCGTCGCTCGACAGCCATCACAACTCGCCCGTCGCTGCCCACAGCGTCTCGTTCCAGGACATCTTGACCGAGTTGCAGTCGTGGAATGATTGCATGTTCGAACAGCCCCATCTGCACAGCAGTCACGGCGGATGCTTGGACCCCGCTATGACGCTTTGCAATTCCGACGTATGCCAAACTTCGACGCCGCACTCGCACTGGATGCCCGCTCAGAGCAATGTTCCGCATCAGTATCAGGTATCTAATACTCTGCCGCAAGATGTCAGGCCGCAGATGTGCCAGTGGGCTGGATGCCACGAACGCTTCTGGACGGTAGAGGAGCTGGTTGCCCATGTCAACCATTCCCACCTCGCGCGCAAAACCCCAGCCTCCGCCACGGCGTCGTCCAACATGGCTGACAGCAAGGATCTACTCGTCGCCTCTCACCAAGAAGCGGGCTCGGTAGCCCATTCGCGCTCGCAATCTGGCGTCGATTTGCAAAGCGGCGCAAGCGGTCTCGAATGTCTTTGGAACGACTGCCACCAAGTACCGATGCCGGGGAAGCTCGAGCTCGGCACGTTCACGCCTACCACCGAGGCGCAACTCTGGAAGCCGAACGCTGCGGGAGCCGTGTCGGGAACAGGGCAGGATGACAAGGTTTCGCTTGCCATCTTGCAGCACCTCTTGCACGATCACCTCGGTCAACACTCTTCAGCGCCCTTCTCGCTCCATGCAGCTCAGCATCTTGCACCGACCACCCCATCATCCCCGCATCGCGCCAGCGAGGCGCTTCTATCCAGCTCCAAAGACAGCGCTTCGCCCCTTTCCTCATGGTCGAGCAGCAAAAAGCGCAAGAGCAGCGACACAAGTAGCGGTGGAGCCTACTGCAGCGAAACCGAGAAACTGTTCTGTCGATGGCAAGGATGTTCCGCCCAGTTCGACTCACACTCCGCTCTGACGGACCACATCGAAACGGCGCACGTAGGATCTGGGAAAGCGGAATACGAATGTCGCTGGATCGGCTGCCCTCGTCATGCGTCCGGGCAGAAGTTCTCGCAAAAGCAAAAAGTTCTTCGACACATCCAAACCCACACGGGAGATCGACCTTTCAAATGCACCCAGTGCGGTAAACGCTTCAGCGAGCAAAACACCTTGGCGCAGCACATCCGAACGCACACCTTGGAACGACCGTACGTGTGCGACCACCCAGGATGTGGGAAAGCGTTCAGCGTAGCTGGATCTTTGACGATCCACAAGAGGATCCACACGGGGAGCAAGCCGTTCGTCTGCACGTTCCCAGGGTGCGGCAAGGCGTTTGCGGAGAGCAGCAATCTGACGAAGCATGTGAGGACGCATACGGGGGATAGACCGTTCAGGTGTGGAGAGTGTGGGAAGGGTTTCAGTAGGCCGGATCAGTTGAGCAGGCATAGGAAGACTCATGAGAGGAAGCGGGAGGAGAGGGGGGAGACGATGGTGCTGGGTTGAACGCAGACGGTAGGTAGCACCGGTAAAGCAGAGCAGTCCAATGTGAATCAGTCTGCTGTCGTTGTAGCACTTGAATGTGGCCGATGTCTGAACGTGAGTGGTTGTGAGGTGTCGAGGATCGCCCTGGTGGGCGGCAGACTCGAGGGCAAGTTCAGGGTCCAGCCCGCACGTGACGAGGCAACGCTTACACCACTTTTTCTCTTCTTCCTCCACATCCTCCCGACTCACTCAGACACCATCCTTCTCTCTCTCCTCTTCCACACTCGCCCATTGACCACCCATATACGATTCCGACCGGCTCGAATTGCATTCGAAGATCCACCATGTTCAGGTCCGCACCGCTGCTACGCAGCACGCTCGCACGAGCATCGGCCGGGCGACCGATCCCCCGTGCGTTCAGCACCACCTCCTCCCGGCACCTACCATCCGACGACCCCGGTGGAAAACCCAACACCGGTCAACACCGTACCGTCTACGACGACTTTTTCAACATCCTCGAATCCCCCGCTGCTTCCTCCACCTCTCCACTCAACGCCGGCTCCACCGTGGTCATCTCCTCCACCTCACCTACCTCTCTAACGTTATCGGATGGGTTGGTGCTGAGCGAACCGGTGGTGGTCCTGAACAACTCTGTCTTTCTATTCGATTCACCGCCCCTCTCGGCTGATCGAGCAACACCTTCCGGTTTGGGCTGGGAATCATGGCTAGGAGTAACCACGATCAAGCCGGGGAAGATGGAAGTGACGCAAAAAGTCAAGGATGTATTCAAGCTCTTCGAGCTGGTCGATGACAGACCCGAGATCCTTCTCTTCGGAACCGGATCGCGCGTCCTTCCTCCACCCCAACCGATCCGACAACACATCAACGATCTCGGAATTCAGTTGGATGTGATGAGCACGCACGACGCCGCAAGCACGTTCAATATGCTCAGCGAAGAGGGCAGGAAGGTCGCTGCGATCCTGTTGCCAGAGGTGGAGGAAGGGAAGAGGAGGAGGTACTCCCCGGAACAGCTGCAGCGGTTGTTGGAGGGGAAATAGCTGAAGAGCAGATGAGGGTGAAGGTGTGGATTGGTCGCAGGGAATGGATGAGAAAGTCTCGGCGATCCACGGATACGAGGGGAAGGTGAATCGTCATGGCGTTTTTGGAAAACATCTTGCCATCTGCTAGAATGACTGCGTGACTTGTGTGAAAGCCTCTGCATCGCATCGGTGAGCACTTTCCTTGGTTCCTCTCTCCTTCAAGTGGACATTGTCGTGTTCGACTTCTCCCGCGATCGCACCTCACACTCTACCTGCCATGCAAACATCCTTCAACACAATTCTTCGCACACCCGTCACGCTCTTTCTTGGCTCGCGAAAACAGGTTTTCCAATGAGCCGATGCTGCTTGATCGCGACAGAGCGCCACAATCAGCGCTTCTACTCCTTCCTCGCATCCGGCGCATAGCTCACCTCCTTCCCCGTCCTCTCGGTGATCTTGCCCGATATACTCTCTATCAACGTCCACGTCAACCCATGCGATATGAAGCTCCTCAACGCGCTCACCCCCAACCCCCTGTACAGCCGCAAGAAGCGTTTGAGCACGGTATCCGTGTTGTTGCCCGCTGCCAACTGCCCACCTGCTGCGTCGGCCTGTATTGGGGGTCTCTGCTTGATCATATGGCAAAACACCTGCCAACCGGTAAACTGCCTCTTGTTGCCCGCTAGTGCGTCGCGCTGCACCTTTGTCTTGATCAGATCTACGGGGTATACGATCAACCAACTCAGAATCCCCGCGCTCGAACCCGATAGGAACGACACCACCGGTGCGGGTATCCCGTAGAGCTTTGGACCGGATGCACCTGCATCCACCGAGTGGCGCGAGACGAGTTTGCGGATCGAGTCGTAGAACCCAAAGTACAAGGCTGTACCCAACGTATCCCTCGTCATGTGCAGAGGGAAGCCCATGTAGAAGCCCTTGATGCCGCCGAAGTTCCTGTAGATGTTGGCGGCGGCTTGGAAACCTGACTGGGGAACAAACGTTCTCGACCGTGCGCTGGTGCTGCCGACCGGATTCTTCTTGATCAGCCCCTTCTGTACCGCGATGAGGTACTCCAACTGTCTCTGCACTTTCACCAGTTCAAATGGTGCACTACCGCACGAAATGATGACTCCACTCGTCGCACCCCCCGCTGCACCCGACAGTGCCGTGTGTATCAACCGCGAAGAATCGTTGAAGATGCCGTTTCGGTGGAGGTTGGATTTGGTGTTGTAGTAGATGGAAAAGGAGGAAGTTCTGACGAACGAGATGGTGATGAGGGGGATGGTGACGCCACGGAAGAAGCCGCGGAAGCCTTCTTCGCGAACGACGGATTTGGCGCACGCCCAGATCGACGGATAGTCGCGCACCTGCAGACGCGATTTCACCGAGTCGAACGGAAAGGAGGCTGCGGTGGACACGAGCGAGGCAGTGCCTGCGGTGACGACGGTGCGGTGCGCCAGCAGGAACTCGTCCGTCTCTTCCTTGCTCCATTGAAGCGAGGATGCGTAGTTGACGGTTCGTGCGTACAGCGAGTTGGGGTTGGAAGATGATGGTGTTGGTTCCGAGGGAGAATGGATCGGATAGGTTGATGAGGGTGGTGGTGGTGGTGGAGGAGCACGCCGTGATGGTCCTGCTCTCGATGTGTCACCCGTTGCATCCTGCGAGGTGGCAGAGATGTGTCCATTCGTGCAACCGTAGTGGTTGCATCGTGATCTGTCCATCAGAACCCACACCGCTTCGTTACCTCATACGATGTCCCAACAGAGCAGCACCTTTACGTTTCCGTTTCCCTTTCCTCGCTATTCGTATCCGCTTGCCTGGAAGCCTGCCTCCTCGCTGTTGTTGAGTGCAATTGTTTAGGCTGCGTAACGGTCCGGGGGAACCCTCGTGTGTGCGGAAGAGGGAAGAGATGACGGGGGTATGCTTGTGTCAGATAGATGGCGGTTATTCCGGTAAAGAAAAACAAACCGAGAAAAGGTGGAGTGGATCGATGAGGAAATTCCTACCAGATTTGGACCGTGTCTGTGTGTGTGTGTGAAATCTCGACCGGAAAGCACCATCTTGGGTCAGCCGAATTTGGCCTTCGTGAATAGGTCCGTGTTGCTCCTCGCCGCGTGCTTTTCTTTCATTTCGGTGCTGTAACACCCGATCTTGTTCGTGCGAATCGGGTGATTAGAATCATTCCCCCTCACTGTCGGTCTTCCCGAACTCCTCTGGCGGCGATACAATCAACTCTGCTTTCCCATCCCTAATGATGCGGTCATGCACGCACCGGGCTAGATGGCACACCACCAAGTTCACCACAAACAACAGCACTCCGAAAGACAAAGCGGCGGTGACAAAATGTGTCGATTCGAAAAAGAAAGAACAACATAACCATGCAACAGAAAAACAAACGACAAGAGACGACGACGAACAATGTAAAAGAGCTGGCTGGCGGCTGCAGGCGCAGAACGACACCTGCGCCCCGTGCGCTCAGCTCGCCAAAAGGGGTATGCTAGGTGTAGTGATGAAACGATCAAAATTGGATGAGACGAAACATGCTCAGAGCGAGTCGCTGTCCGCACGGCTCTTTTCGAGCGCAGGCAACGAGTCGTTGTGCGAGCTGGGGTAGTTTCGAAGATCGTCGCCCTGGTGTCGCTCCTCGAACGTCTCCTCGATCGTCTTGATGTGGATGCCCGTCTCAAAGTGGTCCTGGCTAGGGTAAGCGCTCAGACCGTTCTCCACGTCGTCGTCCTGGTGAGACGCCTGCGTGTGGATGATGGTGGGCTGCTTGTTCTGACCAGGACGGAACACGTTGGAGCGCTTGGTTCGTGTCGAGATGCCACGACGAGCATTGTCGCTGTTGGAGCCCTCCATGGTAAAGTGCTGAGTGCCTTGACCGATGATGACGCGCGCGTTGAGAGTAGAGAGCAGCGAGTTGACGTACAGCTTGGCCAGCGGCAGGTTGAACACCAAGTGCAGCGTCGTAGTTGAAGCCACGAAGAGGATCAGGTCAATCACGGCGAAAGCGGTGGTGAGCGCACCCGTCTGGAGTGTCGACTTGATCAACTTGGTGATCACGTCGTCCGTTGCGGCGAAACCGGTTCGCGACTTGTTGAGCGTGAACACGAGCGAGCCCGTGATGAGCACGTCGGTGAGCGCAGCAAAGCCGAGCCACAAGATGACCACTACCTGGAACTTTTGGAACTCTTGGAAGAAGAGTACAATCTCGACACCCACCGTCGTACCAATGGCGCTGAGCAACGATACCAGCGCACCCGTCGCGATCAGCGCAGGCATAACCTTGGAGTGCATCAGCTTGTACACACGCCACGCGAAGAACATCTGCGTGGAAAAGGCGATGATACCGGTGAGCACCGGGTCGGCAGCAAATGCGCGGTTGCTCCTCGCCGCGTAGTTGAGGTTGCCAAAGTTGGAGACCAGGTATTGGTACATGAACACCTGGTCGAACACGGCGTTGATGGTATCGGCGAGCATGAGGAAGAGCACGAAGTACCTCATGAAAGGCTTGTCGTTCTTGAAGTTGACATAGTAGATGTAGGCTTGTACGATCGAGAAACCGTAGAGCCACACGTTGAGCATCACTCCGATGTACATGCAACCCAGCCTATGGAGTCGAAATGAAAAGAGGTAAGATAGTGTCGAGCAAGCACGGGTCAGTCCATCATGCGCAGTGGGGGGCAATCGATCGCGGCAGCGCATAGAACAATCAACTTACGAGAGGTCCATGGACGGGAACTTGGGCATCATGTCGGTCATCTTGATGGATTTCTACTTGGTAGTGCAGGCGTGCCGGGTGATGTGGTCTTGCGGGAGAGCGTGTTGTATGGACGATCACTGGTGTCGCAAACGACAAATGAGGGCGGCGAAGGTGCAGAGACGGTTGAGGCGAGAACACAAAAGACAGAGAGATGCAGGCGCCAGAGAGAAAGTGTGCCACAGATGGAGTATGTGTCGTTCCGTTAGGGACGGAGGTGCAACCAAGGTGACGATGGGAGAGAACGAAGGAAGTAGGGTCGAGACGGGTTGACGTTGCAAGTCGAGGGTGTATATGTAGTGCCACTTGGGCTGTTGGACGAAGCTGTCAAGAAGTTGCAGGTGTGCGTGTGTGGGCTGAGGAGGTGGGCGTGAGATATGGATTGGCGGAATCGAAGCTCTCTTTTTTTGGTTCCCTTGTCCTTCCTTTCGCTCGCGGGGCGTCAAGTCTGGGCGTTGCACAGAATCACAAGCGCGACGTGCTCGGACTGTGCTCCTGTTGAACAACGCTGTGACCTGCAAGGGAGAAGAAGCTAGGCTAGGCGAGGCGAGGCGAGGCGAGACGGGTGGATGAAGAACAAGCAGGAATGAACGGCAATGAGAGGCGGCAGCGGCAACTGGAAAAAGATGGCTTGCAGCAATCAGGCAGCAGCGGCAAGAGGCAAGGCTGGAGCGGATCAGTTGCTGAGTTGCGCAACACGATTTTTCCCACCACGTACAGCGACGTGCAGCAAGTGTGGACCAGAGCGTCGAGCGACGCGAACGAAAACCCCTCGACGCCGAGCCTGAGGGAAACCGAAGAGGGGATGCGTCAAATGAAGCCCCTCAAAAAGACGCAGGGAGAGAGTGAGTGTCTGTGAATGTGCTTTGGCTGACTCCGATCTCAGCTGCACGTCCAAGAGGCAGAAAAATGAAATCTTTGAAAATTGAATGGCTGTCAGATGCAAGAGCAACACGTTGGGCAGTATCACAGTGTGAACAATGAAGGGGGCTAGGCCGGGACCTGAGCGGAGGCTCGCGTCGCAAAGAGAATGTGTCAGGCGATATGGCCCGTGAAGGCTGCCTCGCCTGACAGAATGGCAGAGAGTGGCGCGCTAGGGTGGGAATCGCTCGAAGCGCTTCTTGGGGAACAAAAAGCGAGCCTCGAACAATGAAAAAGGGAGCGATCTCTCGCTATGGCCAACATGGGCGAGCCGCCTCAACTCTAAATTAGAATTAATTCTCCTTGGAATTTGTGAAGATGAAAAATGATAAACCGTGTGAGGTTGCCCGCGAGTAGAGCGGAAGCGCAAATCAGAGACAAGGGACCGTCCCGGCCCTCGCTGACTTCGAGCGTCCTTGGAACCGCCATACTGTGTTCTCCTGGCTGTCAAACCACTGCAGCGATGCACTACTGTCTGATCAAGGTGTACTACAGAGAGCATCCAGTTGACGTCCGGTCATGCATCATTGGCAATTGGAATCTTTTCGGCATGCACAGGGTCGTTCCAGGCTTCTTCTGTACAGCAACACCAGAATGTGGCGCACCTACTGGGTACCAAAAGATAGCGGTACCGCTTGCGAGGCCCAAGGGTCCTTCTGTTTCGTCAGCACGTCTCGGCAGCTATAGCGAGGAGCCTCGTCGTGAGACAATGTCGTAGCGTGGAAGCCTGCAACCTCGAACAATGATCTGAAGCGTGATAGACGAATGCGTCTGCTCATGCTCGGCCGTCGTAAAAGTCGAAGCAAGCCCCCACTTCATCGTCGCTGCACGGTCCAGCACAGTGACTAGTCGACCACAAGATTTGCTCAAGATCAACGTAGCATGCAAACAAGCCAAACGCACCAACAGACCAAGCCACGTTTGATGGCAGTGGACAAGGTTTCGATCCGACAACCCTACAGCCACACGCACCTTTTTCCGGTCCATTGGGTTGTAAAGCGTTCTCGGCCACTCCGCACCGAGACGACGCCGTCAGCCAATTTGGCAACATTTGATTGCGACAATGGGATCGTGTGAATCGATTGTGATGCAACCCGACATCGATCGGCCTTAGTCATTGCCGAAAGAACGACAATGTTGCCAAGCAGCGAAGAAATCCCACAGCCTCGGCGAAGGTGAGAAACGGCGGCGATTTCATCAATTGCCTGACCAACCGCACACGCGCATTTAGGCGCGTACGGCGCGGCTGCAGCTGCATCGTGTTGGAACCTAGAGCAACAAACTGGGGGGCAACTTTGGCTGCATGAAAGTTGAGAGCGTTCTTGTTGCGATCAGCACGAACCTGTCGGCGTGTCGACTTGATGGGTCGTATCACGCGCCAACAGTCTTCTGCCACCTGAGCACGAGACGACTCAGTGACCCCCGTTGCCAGACTTCTAGGGAGGGAGCATCCTCTTCCTTCCATGCCCGTTTCGGGCTCCGTCGTGGTACCATTCCTGCTGCCACTGTCATGCACGCGCGTGTTCTGCCGCGGCGCAGCTGTCGACGCGGTCAATCGTCAAGTTAGTGTATCTTTTCTCCTTCTTTCTTTTGTCTTTCTTTCGATTCACGTCTTCTGACGACGCTCGTAGCTTACAAGCATCGACAACGAACGGACAATGGCGCTGCTGCCGAGGCGATGCGTCGCTGAGGTCACTGTAAAGATGAGATCAGACGTGGGTGCAACAATCCAGAGTCGAGCTACACGCTGAAAGAGGTTTGGTGAGCTTCTTCTCACGGCCTGCAACGGCGCTTGTGCCGCTCGTGTGAGAACGCACTTAGTGGCACGTCCTTTGTCTTCCGGTCTCGGATTCCCTCGGAACAATGTCAGCACTGGTTCCGAAGATCGTAAAGTCAAGCCACAAGCAAGGTGCAAAGTGGCTAGTGTTGTTCCGAACCGCCTTCCGAAGTGCAAGGAGGACCAAAACTTCGGCTCGCCAAACCCCTTTTGTGTCCTTTTGGCGAGACGTCTGGCTGACTGAAAGAAGGGTCGCGCCAACGCTTACCCAGTGCTTGACGTCTGGCATTTCCATCGCAAAGAAAAGAAAATCCAATAATTCGCACGTTAGGTCGTACCTCTGGGTCGCTTGAATGCTTCGCATGCCAGGTATCGCGACCCGAAGTTATACAACAACCCCCATTCGGCTAGCTCGATCGAATGACTGTTGCATCTTCACAATTTTCTAGCGGTACGAACCTCGGCGCTTAGCAAGCACAGGTGCAGAACATGCTCTGATTCTTCTCTCGTCGCTTCGGATGGACATGCTGGTGAATCGATTCCGCGGCTCTGGACCTCCAGCCACAACGATCAACTCCTTCCGGCGCTTTGGCCGTCTGCCATTGTCGCTATTGTCGTTCACGGCAGTCAAAACGGTCATTCACAACCCAGATCGTGCCGCGAGACTGCATTGGCAACCTGTGACCCGGTCAGCACACGAGAACCAGCCTACTGGTACCGGAATATGTCAGCCGTGGACCGCATTGATAGAGGGGCAACGATCAGCAAAAGGATCGGCTTATGGGATCAGCTCATCTGCCGATCTGGTCGGTGTCCAACACAAATATCGGGTCCAGCAACCAAGATTTTCGGTGCTGCCGAATTTGCACGGTTCGGCAAGCCCGTCTTGTCCGGAGAGCTCACGTCCGTTATCGTTCGTGCTCCGAGAAAGGCTGTCTTCTCGCGAACTAGTTTCGCCAGACACACATTCTGCTGAGCGCTCCGCCAATCGTGCTCAATGCCGTTTCCTCTGATTCTACGATTTCATTTGTCGGCTTCTCTGTTGAAGAAAACCATTGCGTGACGGTACAAATCGCTCCAAGGTCCAAGATGCGTTCAGGTAGCGACGAAAGGCTCTTGATCTCAGTTCTCGCAGATCTTCTGGTAAGCCTCGGCGGTGAGAAGTGTCTCAAAGTCGGACGGGTTGGACAGCTTGATCTTGCACAACCAACCTGTGTGAGATCGAGAAGAAGAGATCGGTGCAAGGGTGTCTCAGAACTCGATCTTATCCAAACGGCATGTTCATCTGGGCCGCAGAGACTTACCATCGCTTTCGGGCTGCTTGTTGAGCAGGCTCGGCTCGTCGTTGAGCTTCTCGTTGACGGCCTCGATCTGGCCAGAGACGGGTGCGTAGATGTCGGAAGCAGCTTTCACCTGGAAACAAAGTTCGTGAACAAAATGATAAACGAGAAGGTCAATACGGAGGCCTTGCATGCGTTTCAACGGTCTCGCTGACTTACAGATTCGACGGCTCCGATGTCATCTTTCAACGTCATCAGAACATGCCCAGTCGGTACATTGAGAAAGCGAAAGATGTCAGCATTCCATTCCTGCTTCGGCGTTGTGTTCCAGACAGACTACTCACCTCCCTTCTTGACCTGAGCACCGGCTTCTGGGAGCTCGATGAAGACAACGTCGCCGAGCGACTTCTGAGCGTAGTCGGTGATTCCCACGGTACCAATGTTGGTGGCGTCGTCGAACGAGACCCACTCGTGCTCCTCGGTGAATCGCTTCTGAACGCCAGAGATACGGACGCTGGAAGCGAAGCCAGCTCGCATCAGAGGTGCCGCGAATGGCCTCGGTGCTGCGCGCTTGGCAGACCTGCCTAGAAGCTGGACAGTTGGTCGGATAGCAGCGATCATTGTGTACGGTGTGTTCGTTTGCAGTTGCGAGTGATGGTGGAACGTGCGTGAGGCGAGCCGACAAGAACCTCGACTCTGTTTGGTCGACTTTCTCCGCGATTTTGACCGAAATCAGCTTTGGCTGCGCTCGCAGCTGAAAACGCGAGTCCCGAGTGCCGAACCCTGCGCAACTTTTTTCTATTCAAGTTTTGTGGCTCAACCTTGCACAAAGTGACACCATCCTCTTCCTCATCAGCCAATCACTTCGTACAGCGTCGCCAGATACCTTTGTTACCCTTGTTCCTCCGACACAGTCATCTGGAGATCAAGCTAGACGTTCCGTAGCCCATCATGGGCGCGTCTTCCAATACAGCCGAGCTGCTGCTGCGCGTGTGCGCTGACATTGCAGCACAGCTCGTAGACGCTCATGACCGCTCAGCATCGGTGTCGTTGAACCAGATCCGCACAAGTACCTGCAAAAGATACGGTTACAATGGTGTACCACGACTCACCGACATCATCGCCGCCATTCCGGAAGCTTACCGCAAAGTGCTCGTACCTGCTCTCAAGGCTAAGCCCGTTCGAAGTGCTTCGGGTATCGCAGTCGTAGCCGTCATGTGCAAGCCGCATCGATGCCCTCATATCGCGCTCACAGGAAACATTTGCGTCTACTGCCCGGGTGGTCCTGACTCCGACTTCGAGTACAGCACGCAATCCTACACTGGCTACGAACCCACCTCGATGCGAGCCATCCGAGCTCGATACGATCCCTACGAGCAATCCAAGAACCGTGTACAGCAGCTTCGCGAACTCGGTCACAGCGTCGACAAGGTCGAATACATCATCATGGGAGGCACCTTCATGTCGCTTGCTGAAACATATCGAAACCAATTCATCGCCCAACTTCACAACGCCCTCAGTGGCTTCAACGGCCAAGACGTCGACGAAGCCGTCAAGTACTCCGAAAGGGCTCTCACCAAGTGCATCGGCATCACCATCGAGACGCGGCCAGACTATTGCTTGCGACCGCACCTGTCGCAAATGCTTCGCTACGGCTGCACGCGACTCGAGATCGGTGTTCAGTCTGTCTACGAAGACGTCGCGAGGGACACCAACAGAGGTCACACCGTCAAGGCAGTGTGCGAGACCTTCCAGCTCGCCAAGGATGCTGGCTACAAGATTGTTGCACACATGATGCCGGACCTTCCCAACGTCGGTGTAGAGCGGGACATGGAACAGTTCAAAGAATACTTTGAGAACCCAGCTTTTCGCACGGATGGACTCAAGCTATACCCGACCCTGGTCATCCGCGGCACAGGTCTCTACGAGTTGTGGAGAACCGGTCGCTACAAGAACTACACCCCCTCCTTCTTGGTCGATCTGATCGCACGCATCCTCGCACTTGTGCCGCCTTGGACGCGAGTCTACCGTGTGCAGCGTGATATCCCCATGCCGCTCGTCTCGTCTGGTGTCGAGAACGGCAACCTGCGTGAATTAGCGCTGGAGCGTATGCGCGATTTCGGCGTCACCTGCCGCGATGTGCGATACCGCGAGGTCGGCTTGCACGAGATTCACACCAAGGTGCGACCGGACGAGGTCGAATTCATCCGTCGAGACTACACGGCCAATGGAGGTTGGGAATCCTTCCTCGCGTACGAAGATCCCGAGAAGGACATCCTCATCGCGCTTCTGCGTTTGCGAAAGTGCTCAGCTGCCGGCACCTACCGTCCCGAACTGACAAAGGATGGCCAGTGCTCCATCGTTCGCGAACTCCACACCTATGGCAGCGCAGTACCAATCCATTCCAGAGACCCTACCAAGTTTCAACATCAAGGTTTCGGTACTCTGCTCATGGAGCAGGCCGAACGCATCGCTCGCGACGAGCATGGTTCGCGCAAGCTCGCTGTCATTTCGGGTGTGGGCACGCGCGACTACTACAGGAGGCTCGGGTATGAGCTCGAGGGCCCTTACATGGTCAAGATGCTCGTCGATGAGGTCGGAGAGGACGACGCTCCCGACCACGGCGCGTATGACTCCGAGTTCTACTTCTGATGTTTTAGCGTCGGCCGTAAGCGTTCCCCTGTGTCCAGCATCGTACAGAGGTTTCACCAGCATTCCGCCATTTCACAGTCTGTATTTCTATCTCATCTCTTCGCATTGCATGGCATCCATCGTTGGTCTCACTTTAACGTTCTGCTTTTGACTGCGTCGGCTTGCCTTGCGCCGTCGTCATAGTGATACACAGGTCTTGAAGCGCATGAAATGTGTGATTGATCGAATTTGATTTTGTGGCCGCTCAGTCGTCACCTAGCAGGAAGAAAGCACGTCTGTGGCGCACAGGCTGCGGATCGTGGTCCATCGCATCGCGCGTTGTGGCGAGGACGTCGTTTGTGACCACGTCTGCATCGCCCTCGTAGTTCCAGTCGACGATAACGGCCTCCAATCTGCTCAAACCTCTCCTGGCAGCTTTGCGAACGAGCTTGTACACCACGTGCAGAGCACGCACGACTCCAATAATAACCAGCAGCACGATGAGGATCGAGGCGATGTTGACGCCTTCCTGGTTGCCGTTGCGGCCCCTGCCGCCCGAGGTCATGCGGGCGAAGGATCTTCCGAGTCCAAAATTGTGCAAGTTGATCGGTCCGATGAAGGACGCGCCGACGAGGAGATTGACGAAGGAAAGAATTCCGACGAGCGAGAATCCGACAGAGAACTGAACCAAGAGCTTGTTGAACCATCCTTGCGGCTCTGCTTGGCTGGACGTGGGTTTGCGCGATGCTTTCGCTGCCTTCTCGCGACGACGCTTGCGTGCGTTGGGATCGTTGGCGTCAGATGCTGCCCTAGCATCGTATTTCTGTCGAGGCCTTGTCTTGGAAGCACCAGCTCCTGTGGCGGCGAGCGTGGTAGTTTCCTGGGCCAGTGGTGGTCCACCAGGCGGAGGTGATGCTTTCTTTTCCCAGAGACCACCATCGCCATACATCCATTCGGTCTTGAGGGCTGACCAGAAGCCCTTCCCCTCGTGCGGATCTTGCTCAATGCTTTGGGTTGCTTCGGGTGCATCCTGCAGACCGACAACTTCTCGAACCGCTTCAACGGCCTCTCCGGACGCGAAAGACCGTACAGCTTCCTTGATGAGCTTGACGTACGCTGCCGGTTCGTACATGAGATTGCTGTAGCTCCAGATTCCAGGAGAGTAGTCTGCATCCAGGTAGGACCATGCATCCGCTTCCACAGGATCGAAGAGGGAGTGCTGTTCCAAATGGGAGCCTCGCCATGGCCACCAGCTCTTCGATCCGGATTTTTGAGACGCTGTTGACGGCTTAAATGAGGTCGGACGGTCATAGATGTCCATGAAGAAGGTAGCGGTGACACCGACAGTCCAGATAAGAAGGAGGAAGAGGCAAAGGCTGACGACGAAGAGTAGGGTAGGGGATGTAGCGAGACCGACGAACTTGGACTTGCGGAAGCGATACGGAGCCCCGCACTGGTCGCAAGCAACGGCAGATGACGATCGAGCGGAAGCGGCTCTCCATTGGTCGAGGCAGGTGGCATGGACATACTTCATGGTACCTTTGCATCTACACGGCGAAAGTAGGCGACCCAGAGATTCGCCACCAGACACATCGCTTGATGCTGACTCGAGACAGATGCGACATATGGCTTGATTTGATTGATCTTCGAGATCGTCGAGGAATTGCGCTTGAGGCATCGGCTGGTCCGTTTCTGCATCGTCTTGGTCTTGGAAAGCACCTTGAAAGCTGTCTAAAGACTCGTTTGGCGAGTCGACATCCGTGCGTCTTTCCGAGCTCGCATCGACGTTCTCGTCATCGTCGTCCACTTGACCATCCCTCTCGCTTCCAAATCGATGCTCTCTGAGCTGTTCCTGATCGTCGAGTAGGCGCGGGTCGTAATCGAAGGGTTGGTCGAAATGATGTCGTACCTCGGCATCGGATCCAGTGCTGCTCCACGAAGTTCGCGACATGGCCACTCACGAGTATATTGCGGGGATCAGTTCCATCTCGTATGAGGCTATCTTGTCATGGACCTTCCCGAATGGTTGACGTGCGTCATGCAGTACCATCAGGCCTGCCTCGGTCAGAGTCAAGATGACGTGGTGGAGGTCAATGCAACGTCGGCTGCGCACTCAAGTCACGAGCCAGGGTCCAGTATTTCAATTTCACTCGACTGGCTGCGCGCAAGCTCGAGTCTGGAGCGTGTCGCTCTCGTGCTGGTGCGTAACGCAATCATCGGATGAGCCGCCAGAGGCTGATTGGCGCTGGAAATCGAGCAGTTCTCCTCTTTCGGTTTGGTCGGTTATGCAGGGTCTGTGATTGCGATTCTTGTGCTCGCCCATCATCATCGTCACCATCACCATCCGTCTTGTGCTTGTTGTCGTCGTCTTCACCTGGCACAAGACAGCACAGCACTGCGTCTTCTATCACTTGCGATGGGCGGCCGCTGACCACTCACCGCAGTCCTCCACGAACCTGCAAACTACCGCCAAAAGCTTCCGGACAGACCGCTCGATTGCGAGTAGTAAAGACCGACGCAGAGATGGTTCAACCACAAGGCACAGTGCGCCTTGTCGCCTGCCTCTGCCTCTTCATCACGCTAGCCCAATGCGCTCTCGCAATCTCGGATGCCGGCACAAGGAATCTGCAGAAGCCCATGCAGATCCTCGATCAGACTCGTACCCAGACACGAAACGGGAACCAGCCCATCTCGCCCAACTTGATCGACCTTCTCACACAGTCTCCGGATCACACCATCTTGGTGCGGCTCCTCCAAAGAACTCGCCTCGTTCCGACCCTCAATCGGCTGCAAGAATTCGATGATGGCTCGGGTCTCACCATCCTCGCTCCCACCAATGACGCATTCATTCGAAAGAAGGACGAACAGGTTGCAAGACGTGATGCGACCGTCGACGCAGCCTCCGAATCGCCTACATTTTGGCAGTATCTCATCGACGACAGAGCGCACAGCTCGGAACTATCTCCCGATGCAGCATCGCAATGCCTCTGGCACGACGGTGTTTGTGTGGCAGCAGGCAACGTCAACGCAGTGGCACGCCAGCACCTCCTCTATCACGTCCTCAACTATACCCTTCCTTACTCCTTGAGCACCGACACCGGCTCTCACTCACCCTCTGATCCTCTCCCTGAACCTGGCAGACCACAGATGCAGACCACCTTGCATTTTCCGTCGCGCAGGATGATCACCGAGCCCACTCACCCCGGCCGTGTGCCCGTTCCTGATGAAGAAGACCACGGTGGGCTGCTCGGCCACCACGGCCAACGTCTGCGTGTTGCCGCGGTCGACGACAAAGAAAGATCGAACAGCTTCCTTTTGTTCCGCTCCACCCAGCGCAAGCGCATGGCTCTATTTTTCGGAACCGACGAAAAGGGTCGAGGAGGAGCCAGGTCTATTGATGAGGATTGGCGCTCCAAAAGCGGTGTAATTCACCATATTGACGCTGTCATCGATTTGCCGCCCTCCTTGGAGCATGTCATCCTCACCCACCCTCGTCTCGAGAGCTTACGACGCCTCGTTACCAACGACACGCTCAAGAGCCTTTCTACTGTGCCCCACCTCACCCTCTTCTTGCCCGCTTCGGATGCCTTCGATAAACTCAGTGTGCTCGAGTCCACCTACCTGTTTGGCGACTATCAGCAGGCTGCTCTGGATCGACTCAAGCTTCTCGGCTGGCACATGTCCGGAACCGGCCTCGGCGACCGCTCGCCCGTCTACTCGGCTTCGATCCGCGCCGTCGGCCGCACAACCCTCCCCACCGCGCTCGGCGGCTCCGTATCGGTCGAGGCCGATCAAGCCGACGGCCAAATCACAGTCATGGGAGCACAGGTAGTACAAGAGGACATCCTCGTCGAGTCCGGGGTCGTTCATCTTCTTGACTCCCTGATCTTGCCATTCGGCGATCTTGACATGAGCGTCGAAGCAACGCTTAGGGCACTCAACGCATCGCGCTTTGTTGACCTCATCTACGACGCTGGCCTGCAACGCTACATCAATAAGCCAGCTCATTTACAGAGGCAGGAACAAGACACTTTCACCTTCCTCGCTCCGCGCAACGATGTCATCGATGCGTGGTATTCAGGTCATTGGTCTACGTCGGACTCATCCGGCGAACGCTTTTCTCGCGAGTATCGTAAGGGTCCCACGCTCGACGAACTTGTTCGCTACCACATCCTTCCCGGCCAGATCAGACCGGCCGATCTGACAAGTGGCATGCTGCTCAACACCGAGCTTCTCGACTGGAAGCTCAGGGAAGGCAGGCAGAAGATGCCCGTGACCGTGGACGACTCGCGCGTCTCAGACACCAAGGGCAACGGCGACGTTGCCTTTGGCGACGCCAACGTGCTCAGAGATCCCGTCGAGATCAATGACGCTGCCATCATCTATGTCGTGTCGCAACTGCTCCAGCCGCCATCTGATCCGGTGCAGACGGCCGTCTCTTACCTCTCCCTCTCGACCTTTGTGGCCACCGTGTTCAGCGCCGACTTGACGAAAGCTGTCGAGCGTGCTCCTGGCGTAAGTTATCTCGTGCCTACCAACGATGCTTTCACCGGCCTTGGCCTCGCCATGAATTATCTGTTGCTTCCCGAATCGCAGCATCTATTGCAGGCACTCGTCGAGTACCATGCCATCGACAGGATCGTGTACAAGTCAGATTTCACCGAGCAAGAAGTCGAGTATCCCACACTCCTGCCCACGCTTGGCGCAAACTTGGCTATCCGAAAGCAGAAGAGCGGGTCCATCGTTGTTCACAAGGCAGGCAACCCGAACGGGACCTACTCCCTTGTCGTCAAAGGAGACATTCTAACCAACACTGGCGCGATTCACGAAGTAGACCGTGTTCAGATCCCCTTCGACCTCACCATCCGCGATCTCCTCAAAGGCGCCAAAGCCGACACGATGCAAGATCTCATGGTTCAGGCAGGCTACGAGCACATCCTCAATAGCACGATTCCTCAGGATCAGACAACCGACTCCAGCACTGGCTTTATGGTCCTGGTTCCTACCGACAGTGCCTTTACAAAGGTGAATCTCTCCGCTATTCTCGACGATCGCGATCTTCTGGTCAGGCTGGTGCAACAGCATCTGATCCCACTCACGGACGATGGAGCTGTGGACGCATTACTCCCAGACGGTCGCGGAGATGGCATCGGCATGAAGGACGAAAGCTCATTCGCGACGCTCCTTGACCGTTCACAAGGAGGCTCGAGTTCTTATGGCCAGGTCAGCTTCCGAAGGGTCTCCTCTAGCAGCACGAGCCGGTTTCGACGCACTACGATTGGTCGATTCAGCTCGGACGACTCGGATGACGACGGTCTCGGCTGGCTTGTGGGCATCAAGAACACGCGAGGCTCGCCCGCGAGTCGTCATTCGGCCACCGTGCTGGCGTTTGGCCGTGAAGCGCGCGCTGTCAGAGGCGATGTACGTCTCGAGCGTGCTCCTGTCGGCGGGATCTTCCAAATTGACACCGTCCTCTCGCCCTACGAGCCCAATTGGTTTTACAGATGTAAGTCATGGGATACCGCCCGCCCTGTCTCTTTTTTTCTTTTGCTGACTTTGAACGCTCTGAACATCTCGTAGGGGGCTGGATTGCTTTGACTTGCGCCTTTGTTGCCGCGATGCTCTGTGTGGCCGGATTCTTCGTCCTGCGCTGGTGGAGAGGCGGCAATCGCATCAAGTTGCCAGAAGCCCTCGAAGGTACGTCTTTCCTTTCGCCTCACGATATAAATCAGCGGATTTTAGCTGACACATCCATCTTTCTTGCGTCGGCTGCCTCACAATTCAGGTGAAGAAGAATAAGGACTGGCTCTTACTCAGAGCGGATCGGTGCCCCAGCTTCATTTTGTGCTGTAGGATTTTTATTGCTAAGGACCTTTCTAAAGCGAACCATACGAGTATCGGTGAGCTCAGCCACGGCCTACGTGGCTCGGCATGTTTGTTGCTTGGATCACGACGTTGGCCACTGTTCGAGGTTAGAATGGAATGCGCGTCAGTGTTTGGGCGCATCAAGGAGAGGCGGTTGCTCGGTCTAATTATGGACTCACCGTTGACGCCAAGAGGCATCTCTGCGATGTGAACAATCTCCTTGCCCACGTATTCGCGGTCCATGGTGGGCTCATGGCGCAAAGAACCATCGGACTGTCAAGTGATCAGGGCAAGGGAAAGAACGATCAGATTGTTTCTTCTTGGTCCACAACAGAGCTGGCGTCGTTGGACTTACCTGAGGTACACCGGGACCAGACTTCATTTTGGCCGTCATCTCGGATGCTGCGTTGCCGATGTCGATCTGGGTAACGGCGATGTTGAACTTCCTTCCATCGAGCGATAAAGATTTCGTGAGGCCGGTCATGGCGGTCTTTGTTGCGGTGTAGGGCGATGAGAAGGGGCGCGGAGCGTAGGCGCTGATACTGCCGTTGATGATGATCCGTCCTCCTTGTGGCTGCTGCTTCTCCATGTATCGGAAAGCTTCACGTGCGCATAGGTATGGGGCGGTCAGGTTGACATCGACGGTCGCTTGCCAGTCCGAGAGCTTCTGCTCCGCCAACGGGACATTGGGCGGCGAGATGCCGGCGTTGCAGAACACTAGGTCGACACGGCCGAACTTTTCAGCGGTCTCCTTGAAGACGCGCAGGACGACGTCCTCCTTTGTGATGTCGCCAGAGACATAGAATCCAGCGTCTTGGCGACCCGCGGCCTGGTTGAGAAGTGTGACAGTTTCTTGGAGTTCGGTTTCACGTCGTCCTGTGACGGTGACATTCCATCCGGCTCGAGCGAGAGCCACTGCGCTCGTTCGTCCTAGCTGCAAAGAGCGAAAGGCAAGGGGTCATCACGGTTGTCAGGTTACGTGTCAGCGCTTCATACGCTTTGTTCCATGACGCTTTGTTCGTCTCACAAACTTACTCCAGAAGAACCGCCAGTGCTGCCAGGAGAAGGCCACGAGCAAAGTACATCAGGCAGAACAAAGGTCAGCTGCATTAATCTGAGAGCGGACATGATAGTCGAAGCGCTGCAGCTAAGACTTACACGATGGCCGTCTTGCCTGGACGGGGATAGCTCTCGATCTGATCCGTAGACGTTGACATGGTGCGGAAATCTGTGGCTTTTGACAAAGCTGCTGCGGAAAGAGTGTGAGGAAGCGATGGGCAAGATTGCTTGCAATGCACAAAGCATGCAATCCCTCGTATAAATGTGATTAAGACGCCGCCAGCTTCCTGGTCGTTGCCATCCCAGACGATCAACAAGACATACGTTCGGCCATCCCCACACTGCACTTTCGAAGTTGATGCATGGCCGGTGCGGAGCCGACGGTCGTTTCGAGGTTTTCCTGCGACAATTTGATGCATCTCTCTGAATGCGAATCCCCGCGGGGTCCACCGCGTCTCTGATAGTCTCGCCAATTTCCAAATCACCTGGCCTCGAAGCCAGATGCAACCGGACCGGCCTCCGGTCCATGTTCCTAATTATGGCTCACTCGATTCGGGCATCGAAATACTTCAGTCATCTGCCCTAATGGACTGCAAACAGATCGAAGCCGCAACGCCATGCACGAAGGAACTCGCATGATCAGCGTCGTCTGCGTGGAACGAGGAGAAGCCCGTCACATGCAGTGGCAGCCAGTTGAGCCGCGATGCCAGGGACAGAGTTTTTCCTTAAATCTCAGCCACAAACATGGCGCGGTCGTGTGAGCGGCTAGAGACGATCTCGGCAGGGTGATAATTTCACATATGAAAGCGGTACAAATACAAGGAGACCGAGACAGGAACGCTTTGTAGTAACATGCAAGAAGGAAGTCGAAGGCTTTGGACATTTGCCCTGGACGAGAGGGCCAGCTGCAGCCCTCGACACGAGGATCACGAAGACGGCGAGGAGGGATGAATGACAATGGACGATGCCGAGCCGCTGGAAGGCAGATCAGAAGTCTTGCAGGGGGAGGAGAAGCTCCGATCCCTGAATTCAAAAAGTTGGCGTGGCTCCGTGATGGAAGGGCTCTGCCCGCCGGCCTTATTGACGGGCGTCAGGTTGGAGGAAGTCTTCATGGAAGGCATCGTCACGACACGCGGCGATGGTTGAGCAATCCCTTTGCGCATCGACCGGTGAGAACGCAGCGATTCGATGGATGACAACGTCCTGAGGCGTGGCGAGCCCACCGGACCAGATGCTGAACGCATCCAGTTCAAGTTGGATGCGGGCATCGCCTTAGGCAGGCCTGCAGTGCCTTGAACGTCTCCGATGCTGAGATGGGCGTAACGCTGTGTGAGGAATTCGGAGAGCTCCTGCCAACCTCCTCCGACCCGAACCATGACTGTGTTGGATGGCAAAATCCGACAAAAGCACAGACGCGGGTCCGGGTCGCCGACCCAGTATTGACCGCTCAGATCTTGGAGTGCAGATATTCGAGAGGAAGGAGCACTGTCTGCCAGAGAGGCATTCTTGATCGAGATCGAGATGGGCAAACGATTGACGATCTCGCCGATGGCTACGTCGAGCGCATCGCGCGGATTCGAGCGGTAGTGGTTCGAGACGTGCCGGACAGGTATCGCATGCAGGCTCGATGATGAGGCTTTGCGAGGCCGGTCATTGGACTTGGGGAGCTGGTCCCGAGTACTAGGAGTGATGCTTGCTGCGACAGAAAGGCTTGTAGACGACGAAGGTCTACTGACTTTGGGCTCTGCAGCCAAGTCGGGGCCCATGCTTGCGGCCGCCGCCGCTACCGGAGTGTGAGGGCCGTGGTCGATGAATGCCGATGAGGAGGAGGTGTGGAGCATCGACAGGGTCTTGGACGACTTGGCTTCGATGGCAGAGGGTTGAGGAAGGGCATCCTCGAGCCTCTCCTGCTCGTCAATCAACTTCTCGGGGACTTGTCTCTGATCTATGAGAAGGTCTAAAAATTTGGCCGCGGGACGAGCCTTCTCGGTGTCGAAACTGCGGATGCGTAATACTAGGCGGGAGCATTCGAGTTTCAAAGACTCGAGAGCCAGTCTCGAGGATGCGCTGGCCGATCGTGGGATGTGCTGGCCGGCATGGTCATGCTGCACATCTATGCGTGTGGGATCTCCATCACTCGTCTGCTGTTCGGTCTTCTCACCGGGGAGTGAGACGAGAGAGCTTGAACGTGAAGCCGCCAAAGTGTTGCACTTGGTGTCGAAGGCTTTGATGTCGAGACGCAAATCTGCGACGTCAGCCCAAGCTGAGCAGACGGTTCGCTCCCACTGTAGCCGTAGGTCTGTCAATTCGTGCTCGTGGCGTCGCTCGCGCAAGAGACGTAGAAGCTTATCGAGTGCGAATACCGTATCGAGTGCAAGCTCCAAGAGATCGGTGTCTGGACCAGAGAGGTGACGTTTCGAGACAGCTTTGGCGACCGAGCGCAGTCTTTTCATATCCTCCGAATTGAACTGTTCCACATCCTGCTCGAGACGGCTGCATTCGCTTTTGCGGCTGTTGAGTTGGCTTGTGATAGCATCGAGGGTGGAGGCGGCTTGCTGGAGGCGATCGAGATCAGCGGAATAGGTGGAGACGTCCTTGAAAGGATTCCACGCTGCCCAACTCTGCAGATCGGCGATATGATGTTCAATGTCGTCCTTCTTGCGGGAGATACGAGTCAACTCGACATAATCCTGCGAAGAAAGCTTGTCTGAAGGTAGTATCTGTCCGCAAGACAGGCCCATCGAGTCCGCCTCCATCCTACTGCTGGCAGCTTCAAAGGCAATGGTGGCACGGCTAAGCTCTCTAGACTCATCGACATAGCTCCGGCTAGATTTCTTGCAGCTTGCATACGGCAGCCCACATGTTGGATTGACAGAGGGCGCTGCAGCTTTCTTCCAGGAGAGGTGCTTTGTGAAGTGGAATTGAGGGAGGCGAGCTGCGATGCTGTTGCAGGTCTACATGCCAAGATACGGATGTGTTGTCGATTGTCGAAGTCGACCAGTGGGAGAAGTGGGGAAGCAAACAAGAAATCCAAACTCAGCCTTGCAGGACGGAGCTGTCATTCCTTGGAACGGCGCTTTTTTCGCTATACGCGACAGGCCAGCCGCCTTGGCGGACAAGGCTCCACAGTCACTTGGCGCAAAGGATGAGTGAGCTGACGCGTGCTGGGTCATTTTTCTCGTGTTTCAGTGTTGGTTTCTTGATTTCCAACTTCTTTGGTTCCAGCACAATTCCGCCATGGACTGGCGTTTGTCGATGTGACATAATAGCAGACGAGCTGAGCGGCTCGGATGGAAACAATCGGCACAATCCTGCGTGAAGGCTCCGAGGTCCCTGCTTGGAAGTCGAACAGCGATGATGTTGCTAGCGTCACGTCAAGGTCGAAAGGCACAACAAACCTAACCTGCGCTGTTCTGCAAACTGCTCTCCGTTCTTCTGCGGATTCCAGGAGTGTCGATGAGGCCTTTCGTGCTGAGCACGCAGCTGACTCACCCAAAGTCGGCGGCACACACTGTTGCAGAAAGGGGACTTGGCGCTTCCGTGCACTTGAGCAGTGTCACTCTGCTTTTGGCTTCTTTGCCTCGTTTCGCCGTTGAGTCGCATGTATGCGTGACGACGCAGCCGCTGCTGCTCTGCTTTGCTTTGATGGTTCTCCAACAGCCGTCTTTGAGAGCTTCAGTTTCTCTCGATTGCAGGGAAACTTCCCTGTCAGCCTCGATGTCATCGAGGCTGGCACCTTGTTTCTTCGATCCCAATCGCCACCATCTCGCCGATTGAAATCATCAACCATGAGAGCTGGTCGCGAACGCGCTCAGCGCAACCTCTACGTTCTCAATCTTCCTCTGGATGCTACCACCGATCAGTTTGAGGAGATGTTTGCTCAATTTGGCTCGGTCGAGCACGCCGTGATCCTGGCCACACTCGACCATATGGCTCGCAGACGCGGCTTCATCCTTATGTCGGATTCCAATCAAGCTGCAGCTGCCATCGAGCACCTCAACGGGTACCAATGGCACAACTATCGCATCGAGGTCTCTTTTGCCATTGTCCAGCGGAGCGGTACGCCCTTTTCTCATGATTCCGCCCATTCCATCAGCGAACAGAGGCCGAGCCGACCAGAAGCGATCGGCACTGCACAGCCGGTAAGCAGCCGCTTCTGAATTCGTTCCGAGTGATCCAGTCTTCCCCTAAGTCATCCCAAGAAGCTGACGCAGCGAGATGGGGCCCTGTTTGCGCTATGTTCAGCCTCCGTTCCATCTACTGATGAGCCAGCAAGGCCCCCAATTGTCGGGCTTGCAAGCGCCAGAGCCCGATCGCGACACTGCTCTCTTGCTCGACGGTCTCGACACTACTGTCCTAACGTCGCCAAGTATGTTCCGAGCCTTGACCGAACCTTTCGGACACATCGTCGACATCCGAAATGGCGAACAGAGACATTCTCCCTGGTGCAGCGGTCGTGCTCTGGTCAAGTATTGTTGCTCCTCCAGTGCGCGTCTTGCTCAGCTCTCCCTGCACGGTCTCGTCGTAGGAGCAGGTCGCATCTCAGCTACTTTGGCTCAGCCCCGATCTTCTGCCAGCTTAGGACAGCACGATTCAGTCAAATGCCCTGTCGACTACACGAATCCGTCCAGTCTCGCCGCTACGCCCGGCACGGGGCCGGGTGGTTGCAACCGAGGTGACAGCATGCCACCGCCGCTACAGTCACACCGTGTAACTCCAAGGCAACTCGATGACACACTTCCTAGTAACAAATCAACGCATATCACCGCACAGCGCGCCTTCGACAGTGTCAGCGCTGCCGTCGTGCCGTGGCAGACTAACGCGACGAGCGGAACGTGTGACGATGCTGACTTGGTTGACCGGGTAAGTTTCTGTCGTTCCGCATACAGCTCTGACTCGCCTCCTTCGAAGCGCTGCAGCGATCCTGATCGTCCAGAATTCTTGTCTTTTCATCTACAGCGCACTCTTCCTCGGCCCATCGGCGATGAGCGTCGAAGGTCCATCCGCACCACAAAGTAAAAAGGCTTGCGCCGGTTTCAAAATGAAACTGATTTCGACTTTGTGCAACCGAGGCTACAAAACGTCGCAACGGGATATTGTGCAATTTATGGTAACACCTTTCTCAGACTCAAAAGTTCTGCGACAAATTTCAATCAAGGTTTATTGCCAGCTATATTACTGCCTGCAAACAGCGATCGCAGACATCAAAGCAAAAATTTGGTTGAAAGAGGACAGCTTTGACAATGTTCGTCTGTATCTGTATACAGAGCAGACTTGAGCCGTCAACCCTCCCGAATGCGACGACGACTGAATTGTCTTCACCATGGGAAAAAAGGGCGGACATTTTATCACAGAATCTGATCCCAAAGTGAACCGATGGCACAAAAGAAAGAACGAACAGCCTTCTTGCGTTCAAAAAAGGAAACGCTGTTGGCGCTAATTATTCTGAGGATGTCACGTTCAAGTGGCCTGAACACCCATGAACAAAAATGTTCGGGTTGGTGACCATCAACCTGTGACGTTTCAGATCTCAAAGAAAAATCTGACGGGTCTGGATTCACTGACAAAACAGAGATCTTTCGAAGGGGCTCGAAATATCGACAAGGCGTGGGGATACATGCGTTATTTGTCGGAAAATAATTGGGCTCTTTCCGACGATATGCTGCAACAGCAATCTTCATTGGCATGCCTCAGTCAAGGCGTGAGCGAAATGCAAGAAGACAACAAACCTGGCCAAAACACCATAATCTACTGATTTATCTTCTGGAACGAGGTAAGCCGCAAGCTTTGTGACACGGCCTTTTATACTTCGTCGATGACACGCCAGTATATGCTTGAAGCCTTTGAGCCATCTGTGGGCTCACTTGATCTGTGATGACCGCACACTGAATTGGATCAAAAGTCCGAGAGGACTCGAGCTATCAAAGGTTTGCTTTGTCTGCCTCGTACTACAGCGGCAGAGAGCAGCGCATATTGTAAGTGACCAACTTCGATGCGACAAGAGTGGTTAACACAGCATAAAAGTCTTATTTTGTCGAGGCAATGTGAAAATTTTCATTCACGAAAGATTGCTTGACTTGACCAATAGTTATGACGGCGCGTCACGCGCATCAAAAGAAAGAAACTACGATTCGAGACCCAGGTTCGACAGGCTGTGAGGTGTAGGTTGAGGGAGAGGAACAGCGCTGCAGATCGATATTCTGTACATCAAATAAGAAATTGATAGTCACTGGTGCTCGAAATTTGTGTTGATCCTCCACCTCGGTCTTCTTCGGCTTGACCGGCACGTGGAGAATACGGACGCGGTGGTCGTCAGCCTTGTGACCCTGTACGACGTTGTTGTGTCTTTTCCATATCGGCCAAGTCCCACCCAAAACGTCATAGCAGCAGCGCATCGGAACGGACAGCTCACCAGGACTCCATGCATGCCACAGGTGATCATTGATCGGTTTCACCGTAGTGACACGGGCAAGGTAGACGGGCAACCTTGCGGCACCTTAAGATGCTCCTGATCCAGGCGCACATTCTGCGTATCATCACATCGCGGTAAGGTGGCCGCGGCTGCGGAAGGAGCCAGCCGTTCAGGCAATGGGGCAGAGAGACCAAGAAGAACGAACGTCTGGAGCGAGCTGTGGCTCTCCGAGTCACAGCCGGCCGGCGAGGAGCTACTATGATCTGTATCCGGAACGCAAGAGGACGGGACCTTATATACCCAAGCAGGCACTCGTGGCGCACGACCGCAATCGACCTGTCGATGCGCGATTGACGCGATCCAGCGACAGCGGTGTTCGGAGATCTCGCTCTGGGGAACAGCTTGGTCATCAGCATGCACACTTCGACTTGACTCTCCAGGAGAATCCGGGCCAGCCGTCAAGACCCCGAGGAGGGCATACAGAAGGCGAGCAGCGATCAGATCCTGTACCGTGCGCAGTATTCAGCACGCTCGCAGCATCTTCGACAGCGCTTGGACGGTCTCAATCGCGCAAGTATGCACAGGAGCCTGTCAAATCGATCGAAGAGATCGTTCGAACGCACTCCGCCAAGCTTCTGACCGTGCCGTCCCAGCGTGTTCCGCAACGCTCGGTGTCTTGGTCTGCGTTCGATACACCTTGCTCTGAAGCATCATCACGTACGCGCAAGAGCGATGCACACACGGAGGAGCTATCCGACTCCGAGTCGATCGCCTCTGAAAGTTCTCTGGAGCGTGAAACTCGTGCGATGCTGCGGAATGTACAGAGTGTACAGAGTGTACAAAGTGTACAGAGTGCGCAAGACAAACATTTAGCGACAGGCGTATCGCAAATCTCGATTGGCAGCAAGAAAGCGGACTCTGGCGGCAGGCGACGTCCTATTCTCAGGAGTCCCATCAGCCGGACGTCCTCATCTGGTCGATTGTCAAGCTACACCTCACATCTAGCTGGCGTGTCACCTGATGGTAGAGGTCGGACCTGCAGCATTCGAGTGACGGTTCCCGGCACTGCTGACGTGCGTGTGTCGTACGCCGATGTTGGAGCTGCGAACGGACATCCTGTCATGATCTTCCTCGGCCTGGGCACCTCGAGGCACTTGGTAGGCCTCTACGACGAGCTGGCCACCACGCTGGGCCTACGTCTGGTTTGTATAGATCGATGGGGCATCGGGCAAACGGACAGCATTGCATTGGAAGCACGGACCATATTGGGATGGAGTCTGATCGTGGAGCAAGTGGCAGAATATCTGGCCATCGACAGATTTTCAGTGCTTGCTCACAGCGCAGGCGCGCCGTTTGCTGCTGCGGTAGCACTGCTGTTTCCAGAGCGGATATTGGGGCCGCTACATTTGCTGGCACCATGGACAGGCGTGCAGCTAGACAGTGGCTATCGATGGCTCCGCTATGTTCCGGATAGCGTGATCAAAACGGCGCAGGTTGCAGACTGGATGATCCAAAGCTGGAAGCTGGGTAAGGAGGCGGCTTGGACAGCGAGCAAGACACCTGCGAGCTCTGCAGCCGACGACGTATCCGCGAGCGGGCGCTACAAGCTATACGACCCCGATAGAGGGCCGACGCCGCCTCCGAAAGACCGCGCAGTGACGTTCGGATCAAGACATGCGGCAGTGACACGAGCGGCAGCGGTCAAGACGCAGCTTGCAAGGGGCGAAGAGCGCGACCTGGCAACGAGGAAGGCGGGAGAAATAAGTCGGTCCGAAGCAGCGTCGTATGAGCGGCCAAGGTCGACGGATTCGGAACGCGAAACTGCCCTGGACTTGCTCAAGGCGTCGCATGCGGAGAGTGCACGCGGGCTGGTGGACGATCTGAATCTGGTGCTCGGGAAGCGGCCATGGGGATTCGACTACGCCGATGTGGACATGACGTGCGAGGTGTGGCACGGCAGCAAGGACGAGCGCATCCCTCTCACGAGCTCGATCAACCTGACCAAGGAGATGCGACGGTGTACGCTGCACGTGGTGGACGGAGCGACTCACAGCCTGATGACCAACACGAAGGTGGTGATGGAGGTGTTCGAAAGTATACGGAGATACGGTCGTTCGTAGCCGTACGAGGGCCGACTAGATACGCCGTGCTCGGAACTTTCCCCTCTGTAATCGTATAGTGATGGTCCTTGATCTATGATATTCTCACCGCCAAGCCGGAGCTTCGTGGGTCGATATGCTGCTCGCGCCAACTTAATCATGACAATGTAGCCAAGTCAGAGCGCAAACAAGGCCTCGCGCTTTTCATCATGCTGTCAAAATTCACAATAACAAATATATGCAATACTGGGCCATCCCTTCGTCTTGGCAAGATGGCCGAGTGGTCTAAGGCGTAGCATTAAGGAAGATATTCTGAGCATTCAGGAAAACCTGCTATCTTCGGGCGTGGGTTCGAATCCCACTCTTGTCACCATTGAATTTTTTGGGACCTTCTCCTTTTTGACTGCCTGCCTGCCAAGTGACCGGAACGCCGTGTGTCAGGAAGAGACGCTGAGTATTTGGCGATCTAGCCTCGCATTCCGAAGAATCGGCACGTCTTTGTTTTGACAAGCAAAGAGTCCGACAAGGTTGCCGAGAAGAAGCAGTGTACTTTCAAGATTGTATACTCTGTACCTTGGCGCGGAACGCCGTAAGACGCCGTTGGGGACAAGACCCGTCCCAGATCGTCGTCTTGCTATAACATCGATTTCCACGCGTCTACGTCCAGCTCCGAGGCGCTCAAGACGCCGCCCACACAATACAAAACAAGAAAGTTGCCGGTGGGCAGCAGGACCAGCAAAAGGCCCGTCAGGGCTGAAAGTGCTCGGCGGCCAAGATCTGGTACCTGCAGGAAGGCTTTCGAAACATACCGTACCTTCCTTTCAGATCGAGGCAGACGCAACGAGAAGCGTAGAGTGTAGGATCTGCGTGAGGCATACCTGGGCAAACTATCGAAACGTAAGCGCGAACGATCGCTGATGCTGCCTCTCCGGCAGAGCAGGAGTGGCACACACGAGATCAAAGAAGGACAGAAAGGTCAGGGCAGCTCGCAGAGACGCCACCGTCTATCCTGCGTGTGGGCCAAGGGAATGTTCTCGAGCTGCGGGATTTCGCCAAACGGTGCATTCGCAAGGGATAGCTAGCTGGAGGGTGAGGCGATCAAGCTGTCGACACCGACAGCCAACTGCTTGTTGTACACAGTATTTGGATGGGAGCCAAGACTCAGGAGCGCGTGCATCGCTGCAACCGACGCGTTCTGCCGAAGCGACACCTTGGCAGCCGACCTGCAGCCGAACGACGCAAGAGACGCTTCGGCAGGTGAGACGTCGATCATCTGCACCGTTGCTTTGACTTGGAGGGATGGATGGCTTGTAATTGGTAATTGAGAGCGCGCTTCGAAATTAGACGTGCCTCGGAATGGCCGAATACAAATTGAATCCACCAGTCTCGGACATGCCATTTTCCAGTTGGGCCTCACGCTGGAATTTCTTTGGCGTGGTTGATCAGCGCTTCTAAGCTGCATCTCGCATAGCAGTCGCGAGACTCTAGGATGCTGCAGCCGACGCGGTCCAAAAAGAAAAACACAATTTTCCAGCTGCAGCGTTGCTCGGCGCCAGCATGTGTTGGTTGCATTCAAGATTGATCGACACCGACCATGGAAAACTGAGGCAATTCGCCCGTGTACTGTACCAGCGCAACGCAGCGAGCGCACTGACAAGGTGCTGCGACCGAAACACTATCACGCTGGTGTCCGTCTACGGCAGCCTCACCTCTCCAACACTGCGCGCTTTGTAGTGTCGCAATGGACGTGCCGACAAGCACATGCTCCGTCGGTGGCCCTTGGCGCCTTGCCGCTGCGCCAGCCTTGTTCCGTGTCCCTTTACCGTTCATTGCCCTTTGTGGCCTCTGGCGTGACCTGACCATCATCACGACTTGTCACTTCATCCTCACCTCCTTCACCACCACCTTCCTCGTTGTTACGGACACCTTCCAATCTCTCTCCCACTCCATATCACTCCTCTCCACTCCTCTTTCTCAGTCCCCCTTTCTGCTGCAGCACGACTCCGTTCGACTACACTTGCAGATCGCGCTTTGTGCAGGCCATATACACTCCTTCAACCTCCTACTTCTTGCTACTACAGCACCTAGACTCGTCACGCATCGTCCGTACTCCCCCAGACCACTTTCCAACTCGACTTGAAACCATCGCAGACAAAATGAAGTCCGTCGCAGCACTCGCTCTCACCACCCTGGTGTCCACCTCCTTGGCTTCGTCGCACGCCTCGACTTCTCCTCTTCGACGACACCACAACAAAGGCCCCGTCACTCATGAGCAAGCACTCGCCAAGCGCGCTACCTACTCTGGTATGGCCACTTGGTACGACGTTGGCACTGGTAATGCTGGGTACGTATCCTACTGCCTTCATCGTCGCGACTCTGCCTCGTAGCAACCAATTGACCCTTACCCTCTTCACTCTTCTCCAACAGCGCCTGTGGCCAGTTCCTGAACCCCAATGACCACGTCGTCGCCTTGAACCAGCCCATGTACGGTGACTTGGGTCAGCAATCCTCCTGGTGCGGAAAGACCATCGTCATCTCCAACGGCGTAAAGACTGCTACCGCCCGCGTTGAAGATGCCTGCCCCACAGGCGGAGGAAACTGCTATTACGGCTCCCTTGACATGAGTGTAGGTCTCTTCACCGAATTCACCGGCCTCGGCACGGGTGTCTTCCCCATCACCTGGTGGCCTGCAGGCGAGGGTGGAGACTCGGGCGGAAGCAGCAACAACAACAACAGCGGTGGCAACGACAACAGCAACAACAACAACAACAACAACAACGACAACAGCGGTGACGACGGTGCCCAGGCCGCCGCCGCTGCCGCCGCCGCCAAAAAGAAGGCTCAGCAGCAAGCTCAACAAGCTGCTGCCGACGCCTCTTCGTCCGCCGCTGCCGCCTCATCCTCTGCCGCCGCTGCCAGGTCGTCGGCTGCCGCCTCTCGCTCTGCTGCCGCTTCCCGCGCCTCTGTCTACTCTGTGACCAAGTCGGCTGCCCGCGCCAGTGCGTCGGCTTCTAGGGCAGCTGCCAAGTCGCGCGCTAGCGCCCGTGCAAGCAAATCCAGGGCTGCCGCTTCTGCGTCTGCAGCCTCCGTCGCTTCCGCATCTGCCGCCGCTGCCACACCCACTGGCAACCTGAACAACTTTGCCAACTTGTACGACGGTCTTTCTAAGATCATCCAAGAGCAGGCTGACTCGTAGAGAATCGGCTACCTCACCATGGCTTCTGCCGACCTCAATTAGAGCCAAACGCTCATGGACTTTCCCTTCTGCCGGTCAGCCTCCTCCACTCGTCTTGTCGCTCGTACATCCTGCGCTTTGGAAGGAACGGTTAAAAAAGGAGACCTGTCTCATCAACAGCATGGGACAAGGTGAAGCATCGAGACCGGTCCTCGATGCTTGCTCCATATCGTGCCCGTAGATTCGCCGTTCACTGGCTTTCTCTTTCATGCTTCTTCCTTTCGATGTCCCCACGACAACTGGTTTTTGTCTGTTGCGGGACTGTCGCTTCGTTCTTTCTTCAATCATGTTTTCGATCAGCCGCTTTATGTTTCCTCTTCTCAGCTTCTTCGGTCTCTTTGCACTTCACACTCTTATTTTGGCTTGTCATCCATGCTTGAAATGGTCAATGCTGTTTTGGACATCTGCGCTCCGCACTGTGTCGCGCCGTGAGAAAAATCTGTCTGCTACTGTAGGAAGAGTGAATGCGAATGCTGTGATGCTACTGAATGCAAATGTGTCTTAGTCTGTTAGAAAGATAGCGGGTTCTAGAGGATACCACATGCAGTCAAGATGTCCCAAGCACTGCCGGACATCTCGAGTTTGACCGGGCCGCCTCTCCTCTTAACCTTGATCGAGTGGCGGAAGACACCGTCGACAGGATTTCCAGCATCTTCAGCGATGGCATCGGCCTTGTCCATGTACCACTTCAAATACTGACCCTCCACCTCCCAGCGACCGGCCGACACCTCGACGTCGATGGAAAGAAGCTGTTGTAGCGCGGCTGTTTGAAGTGCCGATTCTCTCGAAGAGGACGCTCTAGAAAGCTCAGTGGAGTCAGCCAGCACCGTGGAAGCGGATGAGGACGAGACGTCATCGGTGCTCGACGCCCGGCTAGTCCTCAAGCTCGAGGTAGAGGAAGCGAGCGAGTCGGCTGAGCGTAGCTTCTTTTCCTGCTTGCGGGCCCACCGCTGCGAGGCATTGCCCATCTTGTCGCGCCTATTTCCTCGATCGCCGCTGGCAGCTGCAGCCACATCGTCGGCACCATAATGGAGGAAGGGGAGGTAGATCTCTGTGGCCAGACCGGCGTGCTCCAACTCAGCGCTGGTGATATCAACAGCAAATTTGAACTCGGACGATTTGATGTCAAAGTCGATGCTTGCGGGAGTGCCGACTGTTGCCACGGGGTAGGGTCTGCAGAAAGCGGCAGCAGCGCGTGACCCGTTGAGCAGATCAGGCGCATTATAGTTGCCGTCGCCTGGTATGAGCTCTGGTAGGTTGATGCTGGATCGGGAACTGAGGCCAGAGGAAAGAGGCGTGAGACCGGTGAGAGGCTTCAAGCGCGCACTTGTCGACGACGAGGACGAGCTGGAGGTGCTTGGCGTGCGACGGCGTGGAGCATCAGTAGAGTCCTCGGCTTCAGCTGCCTTGACGTCGTCCTGAGACCAGATGCTGAGATCCTCGCCATTCCAGTCGTCGCCCCATTGGTGGCTGTTATCGGGACAGTAGGTCCAGACAGTGTAGCTGAGGAGGTTGCTGCCATCACATCCGTTGAGCGAAGCATCGAGGGCCAAGGTCTGTGCTGAATAGTCTCCGATGCCGCGTCCTCTGCTGTCACCGAAGTACGACTTTTTCTTGTCGAGGTCGTATGGGATACCGATTTCACCGATCAGAGTCGGGTACTTGCCAAAGCCGTCGAGGCAATCCTGTCGAAGGTAGCCGAGCTGGTCGCGGATGCATTGCCGGATGGCTTTATTGCCCATGCGGATGGCGAAGAGGACGCCAGGATACTTTCCGCGAAGCAGGCCTACGGCATCTGCATTGAACCAGTTCCAATGCTTGGTGATGAGTGTGAGACCGTCGTAGAAGTGGCCAGAGAGACATGCGCGTTGCTTGAGGTCGTTCTGTGAAAGAGACTTGGGTGGCGGCTCAAAGACGGGCGGCTGGATAAACATGATGGCTTCCTTGTGAGTCGATCGTATGAGCTGTGCGTATTTGCGGTAGTGAGGAAGCCAATAGTCTTCGGCAAACTCGGCTGGCCTGCTCCCTGCGGGGCCTTCAAAGAGGCGGAAGTAGGCGTCATTGAGAACTTCGCCCGTCGCCGGATCCCAAACACCATGAGCCGCCCAGAGACATTGACCGAGGGGCCAAGCGTCATCACGTTTCCATCCCCACTTGGAACCGCCGTGAAGACGATCCTCGTCGTCCGTGAGCCAAGCGAGAGCGCCTTTGGGATCAACTGTGACCGAGCCATTACGTTTTGGACCCATGGCGCCAAACACCCAGTTCTCGAGTGTTTGGGCTTGACCAGCTCCGAGACGGAAACTCTGTATGGGGGTAGGGACGGGACCCTTTTTGAGACGCCAGGAATCGGGAATGGTGGAGATGCTCTCGAGACTGATGTAAGTCTGATTCGGTTCGTTGATGCTGTCCCAGCCAATGACACACTGCTCGACAAGATCACCGGCATCGACAATCTTTTGGAGTAGCTGTTTGCAAGCATTCAGGTAATGGGACTGGAGCCAGTCTTGGATGTTGCGACCATCGATGATGCACCGTGGAGCAAAGTGGTTGCCGGCGAAGAAGAGGACAGAGAGGGTCGCAGCAGCCAAGCGGGTATAATTTGTGGCCCAGAGCATATCAGGAAAGTCGGCGGGATCGGGGTCGTTGGCATTGGGCCATTCTGCTTGAATGAAAGCGGCCTGTGTGGAAGTAAAGTTGCGAGGGTTCATGCCGCACGCAATGAGCGTCCAGTAAGGTGCGCCCGAGCCTCCTGTGAAGCGAGAGAAGAGGTCCTGGTGCGGATCCATAAAGACCCGGAAACCGTACTGCTTTACCTTGCGGAGCACTTGCACAGTGTAATCGAGGAATGCGGTGTCGTATTGGCCGGGACCCTCGTGTTCGATAGCTTCCCAAGTGAAGACATAGCGAAGACAGTTGAAGCCCCACGAGCGAAGACGCGCGAGGTGGACATCTGCAGAGCCATCTTGAAGATTGAGCGGTTGACCTACGAAGGATTCTCCACCGGATTCGGCGGATTCCCAAAAGCCTTTGAGCTTCTGCGAGGGCTGACCGATGGGGGATTTGTTCTGACCGGAGAGGTTGACGCCGCGGAGAAGCAGAGCACGGCCCTGAATGTCGCGGAAAAAGGCGTCGGAAGCATGCATGTAATAGTCGGGAACGGGTTCGCCCGTGACAGGCGAGTGAGTCTGCGGGTTGGACATGTCAATGACGGGCACTGGCTTGGCAACGGACGGGGACGGATGCAAAAGTGTGTGGTGAGGCGACGGTTGCTGCACCGCGGCGGAGGGTTATGTGCGCTACACAGCCATGCGCCAATACCGGTGTCAACTGCACAATGATGGTGCCGAATGTCGTGAAGGGGAGAGGATGAAAACGATGATGGTGGTGGTGATTTTTTGTGAAAGCCAAAGACGGTGAGTGGAGTGGGACAAGTGCGGTCTGTGCATCCCAAAAATGTGACTTCTCGATTACTCGATTACATGGAGTTGGCCGACGTTTGCTCGAGTGAACTTGACTTAGCCAATGCTATGCTGCAGGTGACTGACGCGGGGTGCAGGCATGGTGCAGCGTTGAGAGTGGCACTGTTCAAGATCACGTGATAATGTTAGGTCGAAAAGCTTCGCTCGCGACGCGTGTTTTTGTTGCTCGACTGTCGAAAAGTGTTGCATTTGGGCTGGCGGCTGCTCCGATAGACTCGTGGTTCAACGATACTGTTGGCGATTCTGTGTGCGATTCTGTGTGCTGCTCATCCATCCGCAGTCGAGATTCACGATCACAATTATCACTACCACCATCTCTATCTTAAATTGCCGTCATCCTATTCACTACAACAATCTCAACCGCTGCAGATACGTCTGTCTGGACACGGCTCTTTGGCCACGCCGCCATCCATCTTGCTCCTCACATCCACCGTCGCTCCTCTCATTCACACGGTCTCGGTCTCTAAACGTTCGCCAGCATGGCGACCACAAACACGCGTCGCTCGACGCTCGCCGCCATCGATGCGAACCAGAACAACGGTCACATTCCGTCCGCACTTCCCGTGCCAACATCCGCCGTCAAGTCTGTAAAAACCCTCTCCAGCGGTTCCTTCCAGCCTCGCGCCTCTATGATTCCACAGCAATCCAATCCGGTTCGCCAGGCCAGCGCCACCACCACCAACGCAAGAGATGCCCAGCAAACCACCCAACATTCGGGTCCCGTCCACTCGGCTTCTCAGAGCGGACGCCGTGGTGACTCGGGCATGTACGCCGGAAGACAGAGCGTCGCTTCCGGTGGTCGCCAGAGCGTTGCAGTGACTGCAACTCCCAACTCGAGAAGGTCCATTGTCGGCCGTCTCTCCATCGCGCCCGGAAACATTGGCAACACTGCTGGCTCAGGTGTAAGGGAAACCAGGCCTATCAAGGACAAGCAGTACAAGACGCGCATGGGTCTCACCGTCAAAGAGCACCTCGAACGTACCGGCTTCACCATGGCCGGCTGGGATGCCAACAAGGGCGTCCACGAGCCTACCCAATCCGCCTTTGTCGGCATGTTTAAGCACATCTACGCCAGCTGCATCGACACCAACTTTGTCATGGGCGCAGATGGCAAAAAGTTCGAAGACGAGGTGCTCACCTTGATGAAGGAGATCAAATACCCTGCCGCCGACGAGCTCAGCAAGACAAAACTCACAGCGGCCGGAAGTCAGAGCCATTGGCCCTACTGTCTCGCCATGCTCGAGTGGATGGTCAACCTTGGCAATCAGGCAGAGACCATCGGGACCGGGCCTAGATCACGCCCTGACGAAATTGAGGACCTCCAGTCGCTCTTTTTCCCCTATCTCTGGGACTGTTACGACCGCTTCTGGCAGAACGAAGACACCTACCCCGAGGAGCATGCCAAGCTCGGTGTTCGCTTCGAGGACAAGAACGCTGCGATAGCGCTCGAGCTCAAGGAGTTGCAGGAAGAGCATCGCAAACTCGAAGCAGAGCTCGCCGACTACGTCAACAACGACTCTCCGCTCAAGATTGAGCGCAGCGAAAACGACATGCTCACCAAGGACATCTCCAAGTTTCACAAGTACTACGACGAGGTGCTTGTGCCCAAGCTTGACAAGACCAAGAAAGCCATCGAGAGGCTCATCAAGGAGATTGCTCTTGCCGAAAAGGAGATCGACGACAAGAACAAGCGCCGGGTCGACTTGCAAGAGCAGGTCAACGCTCAGGAGATGTCGGCGGAAGAGTACGAGAGGATGTTGGCCGAGAGAAACCGTCTGACCAGGCGTCTCGAAGTGCTAGGAGAGCAGAACAAGAAAGCCGCTGGCGATGGATGGTCTCTCGAGATTGCCATTGCCAAGAAGCAAGCCGACACGGAAGACCGAATCTCGAAATTCAACCCATTGGCGCGTTCCATCTCGCTACTGCCATTCAAGCTGGTCTCTGGGAGCGTGATCGAGGAGCTCGAATTGACGCCTTCGAACCCATCCTCGATGCTGCAATCGGGTGTAGACATCAAGGGATCCTTCCGTCGACAAATCGAATCATTGCGATCGCAGGAGGCCGACAAGTATCGGCATGCGTCCAAGAAGCGACTCACGATGCAGGAAGAGTACGAGAAGCTGCAAGAGGCTCTATCCGAGCAAGAGACTCAGCTGGCCTCTGACCGGGAACGATGCGAAGCGCTTTCGCGGCAAGCGACCGAGTACGAGAAGAGCTGCAAAACGGTGCAGGAGCGATACAAGGCCGACGAGGGCAAGCTGGAGAGGTCGACCTACGAGACCGAAGCGTCAGGCAGTGTACATCTGCAACAAGCCGAATCAAGACTGACAAGTCTGCAACTCACTGCCGAACACAAGGAAGACGAGTGGAACCAGCAACGATCGCGAATGGACGAAGACATGCTCAACTTTGTGGTGCTTCTAAGCAAGATGAAGGGCGACGTGACCGGGCAATTGCGCGAAATTCAAGCTGCTGTTGCTCTCAAGAGCCGCGACGACTAAACAAGATGTTGCTCGCCTTGCACGACTCTTTGCGTCACCCCTGCATCCTCCTCATATCTAGACCCTGTATTGTTTGTACCAACCGTCACTGTACTTGTGCCCTCCTGACCAATCTCTGTCATTATTAGTGCTCTTTGTTGCTCTTTCTATACCAATGCCTTTGTCAACCGCGTCCGAAGCGTGATCTCGTATAGACCAGACCAGAAGCACCGAAGATGACCCGCGTTGGGAGTGGTGAGGCAGCCAAAGTGGGCGCGGAATCTGTTGGTCTGAATTCCGACAGGAGTGGGAGTGTGTCTATTTTGGCCTGGATGGCCTGTGCTCGGCATCCGCACTGCCACGGCTGTCGGAATAATGTGACAATTGCAGACAGTGTGTTGTGACACGCGAGGCTTCGACATCAACACTTTACCTTCCATCCTCCTCTCCATCCTCATTCTCATCCTCATTCATCGCGCACAACAATGTCGGCTCCAGGGATCGGAAACCTGAGCACGCTCATCAAAAGGTAAGTCGTCCGAACAATGTCTAGCACTGCCATGCGTCAGCGATTTGGCTCACTCACTGTTTCCATCAATCTATTCAACAGGCTGGAAGCAGCGACTTCTCGCCTCGAAGACATTGCTCTCCATCAGTCGTCGGGGTCCTCCGTCTCCTCGTCGCAAAGGGAGCTTCCATCCGCTGCGTCCGCACCGACAGCTGGATCCGTTCCGCCTCCACCGCCTCCTCCGCCCGCTGCCGCCGAGCCGCCCAAGGATGACCCGCCGGCGGTCAAGGCATACGACCAAGAGGTGGGAGAGGCTCTGGACGAGTTCAAGCAGCTCAGCGCCAAAATCGGGGGCGTGGTTCAGGAGCAGGCGGCTGCCGTCTCCAAGACCTTCCAGGCGCAGCGTGACCTCATCTTGCTCGCTGCGTCCAGTCAGAAGCCAGCTGGAGGTGCTAGCTCGCCTGCGTTCGCCGAGTTGCTCAAGCCGCTCCAGGCTGCACTCACCCAGGTGATCGAGACGCGCGACAAGAATCGTGGCGACAAGCAACACTTCAACCATCTCAGCACCGTCAGCGAAGGTATCCCCGCCGTGGGATGGGTGGCTGTCGAGCCAAAGCCAGGTCCTTATGTTGGAGAAATGAAGGACAGCGCTCAGTTCTACGCCAACCGTGTCATCAAAGATTTCAAGGACACGGACAAGACTCACGTAGAGTGGACGCGCTCCTTCATCAAGCTTTTGGAAGTGCTCAAGACCTACGTGCTCAAGACCCACACCACTGGACTGGCTTGGAATCCCAAGGGAGGTGACGCTGCCTCATTCAAGGTATCGTCCACCGCGGCGCCCTCGGCAGTTTCGGGAGGTGCGCCTCCACCGCCGCCACCTCCGCCTCCTGCTGCGGATGTGTCGGCTGGAGTTGCAGCGGGAGGTGCAGCCGCTGGCGGTATGGATGCGGTGTTCGGGCAACTGAATCAGGGCGAAAACATCACCAGGGGCCTCAAAAAGGTCGACGCGAGCCAGATGACGCACAAGAATCCAGAACTGCGAGGATCAGGCGCGCCGCCACCGAGCAGCAAAGCCGCGCCACCCAAGCTTGCCGCCAAACCGGCGCAGCTGAAAGCAAAGAAACCACCCAAGACGCAGCTGGACGGCAACAAGTGGGCTGTGGAGTACCACGAGGACAACCGCTCGATTGTGATTGATCAAACCGAGCTGAACCAGACGGTCAACATCTTCAACTGCAAGAACAGCATCATTCAGATCAAGGGCAAGATCAACGCGGTGCAGATGACCAACTGCACCAAATGCTCGATCCTCGTCGATACGCTCGTCTCGTCGTTGGAGGTAACGGGCTCGCCGTCGTTCGCAGTGCAAATCACAGGACGTGCTCCCACCATCCTGCTGGATTCGTGCGACAGCGGGCAGATCTACCTCTCGAACAAGTCGTTGGACTCGGAGATCATCGCAGCCAAGTGCAGCGCCATCAACGTCAGCTTGCCCGTGGCTGGTGGCGAGGAGGGTGAGTACCAAGAGTATGCATTGCCCGAACAGCTCAAGCACACCGTCGACAACCTCGACCCGAAAGCAAAGAGTCGCATCAAGACCGAGGTGGTCGCTCACACGGGTTAAGCACGATGCGTTCGATGCGCTCATCAACCTCAATGTCAGGATGCTAGAGATATCAGGAATGCATGGTGACCGTATCGCGGCCTGTCTGAGCGTGAGGTGACCTTGTGTGTGTGTGTCTGCGTGTGTGTGTGCACTAATGAGACCTGCAAGTGGGATTTGGCACCACCACCGACGGCGCTCTCGTGCAGATGCCCGATTATGCGAGTTTGTGCTCGGTTATTCAAATCAACGCACAACCGGATTTCGGGTGGGCCGCCACGCCAACTCCATTTCTCATGCCTCGCTCGAGCCTTCCATCGTCCATCTTTCCTCCATCATCCCTTCCGCAACTCAGCCTGTTCACACCGAAGCATTCAGCTCATCTGGAATCATGACGGCTCGGCCATCTGGCGCGGGGCTGCTCTCGCTTCCGCCAGAGATCATCGACAGCATTGCCAGTTATGCCGCCATGTCGGATACCTCGTTCGCCTCTTCTTCCACCTCTGCACCGTGCAGCTTCCTCTACGATTCGTCGCTTCGAGAGTCCAAGCTTGTCACGCCACCCACCGATCTTCACGCACTCCAGCTCGTCTGTACACGTCTTCACTCGCTTCTCAGTCTCCAGGCGAACCCACGACTCTACGCGAGAGTGTTTTGCACCAAGTTCGACACAGCTGCGATAGGGCGTCGCTTTGGCAAGTCTGCACTCACCTCCCACAATCTGGCCAACGAGCTTCGTAGGCGATGCATCTTGCTCAAGCGTATGCGACGCTGCGTCGCTACCGCCGCTCTCCGCCCGCATGAAGGCGCCGCACTGCTTCAAGATGACGAGTCGATCACCGAGATGTTGTGGCTGGCATATCTCATGATGCTCGAGAACGACGGGCTGAATTACGAACAGCTTTGCTGGGCGCAGCTGCACAGCTTCCTTGCGCTCCATCATGCTACCGAGATGCTCGACAGTGCCGTTTCGGCAGGCTACCCCTCCGATGCGGTTCACAAGGCGCTTGCGCTGCACTTGGTCTACCTACTGACCGATCCGGAGCAGCTAGCATTCGAGCCAAGAGGGGAAGCCGTCGAGCGGTTGTTTGTGCTGCGTCCCTTCGTATTCGCCGCACACAAATTCGACGCCTTTCTGGCTCCATGGACGCTTCGCAATCTGCCCATTACGAAACAAACGCACACACCCACTTCAGGCGACGATGGTCAGCAGTCAAACGATGACTCACAACCAGCACAAGGTGGCGGACCGACACTAGCGACGAACCCGTTCCTAGCCGACCTCGCACCGCGCGATCGTTCCTGCCTCGTCGAGCACGTCGGTGGAAAGCTTCGCATCGCGGCACCCATCCTCGCCCAAGGTGCATGCTTTTCTTTCTTCATGAAAGTCGAAAAGGATCCGGCTGTGCTCGGCATGGCCGCGCTTTCCGATCCCGACGATCCCACATCCGAAACCACCATCCGTCAACCCACCGCCACCCGTCCACCGCTCTCGCTCACTTCCTCAGACCACGACAAGGACGTCACGCGCCTGCTCTCGTGCCTCGATCCAAGACAGTCCCCCGGTCTACCGCCGTTGTTCTTCAAAGGCATGTTCGAGGGGATCTGGGAAGGCAGGTTCAGCTTCTTTGATTTCGATTCGTACCGCGAGATGCTCGCAGGTCGAATGCGAAGTTTGTATGAAGGTCCCTTTGGAGAGCAACCGCAGATCTGGAAGATCAAGGAAAAGATTGTCAAGCTCGGACCGGGAGAGCTGGAGGGTGGGAAGGGAAGCATCCTGGCTGCGGGATATACGACCAATGAGCCGCATTCAGATTCTCCAGCAGCAGCTGCTGCAGCCGCTGCGGCCGCTGCATCATCGGCGGCAGACGCAAAGGGAAAGTCGAAAGCGTTACCACAAGATTGGGATCGATACCCCACTTTCCCGGACGAGGACGGCAGGGAGAGGTACGAGATCCTCCTCTCCGGTACGGGTCATTCTGCATGGGGGCGGTTCGTGGTCCGTGGCAGGGTGAGGAGTTGGGATGGTATGCTGATCATGACCAAAGAGTACCGACCCGATGGTAGGGGCAAGTGGCTGTACAGAGGCTACAGCGTGGCAGGCGGCAAACTGGTGGGTAGGTGGAGGGACACGTTTACGCCTGACAACATGTACGGCTACGAAGGGTGTTTTCTGTTTCAACGGCGAGGTGGAGCGTGAGTTTTTTGAGAAGGCAGCGCGCGCCCCAGGACTTGTCTTAAGCTTCGTCATGCAATCAGTCATCAGGAGTGTTGTCTTGCCATCCCCTCCACAGAAGCGTGATTGGTTCATTCGATCAAGTGCAGGCGTGATTCGCATGATCCCGTCTCGATTGAAGACGCAACAATGAAAAGCTCACATCTTCGAAAACTCAAGAAACACGACATCCTCCTCAACAGCAACAGTGGCAGCGGACCAGCAAATACGACACACACGACAGGCGGGATTCGAAATGTTTGGGAAATGCTGGCCTCGAGTGGTGGGGCCTGAATTTTTTGTGGTGTGTGTGTGTATGTTGATGTAGGATGTGATCACAGGGGTAAGCTGAGTATCTAGCAAGAGCGACGACCTAACCCTGCAAAGGGACAGAACGTGCCCGAGGAAAGCCATGCCTTGCCTGTGACTACGTTCGATGTGATCTGATGATACATTTGAGGTTGTGTGAAAGTGTTGCGAGAAGAAACGAGAAGAAAAAATCCAGTCGGCGAGAGAAGTTTAGTCGAAGAGACCGAAGCCCATGTCGTCGTCGGACTCCTCCTTCTCCTCCTCCTTCTTCTCCTCCTTCTTCTCCTCGGCGGCACCACCGGCAGCGGCGGCACCACCAGCAGCAGGGGCGGCGGCGATGGCAGCTCCTCCACCACCAACGTTGGTGAGAAGCTCCTTGACGTCCTTACCCTCGAGAGCCTTGGCCATGAGGGTGGCCCAGATGGGCTCGACGGCGACACCGGCGGCGGTGGTCAGCTGGACGATCTTCTCGGACTGTTTTGTGGAGAGCGGAAGAGGGGGGGAGGATAGGGTCAGTATGATGTTGTACAGAGGGGTGGGTTGGTGCAGTGAGAATCGTGTTGCCGAGTGGAAGGTGGACGGTAGGCAGGGTGACAATGGGAAGCGAGCAGCAGATGTCGGAGACAGGCGAACGGGCGAGCAGAATGAACAGCAAAGTAAGATCCAGTCGGGCAGAAATCACGTTCGATGATCGTCCCGGGTCGGTGGTCGGACATGCGAATGAAGTCGCCTGATCCGCATGCATCTTGGACCAACACTACACGCAGCGTCCAAGGCGCTGTTGGAGCCTTGAGCGCTAATCGTCCAACTGAATGGCACGCCGGTGAGCAGGGTGCAGATCCAACAGTCGCAATGCGGGCTGCATGACAGTGAATCTTCCAAAGATGAGATGGCGATTCCGGCGATGTATAAACCCTCACGTTATCGTGGAAGAAGGTGTCGCTGAAGTCTGCGGGCTGCTAGGGCTGTGTGTGGTCGATTCGGTGTTGAGGTGTCGAGAAAGCCTTTGCATTCTAAACCTGGCCTGTCCAGGGAATAGCGACAACGAAGGACTTGCAATCGTCACGACAATTGCAATCAACCGAGGTGCCATGTTGCAGCCTTCCTTGCCTCCCAACCCTGCACGAAGTGTGCAATCAAGCCTTTGTCCACTATCAACCCTCGTCGTCTCTGACCCTGTAATTCTGCCATTGCATTCGAGTATGTCGGATCATGTCGATGTTGCTACGGTTGCTGGTGTGTTCTGCTGCTCGAATGTGCTGTGCCTGCCATGACTGCCTCTGCTGCTGCTGGTTGTCGAATGGAGATGCTGATCTTCCTTCATCCCGTATTTTGCTTTGCGAATTGCGAACACTGCCTGCCAATCGTTTCCACCTCTCACTTGCAACGTCGATCTCTCTTCATCCCTTCTTCTCTGTCGATGATGCTGGTAGTGATACGTACGGTGATCTCGAGACCCTCGTCAGCGAGGATGAGCGAAGCGTAAGTGGCGGCAAGATCGCTGTTGTGCATCGTATGTAGGAATGTCAGGAAATGTCAGTGACTGCTGCTGTTGTCGTTGGATGCTGATTTCGTTGAGGTGAGACTTACGAGGAAGCCATTTTGAATGTGCTGTGTGGTGATTGAGATATCGAGAGTGATGTCTTGATAGGTGGAGAAGGAGGAGGTCCAGGGCTGATCGCGAACTCGAATGTTGGCTCGCCCGGCTTGGGTGCTGCAATGGACGACTGACTGCGAATCTGCCATCTACGAGGCTGCAGCAGCTCGAGCACTCAGCTGGAGATGCGATATCGCATTCCGAAGAACGCCGTCTGCTGCCGCCCATTTCCTCAGGCCAGCAAAAGCGACACGTGACTAGAAAAATCGCGGCCGAGCTTTATTATCGTTGATTTAAAATGATCGGGCTCTGTTCAAGGAACCGATGGTCTTGCAATTCTGTTTTTCCGTGGTTGTGAATATGCCTGCGATCGAACAGCCTCATCCTCAATAGCTTGGGAATGTGAGATCAGCTATGTCGACAATTCTGCCAAATATCAAAGCGGGGAAGTCAAGACGAGGTCGCGTCGGTTTAACCGGCAAAGAAGCCGAAGCGAATCGAGAATGGATCGTGACGAGAGCATTGCCGTTGCATTTGCATTGCTCGACACCATCTAGACCCTCCTTCGCTGGACATTTCGACTCGGCAGCAGCAGCATCTTTCGCGATGTCGTCGTCGTCGTCGTCGTCAAAATTGACACCAGCCTCGTCGCTCTCACGCGACCAAGCAATCGCTGCAGCCGAGCATCCCCAGCACAACCCGTCCGTGCCTCCACCCCCACCCACCCACTCTCCCTCCTACATCCTCGCCGCCACCTTCGCCTCCGCCGGCCTCGGCAATGCCATCTCCGCAGCATGCACCAACCCCGCCGACATCGTCAAAGTGCGTCAGCAGCTGCTGGTCGACAAGACGCGAGCCAACTTCATCGGGATCACCTCGGACATGATCCGCAAGGAAGGACTCAGATCGCTCTGGAATGGGGTGACCGCTTCGTGTTTGAGGGAGCTGACGTACAGTACGGTGAGGTTTGGACTGTACGAGACGTTCAAGGATGCGTATGCCAAGGCGTTGGGGGTGAAGGATACGAGTTTTGCGTTGAAGGCGTTGAGTGGGATTTCGAGCGGTGCGATTGGAAGTGCGTTTGCGTGCCCGACGGATCTGGTCAAAGGTAAAGTACCTGGCAAACAGCGTTGGAGATGACTTTGGCGCGGTACACTGAAGATCACCTTGATTCCTTTCTTGTTGCCGAGACAGTACGAATGCAAGCAGTCAGACCAACCGGTCAACCCCCCTACAGCAACACCTTCGTCGCCTTCGCCCACGTCTACCGCGAAGGCTCCCCCGGCCTCCTCGGCGGCATCCGTAGCCTCTACCGCGGTGTAGGTCCCACCATCATCCGTGCCGCCGTACTCACAAGCTCCCAAATCGCCTCCTACGACCAAGTCAAAACCCTCCTGAAACACAACAAGTGGCTGGAGGAAGGTTTCCCCCTCCACTTTTCCGCATCCATGGTCGCTGGATTCGTATGCTCCGTAACCAGCGCTCCGTTCGACGTGGTCAAGGTGAGGTTGATGCAGGACAAAACGAGACAGTTCAAGAATGCATTTGATTGTCTCGGCAAGTTGATCGCTAACGAAGGCCCGCTGGCACTGTACAAGGGGTAAGTGTCAGAAGCAAAAAGCATCGAGTTTCCTCTTCCACTCGTGCTGACACACCATCTTACCTTTCTGCGTGCAGTTTCGGAATGTGTTGGGCTCGTCTAGGCTCCCACACCGTAATCTCCCTAATCGTAAGTGACCCCCCACCTCCCATGTCCTCCCAACTCGCCACGATAGCCTTTTTCTAACCCCCCACCTTTCTCTCTGCCCAGCTCTTCGAACGCTTCCGTACACTCTTCGGCGTCAAACCCCTCTAAAGACCCCCCCACACATCGACTCACACAACATCCATAGAACACGCTGAGTTTGGGCATAGAAGCAATTGTTCATGGGTTTTGACAAAGCAACAACAGAATGTGTGTGGGGAAAATGCAGCCGGCAGGAAAGAGCAAGGCTGGCAAACAAAAGAGTGTGAGAGTACCAGCACAGGAGGGACCCGAGCGGCAGAAGAGCGAGGAGATAAAGATAGTACAGCATGGGAAAACAAAGAAAGAGAGAGTGGGGAGAAGGACGTTTAGAAGCGTCGACCGTTGCTCGCTGGTACGGCACCTGGACCGCGTGCTTGCTGCGTTGGTGGTGCGTACCCCTGTTGCGGCATGGGCATGGTTTGACCTGCTGGGGGAGGGCCTCGATAGCCCTGAGGCGGGGGTGGGCCTCTCTGCTGCGGTGGTGGCTGCTGCTGCTGCTGGTACATCTGCGGGTTGGGTCCGCCGCCGGGCGCTCCTCGCAAGGGAGCGTTGCTTTGGTTGGGACCTCTGTAGCTGGCATTGATGCCTCCCTGGGGATGTGGCACGGGCATACCCATCTTGCTCGGAGGACCGGCGTTGGGACCGCGAACAGCACCTACCGCTGGTCGACTCGAAGGCACTGCTTTGGAAGCGGGTGCGCTCGGTCTTGGCTCGCTACCCTGTGCAGCCTTGATGATCTCGTCGTCGAGCACATTGAGCGCAGCGCAGAGCACGATCCATTCCACCATGTCCTCGTTGCCCTCGCCGAGCGTCTGCCAGACGGCCTTCTCCTCTGGCGTCTTTCCTGCGATGGTGACGCGCGTTCCGCCGCCTCCGCCGCTGCCTGCTGCAGCGTTCTTCTGGATCTTGCCAAACTCGATCCGCTTTGGTGGGATGAGATGGCCGGCGTAGGTGAAGTAGAACATGGACCACCACGTTGCATTTGGGTTGGGTTTTGAGATCTGGAAGAGAGGCTGCTCATGACCGGGTGCGTCCGGATTTGGGAGGGTGAGCTTGTAGACGGGGGCGTGGATGCCCGTGTTGGTGATGGACCATTTCAGGTTTCGCGAGGCCTCGCAGCGCACCGTCTTGTCTCCATGCCCACTCGAGTGGCCTCCATCCGACGAGGCACCACCGCCCCTAGAGCCGGGAGGAGGCACCATCTTGGCGACACAGAGGTCGCCTTGTGGGGAAGGAGTGAGTAGGTACGTCTCCTTGTTAAAGTTGGTGTGGATGTACGAGTAGAGGGTGTGGTGTGGCTGGCCGTAAGGTGTGACAATGAGGGTAGGAAGATGGTTGGGAATGGGAGCATGGTTGGGCGATGTGTAGATGGAGTAGACTGCCGACATGATGGGCAACGGATTGTCGGCAGCGTTCCGGTATTGATGCTCGTACTATATATGTGATGATGAGATCAAAACTTCCTATATGTGGATGTGTTATTCGGAACGTCCGGCGCAGTGTGGTTGAGCGCCAACGATGACGAGCAAGACAAGGCTTAGGATGGCGTCGATGTTGACGGATGTGCCGTGAATCGCTTTCAGACCGGCGAGCTAATCGGATGTGACCTTGTTGAAGGACGAGCGAGGATTGAGATCGGATGTGTGCTGCAGCCTTTCTCGGATCGAGGTGGCCGGAGATGCCGCAAGCCGATTCGTTGCTACGTGCGACAAGATGAAGGGGGGCGAGCGGGCAGTGGTGTCCCCTGTGATAGCAAGATTGGAGGGGATTCCGACGAACTGGAAGGGCGGTTTGCTGCACTTGAACAACGATGAAGAGAAGACTGGGGTCGATGATGTTGAGGAGCGAAGCAGATCGGCGGTGGTTGGATGGACGCAGCAGCAAACACACGATAGGGAGAGGAGAGAGGGAGGACGCAGCGTCTCCTTTTTGGATTCCGGTTGAAAATGGCAGTGCGTAGATGTGGGTGCGAGTGACGAGGACGGTTCAATGTTTGGACTCTTGCTTGATGCGGACAGGTCTGGACCAACACCGCATCCACGCAGTCAGTCGCACCTTGGCAGCCTGCGCAGCTTGGACAGAAATATCATTTGCAGCTCCTCTGTCTGTCTGCACTCGAAAACGGCAATTCTAATTTCCACCCACAAAATACTGACGCGCCGTCTGGTGCGGGTGGTTGTCGAAAAGCGAAAATAGAGGGGAAAAGAGAGGGGCGCAAGGACAGGGGGGGACGAGCCGCTAATTGACCAGGCGGAACGGCGCAGAAGCCAGCCACGATTCTGCTTGCTCTCTCGGCTGGAGAGGCAAGCGATGATCTGCGACGTGCTTTTTCGCTTGGCTCTCTGCTTGGCTGTGGTGCCGGAGCTGTGTTCTCTGCTGGTGTGCCTTTGTGCAGTTTGCCTTGAAATTTCATTCTCCGACGTGCTGGCAACCTTCCGGCTGGTTCATGCCCTTTGAGATCGCTCGTGTTGACACAACAGGGGCGCCGACGCTCACCGTACGGAACCTTGAGATTGGCATGCAGCCACTCGGATCGGCCGTTTACGACCTCATGGAGCAGCGGCAACCTGTGCCGTCTTGTCAAGATCTGCGAGTTGACAGAAGCAACTTGACACCCCACACTGTCCGCCGCACCTTGTGCCGAGCTTTCTTCTCTGCTTGCGACCGGCATGATGTTTGCTGAGTCAGTAAGCCCGGCTGAACGCGCAGAGCTCTATCGCTAATTCATGCTGCCAGAAGCGTTGATCAATTTTGCAAAGTCTGTTCGCTGCCTGCTGTCTACTCGCAAAATAGGCGACTGAATGCAGTGCTCGAGCGGAACGCACTCGAAGGGTATTTTACCGTCATTTTCCTGGCCCCCCTTCTTGTTACCTTTTTTCTTCCGCAGGTAAGGCTGAGCATGCAAACTATGACCCAAAAAGTCGGAGACTCTCATATCACTTGGCAAAAAAAAAGCTTCTGGATTGGGTCAGTCTTTGCTTCCGGTTGACACTGTCGTGGACGATTCTTTGGCCTCCTCGTGCTCCTTTGACTCCTTTTCTCCTCCCTCGTATTCCAGATCATCGCCGAATCCAAGCTTGCTCAAATCCTTCCACGTCTCTTCTGGCTCGTTGTCGCTCTGCAAATGGTACATCTCGATAAAGCCGCGCAACGTCAGATTGCCATCCTTGTCGGTATCGAGGAACTCGCGGATCTCGTCCTTTGACTCTTGAGGTAAGGCAGATCCGTTCGTCACCGTCGAGAAGGCGTCCAGATCTGCTTCGGTCAACACGTCAGAGCTGTCCGGACGAGGTATTGAAGTGCTCGACTTGCTGCCGAACGCCTGGACTTCTGGATTGCTCTTTTTGTACGGTGTCGAGAAGCGGGCAAAGATACGGATGAGAGCGGACTCGAACTGTCGGAACGGAGGTAGACTGAAGTGTCAGCAAGAGGCTCGGATGTCTACTTTTGAGCAAGATGCTTGCAGCTCACCTTGGGCGTAAGGTCGCCTTCGTCGTCCAGCAATGGTGCCTGCACGCTCTTGGGCAGCGAGGCTGCTGCCTGATCAGTGCTTGTGCTCATTATCGCTGTCCTCTTGGCGCTACCGTGTCGTTGTTGTCCTTTGAGTGGTGCTCCTATCCTATGAGACGTGGACAAGCCGGTTGAGTGCATCACCATGTTTGACAGCTCGTCAATCCGCGCAGCACTTTCTCCACCTTTCCGATTTCCGAGCTTTCCCAAAACTTTTCTGGCTGCAAAGTCAAAATCAACGGAAAAAAACAATTCTTCTCGCCCTGATTGCCCACAAAAGACAGTGCTCACTGCTATACCGTGTCTGCCTTCACATTCACCATCCTCCTGCCTGCCTCGTACACAACATGGCGAAAGCCGCACCAGCTACGAACCAACGCTCGGGATCGCAGGCCAAGCGTAAGAAGGCCAGCTCCAGCGCCAAAGCATCTTCATCCACCCCAAAACAGGAACGCAAAACTGTCGACCCTACCAAGCTAGCATGGTCTACCGTCCATTTGCCCTCCGAAGCGCAGTCTGGAGGTGCGGGTGTTACCGAGTCCGACTTCTTCGACTCACTAAACTGGGATGATGACGACTTTATGGGATTGCAAGAGATTGACGATGTCGACGTGCTGCAAGAGACCCGAGATGACGGTTCGCGCACCATCACCTTTCGCGCTTCTGAGCGCAAACTGAAGAGCAAGCAGCAACAACCCGCGGTAGCACCTTCAGCCAAGAAAGAGACGGAAAGTGCAGCTGCAACGAAGTCAAAGCCGAAGAAGCAGTCCAAGAAGGGGCCTATCGAAGAAGTCGCTTCTGATGTCGAGCCGGACAGCGCGATAGACGCGATTGAATCCGCAGATGTCACGGCCGCCACTCAAGACGACCTTGAGGCGGATTCAGATGCATGCGAGACAGCGGTAGATGTGACGCTACCAGCTCCAGGAGATGCTGTCGACTCCGACATCGACTTTGACGACGATCATCTAGCCGAAGCTTTCCGCAACGCCCACCAGCTCGATCTGCAGGATGACCAAGACGACCAAGCTGAATTCGATGACAAACTCCTTCCTTCGTGGTCACACCTGCCACTCCATTCAGATCTCAAACGCGCCTTGCTCCACAAAGGATTCAACCAGCCGACCGAGATCCAGAACCGATCCATTCCTTTCGCTCTTGGTCTGGAACAAGCAGCAGCCTCCTCCGACGACTCGGAGGACGACAATATTGCTGCCGCCTCCACCGCTGCAGGAAATCCTCGCAGGAAGCGCGACGTCGTCGGTGTCTCGCAAACCGGTAGCGGTAAGACTCTCGCCTACGGTCTGCCCATCCTCAATTACCTCTTTGAGAACGCAGAAAACGCCATCGCTTCATCCTCCCGCCGCACCGCGGCCGACGACGTTCCACCGCCTCTCGGCGCGCTCATCCTCTGTCCCACTCGCGAACTTGCGCTGCAAGTCTCCTCGCATCTCACAGACCTCGTTCGAGCCAGCTGCATCGTCGACGACTCCACAGAGATCACGCACAAGAAGCTTCTCCGACGTCCCCAGATCGCCGTCGTCTGCGGTGGAATGTCGGAACAAAAGCAACGACGACTCCTCGACGGCCGTTCGAGACAGGGCGATCGCAACTCTGGCGTCGACATCATCGTCGCCACCCCGGGTCGTCTTTGGGAGATGACAAGACTGGACGATCGTCTGGCAGCAAGGATCAAGCAGACTCGTTTCTTGGTGTTGGACGAAGCGGATAGGATGGTCGAGGTCGGGCATTTCGCAGAGATGGAGCACATTCTGAACCTTGTCAACAGGTCGGAAGCGAGACGTCCGTCGGAAGGGAAAGATGGCCAGCAGCAGGGAAGCGGATCGGACGAAGATGACGAGGCGGAGATCGAAACGCATGGTGTCAAACCAAGCTCGAGCATGCAGACCTTCATCTTTTCCGCAACGCTCAGCAAGGCTTTGCAGGTCAACCTCAAGAGGCGTAAAAAGCTCAAGCAGTTCACCAAGAAGCGTCATCTGAAGCGCCAGGACAACGCAACTACGTTGGACGAGCTGATGGACCGGGTTGATTTCCGAGACGCTGCGCCGGCGGTGATCGACCTGACCCCCGGTCAAGGGTTGCCCGAGGGACTGATGGAGACCAAGATCGAGTGTGTCGGCAAGGACAAGGATCTGTACCTGTACTACTTTTTGCTGCGGTACCCTGGTCGAACGCTCGTCTTTGTCAACTCGATCGACGGCATCCGTCGCCTGACACCGCTGCTCGCCCAACTCAACGTAGTCTGCTATCCGATCCACAGTCAGCTCCAACAGAAGCAACGTCTCAAGAACCTCGATCGATTCCGCGCGTTCAACCGTACCGCCAAGACGAACAACTGCGTGCTGCTGGCGACCGACGTAGCTGCGCGTGGACTCGACATCCCCAGCGTCGAACACGTCGTCCACTACCAACTTCCACGATCCGCCGATACTTACGTGCATCGATCGGGACGTACCGCACGTGCCGGCAGCACCGGCGTCGCACTGGCCCTGATCGAACCCAAGGAGAAGCAGCTTTGGTCCAAACTGTGTCGTGCCATGTCGCGCAAGACGGACATCGCCACCTTCCCCATCAGCTTCTCCACCCTCTCGCTCCTCCGGGATCGCGTCGAACTGGCACTCGCCATCGACAAACAGACCCACTCGGCCAACAAACAGCAGCACGACGACAACTGGCTCGCCAAGCTAGCCGAGGAAGCGGATCTCGCCCTGTCCGACGACGACGATGTGGATCCTGATGCACCTAAGAGTCGGCGAGGAGGGAGGAAGGTGGAGGAGGCGAAGCTGAACGAGATGAAGTCGAGGTTGTCGACGATGCTGGCGAGACCGATTACGATGAAGGGGTTGTCGCACAGGTACTTGACCGCGGGTGGGTTGCAGGGGAGTGCGTGGGTGGACGATATGGTGAGGAGCCAAAACCACGGTGAGATTCTGGGGGTGGAGAACACGGATGCCAGGACAGAGTTGCAGTCGAGACAGCAGGCAGAGCAGCCGAGTAGAAAGAAGCAAAAGACGGAAAAGGGCGCCAAAGCTGCAAAGGTTGCGGCCGTCAGTGCGGATACCGCAAAGACGGTCGCTGCAACAGCAGCAGCATCGGCGGCAGCAGAGACGATGTCGAACAAGACCAAGAAGAACAAGAAGAAACAGCACCAGCGTCAAAAGATCAAGCCGTACCAGAAGAAGGAGTAGTCATTGCAGCGAACTGTTTCCTTTCCACGTCAGCCTGTTCACTTTGTTTAGCAATGGTCAACGATCGCCACTCTTTTTCTTTAGCTTTTGCAAGACGCTCGTGACAGTAGATGCCATGTGTCGAGTGATGGGCGTATCTCTGCGATTCATGCATTCTTCTCACGGTGTGTCGCCACGAAACGTCCGCGCGGTTTGGATGCTGGCGAGTTGAGCAGGGTGAAGTGAGACAAGCTAAAAAAATCTCGGCACACAAATTGATGCGTATTTTTGCGACGAGCGCGAGGCGTATCGCGGAATCGCGCCTACGTTTGCTCGCTTGTTGGCGCACACCACCTGAGTCATGCATGCGCCCGCGCGGGGCCGCGCACTACTGCAGCCCTGTCTGTGTTGAGATTACGAGTTTTGTGGCGCTCTGGCTGATAAGCCACCTCCGAACCAAAAAAACGCCCTCTCTCCGTCCGGACGGGCCAAACATACACCTTTCCCTTTCCCTTTCCCTTCCAACAAGCCCATTTTTTCCCTCCATCACCAACCACCACATCCGCGTTTTTCGCGAAACCATGTCGACATCTTCAGCATCACCTCAATCTCCATCATCGTCAACACCAATGAACGGTCGACAGAGAACGCGCAATGCTCAAGCCCAAGCAGATCTGAGGGTGAGGAGGAAGAACTACATCAAGACGTTGGAGGAGACGGTATCGCGCTTGGAGGCGTGTGTCGTGCAGTTGAGGGAGAAGACCACATCGGGCGCGGGAGTTTGTCGTGACTGCGAGGGGTTGAGGGCGGAGAATGACAGATTGAGCGAGTTGCTCGGTGCTGCTGGGTTGATGGAGGTGCGGGGTGGAGAGGCAGCGGAGGCGGGGTGTGCGAGTGTCCTATCAAGTTCGAAGAATAGAGGAGCGAGAGAAAGGCCGATTGAGGTCGAAGCGGAACAAGTAGGGTGGAGCAACACTTCGTCGATCACGACCAAGAAGAGGAAATTGTCCAAGATGTATGCGTTTGCGCAGCAGGTCGATTCGCAGCTGGGAGGCTCTTCGCAGGTTCCTACGGATGTGGAGCTATCGCAACAGCAACATGGTTCGAACAACCAAGCGACGTACATCGACAATGTGCCCAGTCTTCGAGCGTGGGAGCTGGGTGCCACTACCTCCAACACCAACACCCCTTCCTCATCGCGCGATTCGGACCAGCGTTCGCCTCAAACGCCGAGGTCGAATCCTCCCTCTACGATCAATCTCAACAATAAGGTCGAGCTCATCGACACCACCCCAATTCAGCTTTCCGCGGCAGCCACAGCGCACGACTGGCAAGTCTATCCACCATCATCCTCGACCGGCGTCGCACCAAATGCGATGCTCGTACCGTCTACCTTTGGCGAGCATCAATCGAACCCACTCCAAGCAGACCTCACAACATGGCTCGTCAACCAACACCTCCATCCACCGATCCTACAGTATCAACCAGACTGGACAGCTTGTTCCTCGGCGAGTATCCGTTTTTGCACCAGATCCCCTCCTCCTCGTCGTCGTCCGTTCACCGCGCCGCGTCCCAAAGATTCGAGATGTGTTGGAACCGGCAATCCTAGTTTAACAAAATTCTTCTCTCACCCCCCCGTTTTTTTTGGCGATAACAGATGTCACATGCTTGGTCGCATGTTGTCGAGTAACGGTGAGTGGTCAGCGCAGAGGAGATGTGGGTTGACATTTGTGGTGTAGTGTACATGTAATGGGGGTTTTTGGTCATGGGGATGCAATTTGAAACTGGTTGAAATGCAAGATGTGTGTTTAGGCTCCGTATCGAGCACCACGGTGGAAAGCGGCAGGGAGCTTCTTCGCCAGCTCAAAGTAGGGTCTCTCGACCACGACCAGGTGTGCCGCCGTCTTATCCGCGTCCTCGACCGCCAGCTGGGCGACCAGCAACAGCGGCTGGTACTTTGCCGTCGTCCTCACCACCCACGCCGGACCGCCGCCGGCAGCAGCAGCAGTGGCGACGTCGGCGTCGTCGTGCATCTCGATATCCCCCTGAGCGTCTTGCGTCTCAACGGAGACGGCGCGGGCGGTGCACATCCACGTGGCGCCGTACAGCACGAGCGTGTAGCGCGAGAGGTCGGCGCTCGAGGCGTCGCCGCACCAGAGCGCCGAGATGGAAAAGTCGCGGAGCGAAGAGAGGCGCAGCTGGAGGGTGTGCTTGAGCGAGGTGAGGGAGGAGATGAGGGCGGTGCGGGAGTCGGTGGCCGAGGTAGGGGTGGCGGTGGTGGGGGCAGCGGATCGAGCTTGTTGGTTGGCCCGTTTGCGTTGGCTTCGGCTGAGGCCGCCTTCGTTGTGTGCAGCAGGGACCGTTGGTACCGCATCCGTGATGAGCTCTTTCCCACTCTCCACATCCCAGAACTCGACCTTGTTGTCCGCAAACACCAACGTCAGCATGCTGCTCAACCTCGCCGACGTCGAAGGGTGGAACACCACCCCCGAAGGCAGGCTCGCCGGCGACGGCAGCGTGCGTCCGTACGTCAACGAATCCAACGAGAAGATGTGGTGCTGCAGATCGGACGACATGGTGGAGAGCCACGCTCCGTCGTGCGAGATCTCGGCGTGTTGGATGATCGTCGTCGTGGTCCTCTCGACTCGATCCGACGGTTGCGGCTGTGCGGCGTGGGTGCCGTTGGCGTGGCCATTGAGATCGCCGTTGACTTTGCGGCCAGCGATCTGCCTCTGGTCGTTGGCGGTGGACGCGGCTTTTCGGTGGTGGCCGAAGCTGCGCAGAAGCTTGCAGGTGTCGCCGTTGGGGTTGGAGGGCAACTCGATGATGTGCACGTAAGCGCCGGTGAGGGAGCATACGACCAGTCTCGTCGAATCGGGCGAAAACTTCAACGCGCTCGCCGAGGGAGCGATCCTCTCCTGACCACCAAACACCCTACCGAAGCTCTTGATCTTCTTGGGCTCGATCTCGACGGGCTCCCCATCAGGTCGACGTCGCTGTTTGAGTTCGAACAGCTTGGTCTCGTACAGGTCCGAGAGCGCGAGGTAACGGCCGTCGTTGCTGATGGCGACGCAGACGAGGTTCGAGTCGACCTTGACTTCCATCTCGAGCAGCTTTGCCCAGCTAGGAGCCTTCTGCTGCAGCGACTCGCCGGCCTGAGATGCTTGTGCGACCGAGAGCAGCTCGGACTGGCTTCCGAGGTCCCAGATGCCGATAGACTGTTCGCGACGCAGAACGATCCAGCCCTTGCTAGGGCAGAGGGCCGCGACGGATCCGCCTCCCAGCAATCCACTGCGCGAGGCGGTGGGCACGAAGGGCACGCGGCGCTGCGTGGTGTCGGCGAAGGTGGTGAGAGGGTTGGAAGAGATGGGGTTGATGGAAGCATGTTCCTGCTCGACCTGTTTGAGAGTCGGCTGCTTTGACTTGGCTGCAGCAGAAGGGATGGAAGCGATGGTCGAAGACTTCTGCGCTCTTACGATGGCCGAAGGCGGCGCTGCTGGTGTGAGGACAAGGTTGAAATCGACACCGCCGCTGAGGAGGACAGGAAGACGACTGGGCTTGACGCTGCCATCGGTGTTGTTGACAATGGCTTGAGCGGCATCCAAGGGAGAGTACGGCGGATCGAGAGCCAGAGCCCTAATATCGTGAGCGTGCAATCGCCTGGACGCGATCTGAATCCATCGGCCGCGACCGTTGGAAGTGTCAATCTTGGTGTATTCGGCTACTTTCTGGTCCACGCCCGCACTGTAGATAGTTTTACCGTCGGGACCGACACAGAGCGCGAGAACATCGGAGGAGGCAGCATGCGCGCGGAAGGTGGCCTCGGGGATCGGGATGCGCGTACGCGCGTCGAAGAAAGTGACGCGACCGGTGGAATCACCAGTGACGATGGTGCCATCGGGCAGGGTGGCGACACTCCATACGATGGTAGACTCGGTGCGATTCTTTTGGACAGTGAGTTTGGTGGAGATGTTTCCAGTCGATGCATCCCAGACTACTGCGGTTGAGAGGGCAAGCCCACCTACAAGGAAAGACTCGCGCCACTGACTTGCATCGTCGACATCATCATCGTCGTCATCGTCATCGCTGTCGTCACTGCTGCTGCTGCTTTCGCTGTCGTCGTCGCTGTTGGAGGTCTTAGGCTGGGAAGATGGCTTGCTGGAGCGAATCGGTGGACCCCAGCAAAGGCTGATGACTTTGCCCTTTGCCTTGCCGAACCTAGGCACGATTTTGCGGTCTTGACCAGAGGTGCTGGCGAGATGCTCGAAGCGGTCGTTTTCGAGGTCGATGATCCTGACGGAGCCATCTTCGCAGCCGAGTGCAAGGTATCGGCCGGTGGCGCTAGGCGCCATACTCCACACTGCGCCGGCAAGGGAAGGCAGGGTCCTCGTCTCGCCGGGATAGTGCGGGTCAAGGTTGGACGCTGACTTGCTGCCAAAGAGCGAAGAGACGGTGCCTGGCTTTGATCTGCTGGATTCAGCATCTTGGTCAACGTCGACGTCCCTTCGAGCTCCGAGCTTGGCGAGGTGGAGCGGGATGAAATGCTCTGTTACGATAGAGCCACCAGAGATGCTGAATAGACGCAACTTGCGTGCCTGAGTTGAATCCTGGTTCGGCGGGTTGACAAAGCAGAGCTGCTCGATCTTGGAATTGATCTGACCGGGCAAGATGGTGTGGACAGCCCAGCCAGCTGCATCGGACTGGAAGGACCTGTCGTCGAATTCGGACTTCTGAGCTGCGCGAGGACCGACCCAGGTACAAAGCTCGATGTTGCCGTTCTGTCTGCCGATGGCGAGAAGGCCTCTTGCGGTGCCTGCGAAGGATGGCGATACTGCGATGGCTGTGACGGTGGAAGGCGACCAATTGACAAAGCGGACACGATGAATGGCGAGAGATGTCTGGTGAGCGTCAGCCAAGGCGCTCTGATGGTTTATTGACACCATTTCGGCAAGCGAATGAGACGAAGCAAGGTCCTTGGGAAGACTCTCTTGCTGTCACTGCTCGACTTGAGAGTATGGTCAAGATGTGATGGTATCGAAGCAAGGAACGTCGTCTGCTACAGAGCGCTGTCACAGGAGCGCCAACACAAAGTTAGTGGAGCAATTTTTCAAATTTCAGGGTTCGCAAGTCGGATCTTCCGAAAGCGAAGGAAAAAAAAAAAAAGATAAAAAGATGACAACCCAGCAGCACAGCGCACTCACTCGCACGTGACGGTACGGCATCGCCGAAAGGATGGAAGCTCTGGAATCGCGAACGTCATCCGTCACTCTCCTCACCTTGTCGTCCATCACGAACCTGCTTCAGCATCTCATCACAGTCGGGAAACCCGCAGCATACACGTCGGACAACACAGCGCAAATATGCCGTAAGTCTCAACGCCTCCAGCCTCTGAATGCAGGCATGACTTTGACCTCCCGAAAACTCGACTGACCGACCGACCCTCATCTCTTGTGGTTTGCTAATGATAAAGTCTTTACGAGCTCTTGTGTATCGCAGCATCTTCAGCCGAGTCGGCACCGCTGCGCGACCTGGTCAAGTCAACGTCCAAGTTGATCTTGGAGAATGGCGGTGCAGTGAGAGGAGTTCAATATTGGGGACAACGACGACTGCCACAGCGAGCACGCAGACATCAGCAGTACCACAGTACGGGCGACTATTGGCTGATGCACTTTGACACGAATGCACCCGTGCTCAAATCCCTCAACGATCGACTTCGAGCGGATCCAAGGGTGATCAAGTGGACCGCGCTCAAGCTCGGAGACAAGCTCGACCAGATCACACCAAAAGCCACATCAGGAGGACTCGACTCGAATTCGGATGCGCCCGAAGCCCGAGCTCTGTTCGGAGGCAAGACCATGCGCTACGGCTGGCAATAGACGTCGCGACTGCGACGCATCTCTGTTCCTGATTGCTGTCATCCGTCGCTAGCAGCACCTCTCTTTCTCTCCTTCTCCATTATCGCCTTTCCCGTCAGATCAATCTTCGATACTGCTCGTGTATTTGTACCGCATCTTTCCCATTCAACCATACAACTTCGCAGAGTGTATGCAGATGATTGAGCTCGCACAGGATCCACAGCAAGTTTGAGTCGAGATGCAGCAAGTCGAAGCAGTCAAGGCTTGTGCCGTTTGGCGTTGGCAGGCGGCATCGGGCCGATGTGGCAAGCGGGAGGCGAGGCTGTCAAGATCGGGTGATGCACACAAAGATAATTTCGAGCTGCGAGCTGCAGTCAGCGATTCCACCGACGCGCCGAGCCCGGCGACTCTCCACACAGCTATCGGATTGACATCACACAAGCACAGACAATCACTCGCTCACCATCTCACCCTCTCGTTCATCCCATCTCTCCCGCGCTATGCTCACCTCCCCGACCTGCACATCAATCGCAAACACAGCAGCACTCGCTTGAGCAGATCAGACATCTTCCGCCGTATCACGCCTCGTTTTTCGAAGATGAGTCAGGCACCTGCGCCAGTTCACCGTTCCCGCTAATTCAGTCGTGAGCGCATTCACACACACAGCCATCCTCTCCGTCAGCCGAGGCTACGCCAACATGTCGTCCGAATCAAAGGGTGCTCAGCATGCGTTCAAGACCAATACTTCCTCCTCCGCCAATGACTCGTCAAGTCTCAATTTCACCTCGTCCGATTCTAACGATAACGCCCTCTCGGTCCAGCCCGCAGGTTCGCCTTCCAAGAGCACCTTCCAGTGGCCCTCGGAGCCTCTGAACGAGGGCCGTCCATCGCTGCCTCAAGATTCGCAGCAAAGTGTAGAAGATGCCAATCGCGAAATTTCACAGCGCATCACCGAAGCCGACCACGATGCTGCCTCCCAACCTGAAGGCTCTCGCTCTCATCCTGGGCTCGCCCATCCCAGACGGTCTACCAAGCTGACGGCGACTCTCGACGACCTCGAGGAAGAACGCAAGCTGCAGCTCTCTCCTACAGCTACTCCTTCCGTCGGAGCGCCGACCTCGTCGCTACCCATGCTCAGCCCGCGACCACAGAGCATGCATCGCACCTCGTCCACTGGCACCAACACGTCGGCAGCTTCCGACAGGCACAACGCCACCTCGTCAGCTCCTCAATATCCGAGCTTTCTTCCAGACATGTTCCGCAATGCAGCCAGCATGCCGCTCAATCTGCTCCGATCTCTCCTCCCGGACAAGGCCTTCCCCACCTCCACGGACGAGGGGCTTAGCGCCAGCACGTTGCAAGTGCCTGTCACCAGCTTCAACGCTCTCTTTGAAGCTTGCAAAGCGCTCGAGTGGCTCGCCAACCAGGCTTCCCAGCTCGATGCACCCGAAAAGGAAAAGGGCCCTGGCTCTCATCGCAACTCGTCCATCGCGCAGCAGTACACCGAGGACAGCGTCGACTTTGCCTACTTCGATTACCTCCAACTCCTTCAGAAGGTCGCAGACGTCGTTAGTGGTCTCGCCGCATCCAGAGGCATCGATCTCGTTCTTGATCTCGATCCGCAGCTACAGGGTCAGCCAGCCGACAATCAGCGCCACTACAAGCTAGGCTCCTGCAAGGTCTGGGCCGATCGTCACGCCCTCACCTTCCTCCTCATGAGTTGCCTCTCTCGCTTGCTTCACAATGCTCCCGTTCAGTCCACCGTCGTCATCTCATCCACTCTCACACCCAAGGAGGAGAACATCGTACGACCCGACACCAGTTCAGAGATGAAGCTCATGATCCTCACTCTCGGTCTGCGTCTTATACTACCACCCACACAGGCTGCTACTACCGAGCTCATGTCGTCCATCTCGAGTACACCGGCCTCATTTCTCCTCGATGCGTTTGGCGCTCGTCTGACCACAGAACACTCTACCACTCCGCTTCCTGGCAGTCCTGTCAGAGCAGTCATCGATCATTCCATCAGCGTCCCCGTCGGGCAGCTTCCCGACGTTCCCGACCCTCCTAACACACAAAAGCAGCCCGAGAAATCCCAGCATTCTGTGGAACCTGAGCAGGAAGAGCTCGCCGACTTTGCCAAAAGTTTACAGCGCAACAAGGTGGCCCTCTATTCCACGTCCCAGAGTATCTTTGCACGTCGCTTGTCTACCTTCCTTTCCGGTTTCGGCTGCGATGTCGCTCCCGTCTTTACCGACAATGCCGACGAGGTTTCCTTCCACGGCAGCGACCACGTATTCGGCAAGTCGACACACACCGCTGTCGCACTCACCTCCGGACGTCCTGCCCTCGTCAGCTACACCAGCGACATTGACAATCGTGCTCACCCTGCATCGTCGCCATCAGCCGACAGCACGGTTCCAGCAGGACGTGATCGACAAAGCGACAAACCAGCGGACGCCGTCGACACGGCCGTCCTGGACCCTGTCACCGGTGTTCCGGTCACCTTCGACAATTCGTCGCATCAGCCCCGCGTTCCGGAGCAGAAAGAATCCAAATCGCAACACGATGACAAACAGGACCCTTTGACCGCGGACACACAGATCGACCCCGCCGGCAGACGTGTCGTCCCCTTCAGCTTTGTCATCATCGACGACGACATTGTTACCCTGCAGAAGGAGCTTCTACGCATTCGTTCAGCCGTGCCCCTGCTCAAGTCGGCCTTGGGCTCCAAATCCACCCCCTATCGGCCCGCAGCGGCACAGCGCAAGCCGTGTCGCCCGACCCTCGATCACAGGACAAGATCGACTCCACAAGTCAACCGTCTCATGGCTTCTCAACCCAGCAATTCTTCTTCGCCGTCTTTCGCTTCCGTGGGCTCGGCGTTGATGAATTCATCGGACAACACCACTGAATCACTCGCATCCATCGACGAGTCCGTGTCGCAGACCATCATCTTCTTCACATCGATGAAGTCGTATCGCCTCGTGAGGGACACGGTGCAGCCCATCATCGACTCGGCCAGCTTTCGCGGTGTATCTTCGCCACCTGAGATCATGGTCTTGCCCAAGCCCGCCGGACCCAAGAGGATTCTGACCGCACTTTACGTTGCGCATCACAAGCCAGTAGTGCGTCTGCCGTTTCTTCCGATCGCCACCTCTCCTCTGTCGCCACTCGTTACTCATTCGAAGAATTGGTGGACTCCCTCCTCGTCACGCCAGGAGGACGATCAAGGCATCATGACATTACAACGACGAGACACCGCCTCTACGGAAACTGATTTCGATACAACGCCCTCTACTCCGTGGAGTCCAATGGATGCACCTAGACCGACCGAAGACATACCAACTCCCGAAATTCCCTTGACCGCCGAGAATCTGCCGCTAGCCGGCGAGACTGTAGTCAGGGGTCCCAGCGCGAAAACCGTCACGAGAGACGCTGGAGTAGGAGCTGCGCCATCCTCCGTCGCAACGACCACCAAGTCTGCTCTTGCTTCTACCGCTTCTCGACGGACCGACATCAACGCAAACGCTAATGCAGCTCGAACGCCAGCTTCGGCGTCCGCCGGTGCGACCTCGACACAGAGAAACAACATTGCTGGCTCAGCTGCCGCGAGCTCAACATCGCCTGTTTCGTCCATCCAACAAGCTCGGTCGCAGCCCGTCAGCAGTCCCATGCCTGCTGACGCGCTCGAATACTTCAGCGAAACAGCCGCAAAGATGGGCGGAAGCGCAGCTAGCGGTATGGTCATCCAAAGTCCCGATGGGAGACCTGCTGGAATCTTCTTCCAGCCCAAAGCTTCCCTATCTACGCCCTCGCTTGCCGGGTCCAAGCCGACGCTCTCACGAGGTGTGTCTGCTTCTTCTCTGCGACGCGGACATCAGACGCCGTCGGAGCACAGCGAGCGATCGGACTCAGCTGCTCGGGAAAGGCGCACGGCCAACCGCAGCACTGGTTCCACGGGAGGTTCTGCTCGTGGCGGTGGCACCGATGGACATCTTCCACGTGCTGGCAATCTGCACACAGTCTCTGAGCAGACGAGGTCATCCGGCTCGACCGAACAAGGCCAAGGCGAATTGCGAGCCGTGCCGCTGCCACTCCCCGGATCAAACAAGTATCCATCGGGAAGCATGTTCGCACCCGAGGTAGGCATCCAGTCTGTGCTCAGCTCGTCTCGTCCACCTATGACGACTCCTTTGGCTCCGAGTCTGTCCTCGCAGCCTCAAGACTCTAGTGCAGGCGGCTCCGGCAGTCGAGATGTCAAGGCTGCGCAGGATGTACCTGGCAAGAGTGACGGTGGAAAGCAGGCTAGGAACAACCCAGATTCAGCGGTCGGGCCAGCGAATTCGAAGAGCGGCGCCGAGTCCAAGACAAACAAGAGCGCAGGACCCGGGTCGACAAAGTCGGCCCAAGGCGCGCGTCCGCCCAGTGCAAGGCAGCCCGCAGCGTCCGGAAGCGATTCCGCCAATGCGTCTCCCAACGCGCGCAACTCGACCAAAGCCGCTAGCCGAGTGGCAGCACGTCAGTCGCTCAAGGCTGCTGTCACCGCATCGCCCTCGGACCCCAAGAACAAGCCTTCAGCTGTGCCGCAATCGGGCTTCATGATGGGTATGGGATTCGCCGCCCCTGCGCGGCGTGGACGTGGCCCCAAAAAGGCACCCGCACGTGAGGCCGTCCTACCGCCGATCAAAGTGCTCATCGTGGAAGACAACCCGATCAACCAAAGGATTCTGTCCACGTTCATGGGCAAGAAGAAGATCAAGTTCGACGTCGCCAACAACGGTCGCGAGGCAGTGGACAAGTGGAAGACGGGAGGCTACCATCTGATCCTGATGGACATCCAGTTGCCGGTCATGGATGGCATCGAAGCGACCAAAGAGATTCGTAAGCTGGAAAGAAGTGCGAACATTGGAATCCTGCCGAACACGCCTCCTGCCGGACCTGATTCGAGAGTGGATGCAAAGCAGTCGCAGCAACAGCAGACAACCCCTTCGTCGTCGTCGTTGAGCGGTGGCTCGAGGAGACTCACTGCCAAGGGGTTGATGAAGCACGCTGTAGCAGGATCCGGGGCCGAGTCACAGGCAGACGATCCGAAACAAAAGTCGAGCTCCGCGACCGGCGGTCCCAACGCATCCTCTTCATCTTCCGCACTTGTCAACGGTGTCGGCGAAGCCAACACTATCCCGGTCGCCAGGACGAGCGGCAGCGCGGGAGCCATCAACCCTTTCCGAGCGTCCGTCATCATCGTGGCTCTCACAGCCTCCGTCCTCTCTTCAGATCGAGTCGAAGCGCTCGCTGCCGGATGCAATGATTTCCTCAACAAGCCGGTGTCCCTCCCCTGGCTCAACCAGAAGATTCTGGAATGGGGCTCGATGATGTACCTCATGTACAGCGGATTGTCGTCCGACGACGTTCACCTGGGTGTCCATCATGGTGGCGGCAACGCAGGTGGTGGTGGGCACAGGACGGATAGAGCACAGCTGCATCTAGGTTTCGGCTACGGTCCCGCAGAGAAGGCGAAGACGTTGGCGAACAATCTGCATCTAGGTGATAAATTGGAGAAGATGAAGAAGAGGAACGAGGAACGCGAGAGGATGGAGAGGAATCGGGAACGGAGGGACGAGCAACAGCAGCAGAGGCAAAGGAAGGAGGAAGACGCGTCCAAGGAGACTGAAACCCGGGACAAGCAGGACAAAGCGGACGATGCTGCGGAGGCCAACTGATCCCCCCCCCC